GCATATCTGGGATAGATCGGATGGAAGGCGAAGATTTTCTTGTATATAAAACCATTCCTTTTACTTTGGCATTAGCTAGCTTTGTACAAACAATTATTTTCATGTTCACTCAATGAACCATAGTGCTACTCGTTGCGTGATTGCTACAAGTTAGTGATCGAAAGTCTTGATTGGAGCTGCGAGTCAAATGTCTTCCAGGCTCCGCGTGGAATCTTTCTGAAGGCTGAGCATCCGGATATAGCTTCAGTACGAAGGACTAAGATAACACATCAAGTATTACGCGCTTCTATGTAAGAAAAAGAGTGTAACGGTAGGAGAAACTTCCTTCGGACTATCGGCGTCCATGAAGCCGAGCAATCTGCTCATCTGAGAGGTCCTCCTTGGTTCTTTTCAAATACGTTTCAAACTGGCCCGCAACCTCAACAACATGCTTCAGATGGGCATATGACAACTCCTTCTTCTGAAACTTGGCAAGCTGCCTTCCAATCGTGATCGCGTTGCGGATCTGCCTGCCATTCAGCTCCTTGTCAGCCAGCTCTAATACATTGCATTCAATGTCATCGAAATCGATGTCTGGCTCTTTCAGTGCTTTCAGCCGGTTTAGGAAATTCTTCCAAATACGGCATCGTTGCGACTTGGTGAAATTGGGGTAATGGAGAGCAAGTGAGATCCTGGATTTGAAAGCTTCGTCGAATGTGCCGACGCGATTGGAGGTGAGAATGAGGATCCCGTCGTAATACTCGAGCACCCGTAAGAAGACTGATACTAGGGCGTTCCGCGCTAAATCGGCTATGCCTCGTTCCTCGAGGAAGACATCAGCCTCGTCAAGAAGTACGACACAGTCCCATATGTTTCCTAGGTACAGAACCGATTCAAGGTATCTTTCAACATGTTCTGGCTCAGTTCCGATATCGCCACAGGTAACAGGATAAAGAGGCTTTTCGGCTAGCTCTGCGACGCTCTCTGCGGTGAACGTTTTGCCTGTGCCTGGGCCTCCATGAAGAAGGATAATCAGTCCGTTGCCTTTCCCTTGTATGATGTCGGTGTTTCTGTCGCCGGAGATTCGATCCGCCACAAGAGCTTGCACGAGTTCTTTGGTCTTGTCATCGGCGACAAGGTGCTTGAAGGCTTCTTTGTTCCATGAAATATCGGTGATTTTGTCGACGATTAGATCAGCTGCGAGGCGTTAGCTTTCTCACACAACGGAACACACCCGAGTAGTGCATACTCCATAGTTTGCGACGTAGCGAGAAACCCGGGATGGTTGGCGGGAATAAGTATATGTTGGGTGCTGAAGGAGGCTCATCTTTATCCATCTCTTTCACAAACAATGGTGTTGTTTGTCTGTTGCCACTAGCTGCCAGGAACTCTTGTGATTGCCTCGATTTTTGCGCGTCGACGTGAAGCTTCTTGTATGATTTGTTGTCGATTACGTACCGCTCACCATCCTAAATCAAAATTTAGCTCGCTAATTAGAACGTCCATCACGTGGCATATCGTACCGTATGCGACGCATCTTTATCACCACTATAAGAGATAGGTCGTTTGATACGGCATGACCAAAAAGTACAGCCTCTTCGCCTCAATTTCTCTTGCAAATATTTCCCTACGAACCGCAGGGGGACTATAGTAAGCCCATTAATGTCAACTTCTTCGTCATGGCTCTCCGCAATCAGTTCGAGTGTGAGGGTGTGACTTCGACTACAGAACTGGCCATCGTACACAATAGTCCAACATGAAACGTCCCATTTCCAAGCTTGGTTAGCATGAGCTCTTTTAGTTGTCCTTTCATATGCGCGAGATATCTTCTCAAACGCTTGCGAGTGATGGACACGTCCGTAGACTCTTTTCAGGTTCGGCACGCCATGCAACCGGTAAGCCTTTGTCTTTTCTCCATCCTGCTCAACAACGACATCGCCGGTGGAGAACAGGTACTCCATAAATGCATGGGATATGCGTCCACGCGATATCATTTCGTCGAATTGTTTATACCTTGGTGCATAATTCTGGTCAATCCAATCGACTAGTAGCTTCAGCTGTTCCCGGTCTTTCGGGGGTAAATCCGAAAAAGCCCTGCTTTTTGATCTGGCATGATACCAAAACAGATAGGGGGCTTCTATTTTCCCCAAAGAGAGGCGAATGTATTCCTCGTAAACTGAATGCGTGGAGCTAAGAAGTTGCTCTAAAGCCACGCGCAGCTCTTCGGACAATATCTGGATGAACTCGTGCGATGGTTCAGGGGTAGGTAGCACGCCTGCCTCCAAGCTTTCCGCCAGTTCTGTGGTGCTAACTCTTGGTGTCGCATACGACTTGTAAACCAAGAAAGAGATATCGTCATTCTTCCGGAGATGAGTGGCCAGATCGACTAAGGGTAACTCAGCTTTGAGCTGAAGCCTAAAATCCTCCCCAAAGGTCCAAGTGGGCTCTTGGAGGCATACGACTTTTTCATCATTATCCAACAAGTGAAGGATCTGGAAGCGGGAAGGCCTGGATCCTTGGCCTGATAGAATCTCCAATTTCTTGGTGCCTTTCTCCAATTCTTCAATCCTTTTCAGTAGTCTATCAACGAGCTCGGAATCACCGGTCTCACTGTGAGCTTGTAGCGTCTCCGCCGTGGAATAATTTGGGTAAAAGTGTCGCACGTCCATTGGAGGTTGTTGGGGTCCGGGATCCGGCTCTGAGTCGAGACCAGTATCAAGAGGGCCCTTCAAGTTAAAGCGTCCGGGGTAATATGGATCTGAGATGCCAGAATCTAAAGTGTTCTGTTTTCGTCGCGCCATGAGTAGCCGACTGTTCCTCTGTTGCTCCAGCATCGCCAGGTAAATCTGATAGTCCTGATCCCTAGCAACTTGGTCCGTGATTTTCTCGGAGGTAATTGCCAAGAGCCTCTCGTTATCAAAGTTGCTGGCCTCTGTCTGGTCCCGCGATATGGTCAATTTGCTGAGCAAATGAGATTTCTCTTCCTTTGCCTCTTCTGGATGTTTTTGATGAGCCGGCCAAATTTTGCTCGTGAGGGTCCCATGTGAACCGTCGTAGATCTGTCCTGGATCAAGCGAGACTCGTGGTAAGACTGGGGCACCGCTGAACGTCGAAATTTGGTCTGACGTTTGAACGTCTAAGATGCGGCCAGGAAGATCACTCTGAGTAGTGCCTTCATTCGTGTCTCCTAGTTTTTCCTCGATACTGTCATTATCTTCTGAATCCTGGTCGTCTTCAAAGTCTACAGCCTTGTCACTTTCCTCATTCGATCTGCTGGAGCTTGCGACACCACGAATGGAATCAAAAGGGTGAATAGCTCCCCTTGTACGGGTTTTCGCAGGTTGCGGTGGCCAGGTCGACATCTGTGACGACAACCGGGGAGAAGACTAAGAGTGGGACCCCGCGCGATTAGATTACACGAAAGCCAACATGCAGAGGAAGGGTCTAGACCACAATAAGATTAGTCTGTAAGTGTAAGCCCGTGCTTGGCAGCTGAAAACCTCAGCATGGAAGGTGGAAAACTGCTCGCTGTCTCTAGAGAACCATTCATGATTTATTCGCATGACATAGGATGGAGTTTCAACAGAAAAAGCTGAGTGAGGAGTGGATCGGCTCTTCTGGCACAACGTATGGGGAGACGTCAGGCGTAGCGCCATTAGCCTCTAACGCTAACATAATCCAGGAGAACAGGAACAAGTGCTGCTGAGATGTACAAGCTCGCCATTCTTCAATTTGGCTCTGACATGACGCAAAATGAGCGCAAGGTTGACCTAGCAACACACACGGGCAGTTTGCAGAATTTGGAAGATGTTGTCAAGATCGCCCAAAAGGACTATGAATCATCCCGAAACAAGAAGGCTAGAAAGTGGCTAGAGCGATTCTCGAGTCGCTTGATTTACTACGGCAATATCTTTGACATTCTAGCGCAGCACCATCCAGAGTATGTAGCTCTGGCTTGGGGTGCGATGAAGTTTCTCTTCGTAGTGAGTTGATCCGAACAGCACAACTATCGATCAGCTCCAGTTTGACATGAGTCACTAGGCATTTTTGAACCATCAAGGTGTTATTGCAAGCATATCAAAAGGCCTGGCTCGCATCGCCGACGCTCTTCCTCGCGTTGAACTGGCGACAACGCTTTACCCAACCACGAGAATGACAGATGTCGTCGAGGTGTTGTACGCGCAAGTCATACAGTTCTTGATTCGCGCGCATGATTGGTATCGAGAGGGTACGCTCCGTCATATTGTCCACTCTGTTACACGTCCTGCCGAGCTGCGTTACCAAGATCTCCTAGAAAGCATCGAGGCTTCTTCGCGGACAATCGAGAAACTAGCCATTTCTGGATCTCAAGTGGAGCTACGGCAGATGCACACGATATTGGAGACAATGGCTGATCGAGTGGAAAAGTCCGAAAGTACGATTCTCGAGATGAGGTCCATGATGATTAGTAGGCCAATGGAGTCAATATCAGTTTCTTGTAGTCACTTACTATATGCAGATCACCAATCCATCAACTCAAGCTCACTATTAGATACAAATGGGAAGGTTTCGGATTTGCAGTTCTCGGAAATGGTCCGCATTACAGCAGAACCTTCGTCATTCGATCCAGTGGAGAGCTACAACCACGCCGTTGTGATACGAAATTTACGCCGACAGAATCAACGGATGAATATCCCGAGAACATTTTGGCAGTCCCCGACGCTGAAGAAATTCGCAGACTCTCGCATTTCGTCGATGATGTTCGTCAAGGGAACTTTCCAAGAACGAGCGATGCTGCGCGACACCGCCGTGAGAGTTACTGAAGAATTGAAAAGAAAGAACATACCAACACTGTGGGCTGTGAAATCAAGAATGCCGGACTCAGCCTCAAAAACGCCAACTCCAGTGGACTTTCTGAAGTCGCTCGTTGCTCAAGCGCTTACTTTGGACACTTCATCGCATTCTCAGAAATCGACATCTCTAAGTTGCACGCAACTCCGCACCGCTGCTACAGAAAGACAGTGGATTGATATACTAGGCGCTGCGCTGGCGAACCTATATCGTGAGACATATGTCGTTCTTGAGCTGGACGTCTTGCTTTCGCACTCTTCTGAAAATTCGTCAAACAGTGAAGTCATTACTTTATTCGCTGATATGCTCAAAGAGTTAACGATTCGGGGAGAAAAATCAATTATCAAGGTGTTGATCGTTACTAGCAGGACATTGCTACGTCTGCCGCAGGCTACAGATAACATTCTCATCCATGCGATACCGAGCGGACATTCCCTGCGGGTGAAGCAGCCTTTGAAACAGCAACGCAAGCGAGATATTACCTCCTCTTACAGAACAACGCCTAAAATGTGGAGAAGGGAAGCGCGTTGACAATAGATGTCAGCTTTCTGGAGCGACAGTATCGGCAATGCAGACGGAGACGCTCATACTTCAGGCTTTATATCAAGTCATCGCACCTCAAGTAACATGTTAAAGATAACTGCAACGAGCGACGCAGTCTAGAAAAGTCTGAGGAGGAAGACGTTTGGCCGGAACGAGGCGGTGGATCGGTTTTCTCAGCTTCGTTAGTTGATGGCAAGGTCTCTTTGCAGTTCGGAAAGTTAGCTGTGGATATGATCGTAATCAGCGACTCGTGTTTTTCGTGAAGAGGTCCTGAATCTTAAGAGGCAGGCAGCTTTTATGAAATAAGAATTAGCTCGGACACTCATTGTATTGATCGAAGACGTGATGGCTAGCACAATTACGGGATCCAAGGACTAAAAGTTGTTGACACGGATTGGGCAGTGACAGAACATGCAAAATTGCGTGCCAGAAACGCCTTTCGTACAACTCACATTAGAAGTTTAGGTCGATGTGCCTTCTAACATGATCATCTGCTCCCACCTGTAAGCCTGCTCCATCTCTGAACCAGAAAGTTGAAAAAAAGCTCATCCAAGCGTGCAGCTCCTTCAAGTTTAAATTGCTATGGCTATCGTTCATCTTTCGGTTCGTATGAAGCAACTATGCACCCGCCCAACCTCACTGAACCAACCACATCCCCCAAATCCACAACACCATCCTACCCCTCCACTCCCCCGCCATATACGCCTTCTCCCCCCTCCACTCATGCACCCCTAACTCCCTCATCCCACTCTTCCCCATGACCTTCAAACTCCCGCCATTCTCCGCATCCACAATCGCCCTCACGAAGACCTTCCCCCCCAGCGCTCGACAAGCATCAAACACAGCTGGCAGCGCCTCCGTCGCATACCCCTTCCCCCACGCCAGCGGCAAATACTGATACCCAAGTTCGAGATTCAGCGTCGACGAGAGATCAAGTGCGGCGGGCGGCATGAGGTGGTTGGCTTCGGGGAGACTTAGTTCTGTCGAGGAGCGCAGGGTAATGAGACCGATGAAGCGTAGTCCTTCTTCTTGTATCATGTGCACGGCATATGCGATTCTGACCGCGTCTGGATTTTCCGGTGATGGCAGGCAGTGCTTGATGAATTTCTCCGTGTCGGCCGGGGATTTGGATTGGCCGTGTATGCTAGATGTGCGTTAATATTTTCCCTGGGATTTGGCGAGAGATTGTTGGTTTACCTCCACCATGTTGTCTGCTTATCGCTTCGGAGCTCGTGCAGCCACGAGAATTCTTGACTTCCGAGTTCCGCTTTTTCAAGAAGTGTTAGTCTTAGTCGGGGCGTTGAAAGTGTGTGCTCCATGTTATTGTTTGATGGCTTGGTATGCGGGTTGTGACATTGGTGTCTGAGCATTGCTTTAAGAGTTGTATCTCTCGGCTAAGATTTCGACTCATAATGATGCTAGCTGTAGTAGCTGTGGCGCAGGACTGCGCTAACACCTGTTGAGGATTAGGATAGCGAGTTCGTGTAAGCACCATCAAGCAAAATTGGGTGTTGTTCGAGCCTCGAGCTTGAACCGAGTCTTGCGACAAGCCAATTACGCCCCAAACTTATTTCTTTGTCAAAGACAACCGCAACCTCAAAATTCCACATCAGCTCAGACACACATGCAGACAATGAAGTTGAAATACAAAACTTTTCTTGAGAGATGCTTATGAACGATGTTTGCGCGCGATGGCGTCGTGGAAGAATACAGAAATGCCCATAGGCAGCTTCGATGTCAAGATGGCCGCCTCATGCTGTCCATTCCAGCATTTTTCATGACAAGTATCGTTCGCCATATCTTCTCTCATGTATGTTATACTATCATACAGAAATTTTCTCCATGGATCCGCTGTCCAGTTTTTCAATGCCTCAAGACATGTACAAATCAGGTCTTAAACATCTCTTCCAGGTAGCCGATCTTGACAACAAAAGGTTGTTACATGGCCATGGGCAAGGCCCCAGTCCTGTGATAGGCGCGCCGAGCAGCACGGTCAGTCAAAACCTCTTTGGCGGCGTTGACTTCCTGCATCAATATGGTGGCGGTGCCGCGGAACTCTTCGGCTACGCGGTCGGGGTGTAGATCGAGGGAAACATGCCGCCAGGCGGACAAGATCTGGTTCTTGGAGACGTTCCAGTCATTTAGACCTAAAATATCGTAAAGCACGACATCTTTTGGGGGAGGCAGAGGCAGACGAGGCGAACGGACGGGGCGGACGATGCGAGCACCTGGAGACGATGGCAGAGGCGGGCCGCTAGGGGTCCTTCGGGTCGTTCGCGTACGGGGGAATGCAGCAACAAAAGGCTCGGGAGTGACCGGCGGATTCGGGTCTCGGTTCTCCTGGCCGGTCCAGAAGGAGTCATTTGGCGACTGCGAGTATGGGGCGGCATCATCACGTGGAGATGGGCATGGAGTGCTGTTTGCCGAGTCGCTCCGCTTGCCGAGGGGACTACGACCATCGAGCCTAGGTCGCTGCGAAGGAGGACCCCGAGGCACCGAGTCCGCTGTGCTGTCCACGAAGATCTCGATGGGTCGCTTGCGGCTGGGCCTGAGGCGGGTCGGCTGTGGCACGTCCAAGAAAGCAGGCGAGACGTGGGGTAGCTCCTTGGGTAGACGATGCTGCGAAATGGGCGGAGCGACCACAGGATATGTGTCCGGCATCTGATCATCGATAGGCAAGGCGACGGAAGCCAGGACGACGATGGTTGATGTGAGAAGCGGCTTTGAGGTTACAGGTCAGCAGTGTTTTTGGAGGATCTTACACACAGAAAGCGTACCCGAGTCACTGCCGGCTGCGGGATGGCAGGCTGAGCAGAGCGTACTGGGGGCATGATTTCAGCGCAAATGATCGTTGGACGTATAAGAACCTAAAGTTGTGTTACAGGATACCCTCAACACGACAAAGGGAGGTGGGCGTACAGTTTAGCGCGTTGGAAGATTCAGTAAAGAGATGCGGCTTGTTTCTGATATACAAAGTTCAAGTTCGAAGCCTTAGTACAAACGATCGGTACTGCTGCAACGATCTCCAATCTCAGTACAACGGGGTTGAGAACGGGAATAGTCCTCAACGAAAGGTAGAGATGAAAATTGAATAGTGGCGGTTGCTCATGGGAGAGCTTATAAGGACCGTGGATAGTAGCTCCAGTTGGGTTGGGAATGTATGCTGCGTGACTGCAAGTTTTGGCGGGCGGTTTGGAGTGGTCCGAGCACCCGAGGTGAAGCTGGCGGAGTATCCACGTGGAGTGCGGTCGCCACGCGCAGACGCGCCAAAGCGCGAGCGACGCTCAACAAATTTGCGTTATATACGTTGTCCATGAGAGAGCACTGTCGGCTGGTTCGTCAGGACAGCGTCGAGTACTTGTCTGGCACTTGACTTTGTTGACGTGAGTGTCAGATGTGCTCTAGCTGTTCAGAATGAGATGCCCCCAAAGTGGAAGCTATGGAATTGAATGACTGGTAGCTTTTACTGTCTCGGGAGGAGGCTGTGTGAATATGATCCATCATTCGGGCAGTCTGGACCTCGACCAGGACAAATCCGTCGAGTAAGATACTCGTATACATTCTCTCGCACCTGCAGTGGACAAATTCAGCCCTTCGACAAGCCAAACATGTGCGTATCTCTGATGGCGTGGTGAACCGAGTCGTTTGGGGATGTGGTCGTGTCCATGGTATCAAAGGGCCCTCCGGAAGTTGTAAGGTACAAGATCAATTTTGGACAGAGTAGAACGTTCCGCGGCTCTGGTGCATCAAGAGGTCCAGGACCCATCCTAGTAATAGGCAGTAGGATAATCTGGGCACCACAGACAGTGGTGGCTCAAGTCCGATCTTTTGATGGCGGTTCGAGGGCCAGGACACGCACCTTTTGTGACTCGTTGTTGCTTCTTCTCGCATTGTTCGCGGACGCAAAGCATAAGCTAAAATTACAAGCACATGCACGGATGCAAGAGTGTGCCCGAGTTGACACAACCACCTCTCCTGTGGCCGTCGTTTGGGTCGGACGGACTGGATGCGGATTGTTATGTCGGTATAATCTTGATTGATGGCAAGCGGCACATTTAGAGAATGTCAACCAGCCAGCAAGCTGATGCGCTGTCGACATCATTCGAAAATGTTTAATCTTCAGGCCTAACGGGTATCTTGTCATGGTTGTCAACTTGTTGTCAGTCGCCTTTGTATTTTGATCTCTCGATCAAGCAATCGAAACACGCTCGCGAACTTCTTTTACCGAAATAGGAAGCGCATACTTCTGACTGTGCAAAGGCTGAAGTGGGTGGCTGCAGTTATGCTTGAGATCAGTTGTAGGTCGAGCAAGAATTGAGAGACATGGATAGGCAGGTAATGTCAGTTCTACCAATATCACCTTGTGAGTCTGCTTGCCTCAAGCTGTGGTAATACCAACCGGTTCGACCGATCATGTCGCATGGACTTCATCGTGTCAGGGGTCGAGCGCGGTTGTTGCAACATCGGAGGATTTTGCTGCAGGATGAACAAATAACTTCAAAATGTGAGAGTGTGTAATAGGACTCGATTTGCTGTTGGAAGAGCAGATAAAGTTTGTTGAGGTACATGTCTTTCGAAAGGAAGTCGAGAGTCGAGGCTCTCTCTCAGCGGGAGACTTGGTTAAGCGAGAGATGCCTGCTGGCCCGCTGTAGCCAACAAAGTGAAGTCGGATGCGTTTGTCGAGCCCAAGCGAACCCGAATCAGCGGTCGCAGCTCGGCATCAAGCTGATACTATGGCCACCATTTGCCTATGGAATCCTAAAGGTGTGTGTAGCTCTCGGCGACTACAAAGTTCGACGTGGGATACATATATCATGGGTTGTTTCCTGTAGGCATCGCATCCATCACGGATGAAAGCAGTCGTGCTGAGATGGCGCGAGTGCGCTCTTCCGAGTACTAGACTGCCTGTCTCAGTATATAAACTTGAGAATGTGAGACCGTTGGGATGACTTTTGTCTAATGTTGATGTTATTGTTGTGGTTGCGGGTTGGGACGAAAGGAAATCGGTGTTGTGGAGAGAGCCCTCAGAGCTGAAGTTGGGCCGAGCTTCGGCAACAGCAGTCGCGCACTCGGTCGGAGGCAACAGTACCTCCACACCAACATCGTCGTCGTTGCATCTCACATCTTGCATATACATGATATAACATCATCAAACAACTCAAGTCTATTACATCAAATCTAGTTAACAAAAGCTACTAACAATGTACCGTATTTAGAGCATCTGCGGGGAACCATCACAGACCGAGGCGCGACGCGCCGCTGAGAGGGGTGATGCGGGTAAGCCCCGTTGATAGTGCAAGATCGCTACGATTCACAACAAAATTACTTATCGGACTATACAACGGCCAGCATGTCTGGAACAGTGAATATAGGACCTAAGCTGGCTCTCGGGCCCGCGCCCACGCGTTTACGCCAGATTGCGCTGGTTACAAAAGACCTAGAGCGCGCCCAGCGACTGATTGTATGGCTGTCAAGAAATGGTCCGACCTATGGCGACTGACAGACAGGGTGTAGACACATGTTCTAGGAACAGAAGTGGTGTACAGCGATCCTGCTGTTGGCCAATGGGGGCTGAAGAACTGCATGAGTACGTATCCCCGTAGACTTGAGCAACATCGGCGACTGACAGGTATCTTCAGTCCCACTCGGAGGCGACTTCATCGAGCTAGTTTCCCCCTTCAAAAGCGGAACTACGGCGGGCAGGCTACTGGAGAAGCGCGGGGAGGGCGGCTACATGATCATCATGCAGACTGAAGACGCAAAGAAGCGGAGGGACCACATCAAAAGCAAGGGTCTGGCAAAAGTTATCTTTGAACACGAGCACGGCGACGCCGTCTGCGTGCAATACCACCCGAAGGGTATCAGGGGTAGGTTCTCACCCTAGTTCGGCAGACGGCATCGACATCGCCCTAGTACTGAATCTTGTAGGTGGAATGATGCCAGAGCTCGACAGCCTCGCGCCGGGGCCGAACAACCCTACCCCTCTCAAATCACGTTTCTCTCCATGGCACGCATGCGGCTCGGATCACAAGGTGTACTATCCAGGGATGAAGCGCAGCGAACACCTGACGTTGCAAGGCTGTGTTCTGCGACTGCAGCCTGGCGACAGCCAGCACGAAGCTGCGTCGCGGCAGTGGGAAGATATTTTCGGTGTGGCTCGAAGCCGTGATCTGCTCGCGTTCACAAATGCAAGACTAGGCTTCGTTGCGGGGCAAGAAGGCCAAAATGAAGGCCTCGTTTCAATAACGGTAGGTGTAAACGGCACGAACAACATGGATGCCATCAAAGAGAGGGCAAGGCAAGCTGGTGTCTTTGCAGATGGGCAAATCAACATGTGCGGCGTTCGGTGGAACATCTCCTTGACGGGGCATATGGAGCCCAAGGGGAAACTCTAGCAGCGCAATCCTCGATGTTTACTTCAAGGCCGTTCGCCGGTCTGTTTACTGCGGGGAAACTAGAGCATTGCAAAAAGCAAAGTCTACACGTTTGATACGGCTGGAAATGCCAGGAGCTGACTTCAAGCGGTCGTACGTCAGAATAGACGCCCTTGGCAAGCACCCCGCTTTGCACTCCCTACAGTGGTCACATCAGACCACCCCAATCTATTCCTTCAATACGCTCGCTGCCATTACTTACGTATGTTTCAGCACGTATCCTCTGCAAACGTCCTCTAGCTTTCATTTTCTAGCCTTCCGCTCCCGGTAGGCACCCGTGTCGGCTATTTGCGCGCGAACCGGGACGACCGCTTAGCATGGAGCATTTTCGCCGTTGATGCCTGGAAATCGCTCCATTGACAACAAAACAACAGGATGCAGCGTAAAGGGAGTCGCCACCGTCCTTCACTGTCAGGCTCCGCCCACCAGCGTCTCAAGTGTGCCTTGGTCACCAAGCCGATTGCCTTCTCTCAACAGGCAACCTACCACCAACAACACTACGAGTTCCGCGATGCGTTTTCATGAGCTGCTTTGCATCATTACGAGTTTGCAACCCTGCAGGATCCATAACAGACACTATATCAACGGGAACTCTTTTCGGTCCTTCCGATTCCTGCCTTTTCAGCCTCATTTGCCATGATGTCACAGGAAGCATCAGCTAGCCTGGGGCGCCTTACGCACAGCCTGATTGCTGTTGCAGGCCGGTGTACAGCCATACTACAATGTATGTGGCTCTCGACTCTCGGGCGTTTTGAGAATGAGCCAGACGGCCCGGCATCACTAAGCGGCCGAATCCCGTGCACCATATCCCTAAGCAGTTCGTACCGCATTTGGTCTGAACGGTCGTAGTGCTTTCGAGGACCCATGCCCATTCACGCCTCACTCCATGTCCCTGAACCATGTCGCAGAGCTTCTCCCGTTACCTCTCGAGTCCAATACTAGCACCTCACTTGCTATGCGAGTGGAGTCGCGATCGGATGTGTACCGGCCAGTCTCCAATTTCCTCACGGTTACACTGGCTTGCCGCGAACGATGCCAAGCCGTACACTCGTACGGTTGGGATTGCGTACATAGTTTTGGACGCCCTCCTCGCTGCTGTATCCATAGCATCGCCGCCCATTCAGTGGACCTGTCCTCCATACTAGCCACTCTATACTTTTTTGAGTCTCCCTCCTACGTCCGCTCCCGCAACATTCTTCACTCCAACTCAGTGTTGCCAACCGCCTACCGTCGCTCGGGTTCACTACGGTCATATAGTGCGGGCCCTCTGCCAGGGGCATCTTGCTCGTCATGTCGGAGTATACAAGGGATGATGGCAGTATCGACTATCGGGGCGCACCTGATTCGTCATTCTTCTCTCTCCATGGGCCAGATGATTACGAAGAATTCCAAACTGTTGCAGCTAGTCCCGTGATGGGCCCTTGGTCCGCATACAACACACGAGTAAGTCTTACAATCTTTGGATTTGTGCTGCTTATAACAAAGGATAGCGTGCGCCATATCATTCGTCGCCGTATCCACTGCCGGACGAGCCAACCAGTCTACATGCCCTCGGCCATGTAGACCAAGCTGCGCGTGATCTGGACGTCTTCAAGGACAGCTTCCCGCAGGTCGAAGCGTTTGGACGCTATCCTAATACCGATGGCATAGCTTATTCTCGCCTATCTTCCCCAACAAACTCGCCGCTTCCTGGCCACTTCACCACCGTCACGGCTACGGCCGTCGTCACTTCTGACACTTCTGCAGCCGGCATGAACGATGATCATGAAATCTTGTCCTGCACGCAGTGCGACCAGACATTCACAGGTGCATACCGATCCGGCAACTGTGCGCGACATGTCCGGCTGAAGCACATTAGAGCAGACTTGTACGAGTGCGACGCCTCAAATTGCTTCAAGGTCTATCAACGGCAAGACGCTAGATTAAAGCATATGCGTAGCAGGCACCCTGAGTTACATGTCCCACCTATGCAAAGACGGCGTCCTGAGGCCTCGTCAACTCAAACCCTCGGTCGCGTTCGTGCATCCTCTTCGCCAAATCAGTCCTGGCAACCCGCCAACCAGGAGCAAATTGATACCTCGGCTTCAGACGATTGCCTTCAAGTTTGCTCAGCGTATACAGGCACACGGTCAAGCACTGCCAGCTATGAGCGCAGCTTCTCGCCACACCCTGATTCGACATTCACTGATTCTTACGATTCAAGCTTCCTCAATCCGTATTCGCCTTACCCTCGCCGCCCGATATCGTTGCCAACCAACGTCTTCGAGGATCGCTCGCTTTCACCCCTACCATCCCCTGGCCGAGCATCATCACAGTACTATTCCGACACTTGCATTGACCCAGCTCTACTCAACTCAACCGGCATGAACAGTGAAGCCGACGCGATTTATGGTGAACACACGCCAGAAAACTTTAGTGGTCATGCTCCGTACTAGCTAATAGGATAAGGGTGGCCCTGATCTCGGCGGCGACTGATTTTGAGCGCTTGCAGGATACTCATGTTCCATTTTTTTTTAACTTTCAGCTCTTTTATGTACGATACCCCAGACAGAAGCGCTAACTGCGTTCGTCTCATCCTGTATGGCAGGATGCTTTCTAGTAGTAATCTAGCAGCGCAAATCTTGGCGTTTTATCCAAATTCAAACTGCTTTTAACGTTACTCGGCTCTTAAGGCAATTTTACACATACCCTTAGGTCAGAGGATCTGGAACTAAGTGAGCATGTTCAGCAAAACGTTCTCGGTGCGTTTTCGCAGCCGAGACATGTTTCGCCCTCGGGACGAACCGACCAGGTTCGCGGGTGGCCTAAAACCTGAGATAGAAAGGCCATCTTCGCTTGGCACCTGGCAGTTTGATCCGTCACAGCCAGGCAAACGGGATTTACGTTCCACTCTCTGTTCGGTACTACCACATTAGAACTCTAGTCCGCTGTCTGATAGGTGGCTGTATACGATCGCAGCTAAGAACTCAATGCGCATTAGCTACATATTTAATGACAGGAACAAATACCATCAACATCTGGCGAATTGACTGTTTTTAAGGTACGTTTAGGTGTTTGACGTACTCCTTGGTACGAGGCGGTCTACCTGAGAACCACAGACAGCCAATCAGCGCTGAGAGCCGCCGAGCAGGTTGTGTGAAGGCACGTGACTTGACTCCACCCAATATGAGCAGATTTAGCTTGATGGAGTATGGCAAACTTGCTCAATCTGTAATTGGCCACAAGTGGTCCTACGAATCAGCAACTGCATAAAATGGACCGACAATTCACCGAGCAGATCTATGAAGAGGAACATAAATGCTTCGCGACCTTGAGTACTTTGATCTTGCAAGAGACGCTGCATTCCTATCAAAATGAAACTCTCTGCCCTTTCCGCGCTCTTCGGCGCAACTCTGGTCGCCTCACAACATGCGCCTGCTTCCAACGACACAAGTACTATACGATTCCACCCCAAAACTATCCAAACAATCTCCTAACCTATCACCAGCTCTCCCCAAAAACTGGGCCGTCGCACTCTTCCCCTCCTTCGACCCCATCGACGTCTTCGGCACCCTCGACCCCCTCTACTACCTCGCCTTCAGCCGCCAACTCAACCTCGCGCTGATCTCCGAAACGCTGGATCCAGTATGGGTCCAACCACCCACTCCCTCGCAGAACCACCAGAATAGCAATTTTTGGTACAGCGTAAGCATTGCTCCTCCCCCAGCTGGTCTTGAGCTGGTCTCAACATTTGCTTTGTGAATAGGTCAACCCAACACACACCTACGCCAACCCGCCCTCAGACATCGAAGTCCTCCTCGTGCCCGGCGGCGGAGGCGTCAGACTGCTCAATCTTACGGCGCAAACTGACTTCGTGCGCGCTACGTATCCCAAGGTGAAGTATCTGCTCTCCGTATGTACCGGCGCGGGCATACTTGCTAAGGCGGGTGTGTTGGACGGGCGCTCGGCGACGACGAATAAAAAAGCTTGGGGCACGATTACGGCAATGGGGCCAAAGGTCAATTGGAAGAGTCCGGCAAGGTGGATTGTAGATGGCAACATCTGGTCGAGTAGTGGAGTGAGTTGTATCCCTATTGCCGGTTGGGCGAGAGATTGGGAGCTGATAAGATGCAATAGGTTACGGCGGGCCTGGATCTTATCTTTGCATTTATTGAGGAGGTTTATGGCAAGGAGTTGGCGGAGAATATTGCGGGTACTGTGGAGTATGAGAGGAGTAGGGGTATGTGTGATGATCCTTTTGGGGCGATTCATGGGGTTAAGCCGACGTGGGAGTGTGTTGAGACGAAATGAGATGAGTTACGGAGCGAGCGTGAGTGTTGAGGCGTGACGATGACTAGAATCAGCTATGGTTTTGGGAGTTGAATGCCAGCTTCGAGATCCTGGGAGTCTCATCTTCACACATCAGGTGGTCTCCCATCGACTCCGACGGTGAAAGATTAGGCTGGGATGGACAGTGGAGATTTCAGCGGATGTTCGTGTCGTAGACGTTCGGGAACATGGCTCGGATTCAATTATGTGGTCTTGCGTAAGATATTAAATTCATGTAAATATGTACAAGAAGAGTGGTGTGAGTCTGCCTCAACAAGCTTACACAACCGGCCATCCGCTCGAGAAGTCAATCTTGTTGACACCGAACCTCTTCTGGCCATCAGCGTAGCCAATGCGCGTGTCGACGTAGTGGTAGTAAAGGACAGGGCCCATCTGAGGGTCGTAGTAGACACCCTGACCACCAGGTCCGTAGACGAAACCGTGCGACTCCAAGACGGTTGTACCTCCACCCTCGGTGCACTTCTTGCCAGCCTTGTCGACGAATCCTCCAGTCGCGCTGGTCGATCGGCAGACCTGGATCTTGTACTCGGCGCCCTTGGCAGGGCGGTTGGCGTCGAAACCGCAGCACTTGCCGACCGAGAAGAAGAGGTAGTGGTATTTGCCATTCAACGCGATGAAGGCAGCTTCCTGGGCATGCTCGCCCTCGGGCTTGAATGCGAGCGGGACCTTGCTGGCACCGCTCACAATCTTGGTAGGTGGGTTCTGCATGTTGATGGAGAAGAGATCGGCCCAGAAGGAACCGTATGACATGACGAACTTGGAGCCGTCCCAGTACAGGGCACCGTCGATGGCATTGTAGTTGTCGCCTGGTTTCGATGTGATGCCGGTGGAGCCTAGGTCGTTCCAGGTATCGAGATTTGAGCTTGTAGCAACACCAATAGCTGAGTTCTGGTTGCCGAAGGCTGATACGGAGTAGTATAGGTAGTACGTGTTGCCAACCTTGGTAACATCAGGCGCCTGTTGCACATCGTCAGAAGTGGTTTTTTTGGAAAAGATCTACACGTTCTACATACCCAGAGATCGTCTTTGCCGTTCAAGTTGATCTTCGAGCCGTTAGGGATCGCGGCACCCTTGTACGTCCAGGGTCCTGTGATGCTCGGCGCACTGTGAATGGCTATCTTGCCGCCAGTGGAGAATCGGTAGTAAGTGCCATCGTCACGTCGGATGAGTGCTGGGTCATGAGCATTGGTGCAAACACCGCTGCAACCCATCGGATCAGCATATCCGTAGACAGCTGTAGCGGCAGAGATCAAGGACACAATGAGGTTGCGCATTGTGATCGTCGAAGTGATTAGATGAGTGACCGGGACGACTGAACACGGTCAAGGGCAAAGACGAGTGTTTATAGACATAAGGGTGTTTTTCAAAGTTTGGAATTAGTTAGGTTTCGGAACAATCAAACCAAGCCTGGTAAAGCCTCTGAGGTGAGATGGTGATCCCTGTGCCATCGTCCAAGCTCAATGGTGGAAACGTGCTATTAGGGTACGCACTGAGAAGGTTCCAACGGAAGATTAATGCGCCCATCCCAGTCTTCCCGCGCCCACCTTCCCTTACCAGCCTTGCCAACGGTAGTACCGGTGGTATTCTAGAGAGATCATCAGATCTGATTGATGCGCGAAAGTACTTTAGGCAGGAGAATTCTTGCAAATATAGACACCGTCTAAATCTAGTCATGCGCATGTTGTTACAAGCCTAACATTACCGTCGTCATGGTTTATCAGTGGTGGATTCGCCCCGCAAGGCTCGGGTAGAAGCTCCAAGAGGTTTAGATGAGGTGTGGAGACATGAAACACATTGACAACCGCACCACCACGCGATTTTGCCTCGGTAAGATCCCGTGCCGTATGTAGGTGAGGTGACTGGCATGCGTACATCGTAGGGTCGGGGAGAATGTCACTTTTACATGGAGGAGAAAACTAGGAAGAGGCGATGTCGAAGGTTCACAGGTTGTCGGGTCATCTTCTGCCGGCACTTGCGGAAATGTCGATGCCAAGGCTGGGGCGCATGAGGTGGGTCTTGTGCGCTACCTCGGAAGTCCTGTTATTTGCTCGTTTCTTGACGACTCACCACAAACTTCTTCATCTTGCTAACGGAAGCATCGTTTTCGTCCCACAGGATTCTCGACGGGGACATTTTCTCGTCATTCGACTTGGTGCCTGCACGTAGGTCTCCACTAGTTTGAAATGTCGGAATGCAACCTACCTGGGTATAGGAACCGGGGCTACCCAGTCGCCCGCTTCATAATATGCCCACATAGTCGAGCGCAATGCCGCACGAATGACTTGAACGAGCGCATCTCGCTTCAGACCACGCTTGTTCCTTATGTTGATCAACCAGCTCACACGAAATGCTAGTGGTCTGTAATGTAGGGGCACAAAAAGCTCTCACGTAAATGTGACCGGGTAATTCAAACTGCAAGAAGACAAGAAACTGGGTCCATCTGAGGTTCTATGCATATTCGATCTCATCATGGTGCTTTTGGTTTCATTTGGTAGTACTTAGCATACCAACCCTGCTGTAAGGCTTGTAGTAGACCTTGTCTCATGTCATAGGCCGCTCGACCATCGGATAAGACCGACAGAGCTTGCTAGGTTGAGATTCCGCACAAAGAGCATCCCATATCCCGGTCATGTCAAGATCCAGCAAAAGGGACGCGCAGGATGTCGATGTGTGGCGACTTCTCCGTTCTGTTGTCACCTCGAGCGCAAACATTCTTGGCGCAATATCGAATAGTTCCCTTCAACTCAGATTTCGATTAGACTTCATCTTCATTGCAGCCGACGAACAATTGCTTCAACTGTGGACACCTTTTTCGCACACATAGAAACGCCCCTGCGGTCTTCTCTAGACGATTGCTCTTCATGAACTCATGAACCTGGGCCGGGTCGAAATGGTTCCTAATGAAGATCTTGATATCGCGCATGGCTGTGCCCTGCTTATCATGAACTTCTGAGATAACACTGGACAGTACATTCAGGTAGAGATGGAGGCGGTTATGGTCGAAGTCGCTGAAGCCGAGGGATACACGTGGTTGAAAGTCCAGATTCATAACAATACTGGCATTCGTTTTCAAGGACCTAAGCGCTCTCATGCTTTTCTTGAGAATAGCAGTCTGATCCTCTGGCGAGATATAAAAACCTTCACTCATCGAAACTGGATTTTGCGGGTAAGGATCAAGATCACGTCGACAGACGTTGATCTCGATATTGCTAATGTTTTGCTTGGGGAGCAAGTCGAGGTCCCGCCAGTCGTTGCACAAGAAAGTATCGAGGTAGACGTGGCTCTTTAGGACAAACGTAGCTGAGAGGTAACAAGCCTCCACAATTTCCGTACTGAGAGCACCCAGGGTATTGTTGTCCGGTATGTAATTTGGGAGCACAGGTAAGGATTCAAGAGGCTTCGCAATACCAGCTGCGTGCTGTCCAACAATGACACGCTCGCCTTTGAACATATACCGGTATATCATCTCTCGTAATTCTCGAGGCAATAGTTGTCGTGCAGAATAGCAAAGCATGTAACAATGCAGCTTTCTGTAGTCTTTCCAGCGTTGTACCATGCGGTGCTCTATTGTCTCGCGTTTGTCATGGGCTTGCTCGATGCCGTCCTTTACGAAGGAAATTTTGTTCTCTCGTCTCCTTAACTTCATTTTGAGTGCTTTGGCAGGCGACCCGGCGTCCCAATCCGAGTTCACATAGATCCGAAGCGTTTTGTTGTCACATTGAACCTCAGCCTCGAGCTGAACCAGCTGCTTGCGAAGTCGCGCAGCCTCTAGCGACAGGTTTTTCGAATTCCTGATAGTCCTAGAATCTTATTAGATCTTTTTGCTTAGAGAATATTGCTTGCACTCATACCTGATAATTTCTTGTTTCACGCGAGTGACTTCCTCACCTGGCAGTGATGGAGGCGCCATGCTGTGGACACCAGACTGCGCAGGACAACGGCGACGATTCGGAATGAAGGTGAAGATCGAAAGAGCAAAGCGAAAAGTCAAGTGGGCTGTCGCCGTTTGTTGCCCAGATGTGGTCAAGTTGGGCTAGCGGCTGGGACGCGCTACTGCGTGCCGATACGTCACTCTCTCACCAACCACTACACACGTGCAGAAGACTGATCTCATACTGACAGAGGTTTCACTGAGAAAGTAATATCATGGTGATCTGCGACGTAGCTTGTTGTCTTACTCCCATTTCCTTGATCAGAACCATTAGGCCGAAATCTACGCGACTGATGGCTACATCTCTTCAAAACGTTTCCGTGCCTTTATTCTTGCGAGTGACACAATGAGAAGATGCCTTTCCTCTTCCAAACTCAGAGCCACAATATCTTGAATACAGCAATCGAGCGGCTCAAGAAATATTCTGTGTCGCCTTGTTGCGCTTCTCAAGTCCCCACTCAATCGCTCGTGCCAAACAACCCTCAGGACTCCATAACGTGTGGTTCTTCGTCATAAACAACTCTGCAGCTGAATCTAAACAAATAGAAATCTTGCGCCCTCGCGCTTCCAGTTCTTCAATAAGAGGCCATACGTATGTAATACCGTCTAACAGTACTCGAGCGCTCCGCTCATGCTTGTCCCAAACCTCAAGACTCCTCAGGGAAATCTGGAGATTACGGTCGATGTCAATCGTCGGTAGGATGTGGAAGGTAATTGCCACCGGAGGTTTCAGGTGTGTTGTGAGGAACGATGCTAGGAGCAGTGGGTAATCATGGCAGCGATCGGACGCCGTTATGATGCGCAAGTAGTCCCTATGATTGTGTCGGTAGCGTTTGATTTCGTAACCCTCTTTTCTTATCACATTCTCCGGTAGCCTAACAATGATCTTGCGAATAAGTGTGCTAACATCAAGCCCTGACCTCAATTCAGAGGTGGCGAAGAAGTTGGGGATATGGCTCGGGTCGTCAAAAACGAAAGTGGCTTCGCTATACCAGGATCTATCGAATTCGCACAAGATCGGATCTGTCACAAAATTCACGTCGAACATGTGGCGGTGAGTTCGGCTGCCTTGTCCGACATAGATGTTTGTCGGCTCTGATTTCACGTTGGGGTTATTCAAAGTAATGAATCGATGTGCTCGCTGTGCGGTAAAGCGCGCGTCCCTGGAGGGCCTCAGTGGGGGTTGCCCAACCCAAACCACCTCATTCTTCAAGATATGACTATACACCATATCTCTGAGCTCTCGAGGCAATTTCTCGTACATCATCTCGCAAAGAGAAATGCATTGTGACTTGGCGTAGGCAGCAGCGTTGGCCATGTACTGTTTGAATGCTTCTTTGCGTCGCTTGACGGATCGGTAGAATGTGGCTTCCGCTGTGATACACGTGGTCACGAGTTGACTAGTCTTCTGCTCCAAATAGTTGCGCGCACGACGGTTGCAGTGTCGCAGGGCGTGTACGCTCCTTCGAAGTTGGCGTCGCACGTTGTGGAGGAGAAGGTCTGCTTGATGTATCTCCAAAATGGATGCGTCATAGTCTTGTATAGATCTAACAGTAGTTAGTCAAGTGCCAACATTGAGTAGCGATGATCACTTACGCAACAAGTTTCGCACGACTCTCGTCTATAGTGGCCATGGTCGAAGTTCCGTGTGAGTGGTTGAGAGATCGTTGATCATCGATGGTCGCTAATGTCTTGTAGGGCTACCTAGGTAGGGTTTCGCGGCAGAGAAAATCAAGACTACTTGAGAAGCTTGGCAAACTAGTATGGGGAGAGTGAATGCGGAGGCAGTGGGCCGTGCGCCGGGCACAACACCGGTACCAACCTTGGAAACGAAAGAGCGAGAAAAGCAATTGTTCATTCCTGCCTGACTAAATCCTCTCCACAAACCAACCTATGTACTGAAGTTGACTACTCGGGTTTAGTGCTCAATCGTTTCTGCGTTCAATTTGATTCCCACCAACAACATTGTGTACACGTGCACGCTTCGAGTTCTTAATCGCATCTAAATTTGTTCTAAGTGACAGTCACCAATGGCTGCTCTCCACTCCCACCATCCTCACCCGTCCTCGTCACCTTCGGTTGTTCCTTCTCATCTCTGGCTTTCTCCACCTCCAGCGCCGGCCCTTCGTACCCAATAGCCTTCAACCACTTTGGATCGATATTTTCCAACGCGAGATACGGACTCACATCGGCTTCTGGGTACGCGACGTTGCACTTTGCGAAACCCATACCAAGATGCGCCCAGGGGTTTTTGTTCAAGTATTGAATCTCGAAGTCTTCGTAGCGTGGCGTGGCGATGACCTCGGAGTAATGGTTTGAAGAGCCGGGCCAGACGGCTATTAGAAAGTGTCAGTAAGCCTTGCAGTGTGTGGTATAGTGATGAGTGATGGCTTACCGTTCACGCGTCCTGTCTCGTTATTCTTGTACCACGATCTACAATCAGACTTCCACACAGTATGCTTGATCCATTCCTGCGCGTGCTCATTGAAACGGTCTGTGATATCCTGCCGCGGCACCCATGACTTAATATGGTCGCGCTGCATCTTCTTAATGATCTGTATGGTATATTCAGCGACTCCGAAAAGTGGTCCAGTCACGGAGCCGTTCTCCACGGGCCATGTTGGTCCAACAAACATGATCCAGTTCGGCATGTCAGGACATCCAAGACCGAGATATGATTCTGGCTCGTTCTTCCACTTTTCGTAAAGGTCGACACCGTTCCTGCCAATGACGGGAAAACGTGGTTTATATGTTACGTCGAAACCGGTGGCGCAGACGATGGTGTCGACTTCGCGGTGTTTGCCGTCATTGCCAATGACGCCTGTCTCGTCGATCTCGTCAACGGCTGTGAAGTGTACATCAACATTCTCCTTTTGGATTGCGTTCATGTACGGGTCACCAGGTGTGATACGGCGGCCTATCGAATATTAGCTTTGCAATCGCAATGAGTGAGGAAACATAAGCACATACATCCGACCTCAAACTTCGGCGTAAATCCAGCCAGGAGTCTCTCGTCCTTAATGAACTCCTTCATCCGCTCTCGGAACAGATCCTGCGCCGCCTTTTGACCCTCACTTCCGGTATAGAACGCGCCCCACAAACCATTGACTTGGTTCTCGATGTCTTTTGCATGTGCCAATAGCTTCTTCGGATCGCGTCGGAACTCGTCTCGCTCTTCTTCCGAGTACTCTTTGTTTTGACCGTAGTTGTTGGCAATTTGTACAAACCAGACGCCAGTGCGAACAAATATATCTAGGTGCTTTGCGTGTGGCTGCATCGTCGGTACCGTCTGGATGGAAGATGCGCCGGACCCAATGATTGCGACGCGGTCGTTGGCCCACTGCTCCCTCTGATAGTCTTCCGGCCATGTAGCTGTATGGACGATCTTTCCCTTGAAGCTGTTGATGCCCTTAATCTTAGGCCACTTGTAGTTGTTCAGAATACCAGTCGCGTAAAGCAAGAGGTCGCATTCTTCCACGAATTCCTTCTCTTCGCCGGAAGGCGACTTTTGCTTCAAAGTAACTTTCCACTTTCCGGTCTCTTCTTGCCATTCCGCACGAACAACCTCAGTGTTGAAGGTCATATACTTTCGTAGATCGAACACTTCGACAACTTTGAGCAGGTACTTTTGAATATCGGGAGCATACGAGAAGAAACGAGGCCAATCCGGGTTAAGCGCAAAGTTGAGTGTGTACGCGTGAGAGGGGATGTCGCAAGCACATCCTACACCATGTCAGTGTCTGAGCACCACATATCGCGGATATTTCATTACCTGGGTATCTGTTCTCCAACCACGTTCCGCCAATATCCGTGTTCTTCTCATAGATCACATGCTCCACATTTTCGCAATTCTTTTGGATATGGTACGCCATTTGAATGCCGGAAAGACCGGCCCCAATGGTCAATACTCGGAGCTTCCGTGATGACGGGTCCTGTTCGTTATCAGCGTGAGAAGCAGGGACCTGATAATTTCCAGACTTACATCGTATACAATATCTGGGATATTGTAGCCGCCGGACCCAGGCGTAGAGTAGTCCCAACGACCGTTGCTGTCGATCGAATTCAGATCCGGTGCCATAATGCTTCAGCTGTCTAACTCTTTCTAGGTAGAGATAGGTTTGTTCTCGAGCCGTGATGAAGAATGACCAGTGTATGATTATATCCGAATTCGCGATGCGGAAGTAGTGGTTCGAATGAGCAAAGTCCAGAACACTATTTTCCCACTGAGAGAGCGCTAAAACACGCAAGAACCTATGGAGGGCTTGAAGAAGCGAGTAGGGCGTCGGTGAAAGCCAGCAGAACAAGTCACTCGCCTTCGATCAAACAGATTGTAATCAAGATTGCTGTTAAACCAGGGAGGAGCTGATATTTATGGATTGGATCACGAACTGCGGGCGAGATCGAGTATTCCAAGCTGTCTACGTGCCGCATCATAGCATATCAGTTTGCAATCAAGTGCGACTCGGCGGGCTTTTGTCATACTGGAGCCTTCGCAGGCTCAAAATGGTATAGCACTCTACTGTTAGACCAATCATGATGTTCCAGATGCTTAGTGATGGAGCATTTGTTGCACTCGTGCATGTTTCGGGCGGGGCGTCTTGCGGGGTTTTGAACGAGCAACACCTCGGCTGAGCACCTACGGATGCGGCACCCTATGATCATCAAACAATGAACTGCATTTAACTGATTTGAAATCAGATTATACAACTGTCGACATCCGCAAACCTGCTGAAATGTTCGTGCGCGCTTTCATCCAATTGGTAGACCCTTGGCCATTGTGTGTAACATTTTCTGGGACGTTGGGATCGCATCACAAGACTTGTTGCTGCATCTCCCAATCTGGAAACATGGTAAATATTAGCGAGACGATTTATACACCTTTAAGGATGACTGTCAAGGCCTTTTCGCATCAGACGCTGTATTATTTCCCAGTCATGACTTAGTTTAAAGCCATTGATGTGTGTCGCCACTTTCTTATACGACAGGTCCACCTTTTGCCCTCAGCCTCCCTCCAAAAAGCTGAAGCATGAGTATGATGGACACAGCCAGTGCGACGATAACAGCTTGAATGCCGAAAGAGAGGCCATAACCGCTTTTCGCGCCCCAGGGCTGTTGGAAGTAGCCTACGGAAAACCCACCAATGACTTGTGGGGGTTAGCAGATCAGTGGATGCCCCTGCACGATGCTGACGTACCTCTTGCGAAATTTAACAAACCAGAGACCTCCGAGCTAGCTGATCCGTATGAATCGAGCGCATAAGCTGTAATTGCGACCGTAGCAAGCATTACTCCGAATACATACATACCCCAGCCCATCACAATGCCTGCGTAGTGGAGATGCTTCTCCAAGGTCTGGCCGACGATGATGAGACCAGGAATCATAAAGGCCGCAGCGATATAGGACGTGACAAGGCGAGCTTCTGGCTTGAAGACACCATTATGCTTGGCCACATAACGTTTTGCAACGGCATCATTGAAAAAGTGGCCGAATGATTCACCAAGCCCGACAGCAACCAGGGGCGTGAAGTAGAGGAAACCGATGGACTTTGGTCCGAATCCATACCCTCCAACTGCGACAGGGGTCTCGAGGAGGATTGTAGATGTGATATTGATGCCGACGGACCACATGAAGCTCATGCAACTGCTTGACATTAGCGTATGGCCAGAACATATCCCTGGTATCGCATACTAATAAAACATGGCCGGGATGATTATGGGTTTGAGGAAGGCCGAGAGCAGACGCTGGCAGGCTTGCGAAGCGGTCTTGAAATATCCTGTATGATGCTGAACCTGCCAGATACCAATAACCCTCGATAGCCGCCCGAGTACGGTTTGAGGTCTTGCAGGCTGCTGATCGATGGAAATGGACCGCTCATAGTATGTCTCGTCGCATATCAGCAAAATGAGAACCAAATCCGCGCAGCAGGTCGCGAAGACGAGCCAAAACACAGCCCGCCAGTCACCAGTACCCGCAATGATGAAGTTCGCCAAAAATGGACCCAAATATGGCGACAGAATGAATATCGCGACCCAGATTCCGATCTTTCGAGCGTGCTCGTGGAAGTAGAACATGTCCTTGACACAAGCAAGCCCCACAACTTGATACGCAGTGAGTGTGAAGCCCATCATGGCACGCATACCGTAGAAGACGTCGAAACTGGTAGTGACAGCGCATGCCAGGGTGAACAAAGTGCCTGATACGGTGGACCAGAACATGACAGGTGCGCGACCCCAGAAAGATGCCATGACAATCCAGAAGATACCGCCAATACCACTAAACACATCAGCAAGGACGAGCCGAAAGTAATAGTAAAGACCTACAGCATCAACACGTTGAGATTGCCTGCCTCATTAACTTTGGCAGGCGAGAGTCCCCATTCCTCACCCTGGAGCACGATGAGTGGTATACCAGCTCCACTCCCATAATCGCCAAGAAAAGCCGTGATAGACACGACTGCCAACATGAGATGCTTACGTCGCCACGACCAATTCAGCGGGTCGTTCGGATCTGATGTTGGCTGCGGAATAAGCACAGTATGACCGTCTTTTGCAAGCTTTAAATCGGCAAGCTGAGCATTCTCAAGATGTGCTGCTCCAGTGTCTAGAAGGACGACATCTGAGTCTTCTCCATAATGATTGTTTTGGGGCTGTGAAGAGTCGACGCCATGCTGGACGGCTTGTGGGTCCTTTTCTGACATGGCGATGTACGAGTCGAGGCTCACGAGTACGTGTGAGTGCGAATAATTTCAACGAATAGTCGGATCCAATTTAAGGGTTCGTGGAGTGAAAGGGTACAAACATCAGCATTATATGCTTAGGCCAACCCTTGCAGGTAAAACCCACATCTCGTACATCGGCCATGTTATTTGCCCGGCTGTCATCCGAGATATGGATAGATAACTGGTCACTGGGTGGTGGCTAACACAGAATTAACCGGTGCAAGGGCATCTGCAACTGCCGACCAGGTTTCTCCATGACATAGAGGGGTAAGCTGCGCAAGCACAGCGATGTCTGCTGTCAGATGCGGAGATCTGCAGAACGTTCACCGGTAGTTGAGAATAGATGCTTCGCGAAGCTTGAGATGCCTTGCGAAGCTTGAGATGCCCGGTGACGGAAGAGGGACGTAGTGGCACCGCCTGGGCAGGCGCGTCCAAGGGCTAATTGTGCACGTGATGTCGCCCCGCCATCGCTTTACGGTCTTCATAACTTGTCTTATTAATCAGATGCTCTGCTTACTCTTGCAGCGTTAAGGCGCTACTAAGGCGCTAAGATCTTCTGCACCAATTAGAAGGTTTATAAATTTCTGTAATTTTTAATACTTATTATAGATTACTCATAAAACAGTTTAGTAAACTATAAGCAGAGTATTTAAAGAAACTTATTTCTTTATTTAATAAGACTTTAGTAAAAACACTTGTTTCATCTCTCTTATTCTATTAGCTATTTTATATTCTTAATACTTTAGTTTATAAAACTCACTGATCTAGGCGCATAAGTCTTGGCAATGATGATGCGCTTGTACGGGACAGTCCCGGGAAACTCAATCTCCTCGAGACCAGCAGCAACACAATCACGACTACTTTTTCTAAAGGACTGAATTGCCGTTGCTATCGTTAATGCAGCCTTACTACTACCAATAAGTCAAACCGCCGTATTGAAACACTCGCAGACGCTTAGATTACGGATATCTCGGTCTAAGACACTATACTACCTTACATCACACTTCGTCTCCTGCTCCCAACTCCTTCCACAGATTTACGACGCTCATAGGTACATATATACAACATCTCCAAGAAAATATTTACATCCGAAAATCGCGCCCACTTCAATCACACCGAACCCACTACACGGCCGTCACCATCACCTCCCCTCAATTTCCAACCTCACTGCAGCCCAAAGAACTTAAGCACCGCCGGCACCGCCACCTTCACTTGCTTCCCCGCTTCGAGCGTCCCAAAATACCCCACAAGCTTATTCTCTGTCCCATAGATCATCTTCGTGAACTCTGGCCCCTGCTCCACCGCTTTGCCCGTCTCATTCGCCGTGTTGGTCACACCCAGGACCTCCGCCCACTGCGTCAACGTCTCATACCCCGCCTGCGCCCTCACCAGCGTATCCTCTACATCGTTCACAATCATCATCCTGGGGCGCGCGCCGGCGTAGCCCGGGTACGCGTTGCGCACAAAGGCGCCCCATTGTGCAGGGGTGTGCTTGATGCCTTCCGCACACGTCTGGTTCGTGTTCATAGGCTTCGGGTCAGTGCCCGCAGAGCCGGCGTAGCACGCGAAACCCGCGCCTCTATAGGAAGCGGCCGCGGCGAAGACGTCGGGATAGGACCCGGCCAGTACGTTGGTCATGCTGCCGCCCTCGGAGTTGCCTAGGATGAAGATCCGGGTTTTGTCGGCTGCGTATTTGGTAACGGTGTGGTTGATCATGCTAATGATGCCCCCGGCATCGCCACCGCCGTTGTGAGTGAGTGAGGCGGCTGATCCGACATCCCAGCAGTTGCTATTGCGCGTGCTTTCTGGGTAGATGAGGATAAAATCGAGGGACTCGCCTAACTCGGGGAGGTTGATTTCGGTCGAAGCTTGGAAGGCGTCGCTGTAGCAGGAGTGGAGCTGTTGGGTAGTGTTAGTTGGTGGATGGGGTTGATAGTACTTGAGGGTACTCACGTGGACGACGATGGGTTTTCCAGAGACGTTGTCGTCTTTTTGGGCGTTTATAATGGAGAGTGGCAACTCGACAAACATTCTGAGGCCGGTTGGGTTTGAGCCGAAGTCGGTGACCTCCTCGAGACGACCAAAAGACAAGCCAGCTAAGGCCAACAAGGTGACGAGCGCAGTAATAGAAGTCTTCATTGTGAGTAATGGTGGAAATTTCTCATAAGACTCGAAGATTGTAGTCGTAGTGGTGGGATCGTATTAGGCGGTATACCTGATCATTTTGTACTTTTCTGGCTCTACGCATTTTCCCTTAATAGAAGTATGCCCAGCGATATGTAAAGCCGAACCCTCGATTGTCACCTTAGTCGCATATCATATATTATGCGCACGTTCTATAAATAGTCGCCGACCGGAGTTCACACCAGCGTGAACTCCGGTCATGCATCTTGGCCGTTTCAGATACGACAGGACCTAATTAAGTCTGGGGAAAACGCGGTTGCATGCGCAAAGTTACTGCGTATCTCGCAGCTCTGGGAACGTCCAGGTGGTGGCGTTGGCGAACCGAGGGCGGGCTGGTCAAGCTCTGCATTACCGGTCTCACCGGGAGGCTTCAGCTATCAGTCAATCTGTTCAGCCTTCCCTGCCTTCAAACTTCGTTCTCACTTCAACTGACGGACTTCGACGTGTATAGAGGTTTTGGATAAACAGATTTACTGGAACGCGCTGCCCAGCGATGCGCTTGATTAACACCAAAACGCAAGCCCAAGAGCAGTATGAATCGACCAGCGCGCCACCGTATGCCATTCTGCCGCACACTTGGACTGAGTACGAGATCACCTATCAAGATGTAGCAACAGGATATGGACCCGGTAAAGAAGCAGGTTAGGCAAAATTCTACAACTGTTGCCGACTTGCTTCAAAGAGGGGCTACGACTATATTTGGATAGATACTTGCTGCATCAGGAATGTCGCCCAGATAACAACGCCCTAAGACAGTGGAGGTTATTGCCGCTAGAAAGAATTGGCATCGAAGATCTAAATCAGCGAGACGTAAGTTACAGTAAAGCTGCCTACTTAGCCCGTTCGTTTCCTTCAAAGCTGCTCACCATCCTACTCTGAACTAGCCCGAAAGTGGGCTAGGAGCTTTAACTTCAGTCTAACACTTTAGCAAAATAGGCAGTACGTAGCAGGGTCGTCCTTGATGTCTGTGTTCGGCTTAATAGAGCGGTTAAGCGCATCGTGCGAGTGTTACCAGCGTAGTCACTTTCTTCTATCATAACTATAGTTCCCAATTTACGAATAACTTCTACAGCTTGCCTTTCGAACACTCGTCGACCAGATCTGGATGTTTCTGAACAACAGCGACTTAGCCGGGTTAAGTTTAAGAGATATCGAGACACACCCATCGAGGAGACTTAAGTAGCTAAAGAAGATATCAAAGAGCACCGCGAATAGTGAAGAGGAATATGAAGGAGGTAGGCCAATTTTTGGCCTGCAATGAATGTGTAGAGGAGTTGACTAACTAAGTAGGTACTTTCGAGCAATCGACATAGACCTAGACTCAATATAGATTAGATTGTACGAGGAAGAAGGCGACACAGCAAGCTAGTGCAAGACCTTCTCCGACCATGTCGAAGACTTAGTAAGGCGGGTCATTGTACTCAGGCCAGAAGAGCACGCCGACAAATGGATGCTGAACTGTGCTAGCTTGGTCCTTGTAATGTAGTAACGTACCTCACAGATAAGCGCATTACACAGCTAGACGTATCACTTAATTTATTTGGTCTTAAACTTGTTGATACACATAGCTAGGGTAGGGTCGCCTACGCAAAGACTACCGCAGCAAGACACAGAGCTCCAGGGAGACCTTGGACAAAGAAAATCTTGGTATTTGCCGTCAACCCTCCGTAAACACCGGCCACAAATACACAACCCGCGAAGAACAGAGCGATTTGAGGCGCAAACACGGCGCTGGGGTGGACCAGAGACCACAAGAGGCCAGCTGCCAGAAAACCATTGTACAGGCCTTGGTTGGCGGCCATGGTCTTGGTTTTGGCCGCAAAGTCAGGCTTGAGTGCAAACGCTTTCAACCCTGCTGGTGAGGTCCAGAAGAACACCTCCAAGGCCATGATGTAGATATGGAGCACGGCTAGTAGAAAGACGGTAATAGAGGCGAGGAGCGGCATTGTAGGCGCGGATCGAGGATTGGATGCGGTGTCGATTCTGAGAGATGATGATTTGTGAGTATGGTCGAGTCCGGTGATGAGGGGGGATCAAGGTGAATAAATAGCTAGAGGCCACTTCGGCTCTACTTGAAAAACGCTAGTCTGAAAGCGTTGCAGGAATGCCAGCGATACGGGCAAATTCCTTTCTATAATGCCGAAGGTTGTTACAATACAGCGAGAATTTGAGATTGAGCTATGAAAGTGTCTCTCTCCTTTGTATGTCTCGCTTCGCCGTTGGTGACGTTACTCTTTAACAAATCCTCGTGACCTATTATAGCAAAGGCGACATACAGCCACCAGCTGTTAACTCATTATCCTGCCGATGCTATTACGTAAGTTTTTGCAACTGTGCCAAGGTGTAACAAAAGTGCGCTAAACTTCCGGGCTAAGGGCCACACGGCCTACGAAGGAGCTCGTATTTTCTGAGTTGCAGCCCCCACCAAGACCCAGTGCGCGCATAGCAACAACGCAACAACCTTTAGGCTGATTATTCTTAAAATTTACGATAGTATTCTTCATACTATCCCTTAGGACTACTCCTCATCGCAGGATTTGTTACCCTATCGTCGTGGAGTAGTGGAGTGTGGAGGTTAGGCTTGTTTTTCGGGGTACAACTCAGGAAAAACGAGCTCCTTCGTAAGGCACTAACTATCGTGCGCGCCGAGCCAACGATAGTGCCTTAGGCTGACTGAGCTGCGTAGGACGGGCTGCAGCTGCAGGCTTCAACGCAAGTATTCAGCCTTCTAACCCCCCAAAGTTCTTCCCACTTGATGCATCAGGACCTCGATAATATCTGAACCTTCTCAAAAACTATTCCTAGGTCGTGCTCAGATATGCGTCTACTCAAAACCACCACACAAGCCTTAGAGGAGTTCGAATCGACCACAGCTCCGCCTTATGCCATACTGTCACACACCTGGACTGACCATGAAGAGGTCAGATATCAAGATCTGTTTACAGAGCGCACATCAGGCAAGGAAGCAGGGTACGCGAAAGTTGACAATGGGTGTCGCATTGCATTAGCGAAAGGCTACGACTATATCTGGATAGATACATGCTGCATCGACAAAACGAATAATGCCGAGCTCAGCGAAGCAATCAATTCCATGTTCCATTGGTACAAGAATGCCGGGGTCTGTCTTGCTTACCTGGCAGATGTGCCACCGAACGTGGATCCTTCCCACAAGGACTCTCTATTTTCGGCTAGCAGATGGTTCACAAGAGGGTGGACGTTACAGGAACTTCTAGCCCCCTATGTGGTGATATTCCTCGCAGATGACTGGTCTGAGATTGGGACCAAGACTGAACTTGTTTCGCCCTTGTCGATAATCACTGGCATACCATCGATGTTTTTGCTCGGAGTGGATCTCGAGTCAGCTAGTGTGGCGATGCGTTTCTCATGGGCGTCTGGAAGGAGTACAACCAAGCCAGAGGATATAGCATACTGCTTGCTGGGAATATTCGATATCCAGATGTCGCTGTTGTATGGAGAACGAGAAGTAGGTGCCTTCAGGCGCCTACAGCAGAAAATTATGAAAAACTCCGACGACCAAAGCATATTTGCCTGGACGCTAGACAAGGACCAAGGCTCGCCTCTTCGTACTTCTGGTTTACGAAAAGCATTCAGCTTGCTCGCGCCATCACCAGAGTCGTTCAAGGGTTGGCGTAATGTCGTCGAAACGACGCCTCCCGTGGTACCGGGCTATCTGGACGGTATTCGGACGCCTACCGTATTCAATAACAAGGGCCTACACCTTGCTCTACCAATCATTCCACTGTCAGTTGTTGACAGACGGGACCGGAGGGTGATCGCGGTCCTCAATTGTCGCAAGGTAGGAAACAACATGATGCGACTTGCCGTCTGTTTACAAGACGTCTCAACCAATGGAGGACGATATGTCCGCGTGCGCTCACATATGCTCGTCAGTATCCCCTTACGTCTTGTAGTGGCGCTTGCAAAGTACGCCAGCATCTCTGTCCGACAAGAAGAATGCGCACAGCAAGCCAATATGAGTCTTCCGAACTCGTTGGACGAACGACTTTATTCTGTGGTAGAGTGCAAATACAATAGCGCCATTTTATTATCAGACCTTGCGCGAAGGATAAGTCAAAGTGAACCCGAAGACCGGGCAATGACATCCGTGGAATATTCATGTCAGAAAGATCCAATCTCGCCGACGAAGGACACCCCATGGCATGACATTACACCGCAACAACAAAGCGCGAGAGCGAAAACTATCCCGCTTCGACAGAGGATTCGCAGGTACAGTCTCTTGACTGCCTTTGACGGACACACGGAAAAGGAAAGTTAAAGGGGCATGCACAATCGACCAGAGCAAATCATGCTGAAGACGAGAGATGGGGTGCCAGAGGGCCTGTCAGATGTGCCAGTGAAGAAAGGAAATGATATGCTACTGAGCGACGAGTCAAACTTCATCACGGACGAATATATGACTTGCGTGGAAACACATGGGCACACGAGTCGCGAGGGCAGAAACACCCGCCAACCACTCACTCAGTTCGACTGTCAAGCTCGTCTAAACTTTTAGAGCAGCGTAATCGAATTGGTCCATTAATTTCTAAACAACATCAACCCCGCCTCCTCAGCATCCACCTCATCCACCTCACTCTCCACATCATGCTCAGCAAGCCCCACCCTCCGTCCAAACAAACTCCCAAACAACTCATCCCTCTGCCTCTCCTCCCACTGCCCCCTCTCCTCAGGCGCCATGAAATTCTGCAACTTCTCCTGCACAGTATACCGCAACCTGCGTCCTTTACTCGCTTTCGTGTCAACAATCTTCTTCGTCTTGGCTTCTCTGGCGACTTGCCACGGTGCTTGTACTACAAACTCTGCAGCTCCGCCGTTAGCGTTTTCAGCGCTGCGTTGCTCGAGGAGTTCCTTGAGCATGAGACCGTAGAAGTCGGCATCGTCGTAGATGGCAGGATCAGGCTGAGAGCCTTTGTTTGACGCATTTGACTGGATGGGAGCGCATGAACGCGGTGTCTGCGTGCGGGTGACGAGGTGGGAGGATTGGAGCTGGCTGTCGAGGACCTCAGTGAGAGTCTGAGTCGCAGAAGCATTGAGACGATTCTTGTTGTTTGTGACAGTGGTTGCGCGCGTCTTGGTAGACCAGCGCTCCAGCACAGCTTTGCGATTGGGAAGCGCGGACTTTTCCGAGCTAGAAATGGAGCTCCAGATCTCGGCAGATGGCGTCTCCGAGTCGAATACGGTCCGCTTTCGCTTGTGGCCTGTTCGTGCCTCCTCGAGAGACATGCGCAGGTCGGTCAGGTTGTTGAGGAGTGTGAGCGCAGCGGCTTCTGCAGCCTCCATGGACGATGCTGGTGCAGCCGCATCTTTATGAGATCCTGCAGCCATGGAATTCGTCGAGATGAGGGCCTTTTGCAATCGAATACGAGTGTTGAGGAGGGTGTCAAAAGTCTTCCGTTGCGTCTTCACAGCCTGGCCCTTTGCGACGTCCGATTGTGCACCAGCGGCTAGATTAGATGTGAAGGACTTGGTGTCCTTCATTATGCTGCGCACATCGGACACATCGGACTTGCCCATTGCCGACGCGCGAGGCTTCGCTTCATCGCCAGATTCTTCCTCGGAGGATTCTGTGGCATCTTCATCCTGCTCTGCCTCGTCCTCACTGTCCATCTCTTCGTCATCGTCCATGTCTTCGTCAAAACCTTCCTCGTCGCTCCCGCTCTCCCCGTCAAGCTCCACGCCACTGACACCTTTCACAATACCATCTTCGTCGTCGTCCTCGCTGTCCTCGTCATCGAAGCCTTTCGCGAACGGGTCGTCGCTGTCGCTGTCCTCGAGTTCATTGCGACTGACAGTCTTTCCCTTGTATGACGGTCCTTCAGGCAAGTCCGCGTTCTGCCTCAACTTGCTCTTTCCAACGGCAGCATAATGCTCGCGTCCCACACTTGGGTCTTCAACATCTGAGAAGTCATCGTCCGAGTGCTCGTCGGAGCTGGAGCTTGGTGCAGGATCGAGTAGAGACTCTGGGTCGAAGTCTGTTTTGCGTATTAGATCTGTGGTTATGCGAGAAACGCGAAATCCATACCTGTAATCTTTGACTTCTTCATGGTGGGTGCCTAGTTCGAGAACGAGGTTGCGACAACAGCAGATGGTGAAGACCGAACTTTTGCGCCCCACAAAAAAGTTCAAGCTGCATCGGCGCTTCGTTTCGCCGACATGCGCATCACCTCCGCTATCAACTCCGCAACCATCTCTACAGACATGCGATCATGTTGAAGCCACGGCTATTCTCTACGCTACGAGGACTCCAGCATGAGAATCCACTGGTACGCACCTCGGATGGCAGCTAGACCTCCAATGGCTGATTGCTGCATCTGCAGGGCCTCCCCCGCTCCGGCGCGCCTCCGCAGCTCCCGCGCATGCAACGAGGCCTGCCGCAGAGGAGAAGCATAAAAGACGTGAAGAAAGTGATTGCCGTATCATCAGCCAAAGGCGGTGTAGGCAAAAGTACAATTGCCGGTAGACCACCTGCACCACGTGCTACGACTCCTACTGAGGCGCATCACAGTGAACCTCGCCCTCAGCTTCGCGCGAAGAGGCTACAAAGCCGGCGTCCTCGACACCGACATCTTCGGTCCCTCGATCCCCACTCTCCTGAACCTCTCCGGCGAACCAAGATTATCTGCCAGTTAGTCGGTCACACAGCCAGCCCTTTCGACTCTTCCTGACAACCCGGGCAGATAATCAGCTCTTACCTCTCTCGAATTATGGCCTTAAATCAATGTCCATGGGCTATCTTATACCCGAGTCATCGCCGGTGGCGTGGCGCGGCATGATGGTTATGAAAGCGTTACAACAGTTGCTGCATGAAGTAGACTGGGGCGGCTTGGATGTGCTGGTGCTGGACATGCCACCTGGCACAGGCGATGTGCAGCTCACCATCACGCAGCAGCTGATACTGGACGGCGCCATAATCGTATCGACCCCACAAGACCTGTCGCTCAAAGACGCTGTGAAAGGCGTGGAGCTATTCCGCAAGGTGGATGTAAATCTGCTAGGGCTGGTGTGCAACATGGCAGGCTTCAGATGCCCTGCTTGTGGCGATCTACACGAGGTGTTCGGAAACATGGACAAGATTAGGAGCATGTGTAGCAAGTACGACTTGAAAATGCTTGGGGAGATTCCGCTGCACGGCAGGATATCTGACGATGCAGATAAAGGGAAACCAACAGTAGTGGCTCATCCAGATGGCGAGCATGCACGGATATTCGCAAAAGTATCGGAGGAAGTCGAAGGTATAATAGGTTTGAAGAAATGAGGAGTTTTGCGTTTCATCCTCCCTCCATATGATGCCCACAGATTCCTCCATATCAAAAGTGGAACAATTTCGCGTGCAATCATATTGGCTAAATGCTCTTGATCATATTTCCTATACCACGCGGAGATATGTATTGATTACTGAGACCATGAAAATTTACGCGGGCATAAGAACGGGTGAAGCGTTATGGCCGACGTAGTAAAGTCGGCTTCCCGTATGTAAGTTATCGTCCCGCGACCTCGGTCAGGGTCCAACCTCTCAATTCTCAACACCAACGGCGCTCGTCTCGAGCCATCGTCAATCGTAAACAACCACACCACGCTCGGCACCCACGCCTCCCCGAGCTTCATATAGCTCCCGAACCCCTCATCCGATCACTCCTTCTCCCTCTCACCGCCCAAAATGAACACAATCAGCCCCCCACCCACCTTCAAGCGCATCTCGGGCCCCAAGCGCATCCTGGGCGTCGTCGTCGGCATCGCAGGCGGCCTGGGCGCCAACGCCGTCCTAGGCTACACCTTCATGTCCTTCTACACGCGCGGCACGAAATTCGTGCCCTACGACACCAATTCCCCCGACCACACGACCGCCGTCTTCCGCGCACACAACCCCGCCTCCAACCCGCCCGTGTGCATTGACCACGCCGTAAAATCCATACCGTATGCGAAACTGCCGAGCAAGTATTTGACACAGGGAAGCGTCGATCGGGCGCAGCTCGCGACGGATTTTTGTCGGGGGGTCTGGGGTGGGGTTGCGTATAGGGTGCAGCGCAGGTATTTGGAGCGCAAGTACCGGGCGCTGGAGGGGCGGGAGGATAGTCTTTGGGACGTGAAGGAGCTTGAAAAGAGTGAGTATCCGGTGGGCACGAAGATTACGGATCATTTTGAGGTGGTGGAACATGATGATTCAAAGGTGAGATTACCTGTATTTATCGTGGAGCATGCCAGTATTGATTTGATGTTTAGGTCATCGTACGCTGCGGCGACTCGCCGTTAAACAAAGATCATCGTCCTAGCGATGGCTTATTCTCGATGGAAGTCTCGACGGATGATAAGGAGCAGATGGCGACGTTCCATCTCAAGTCGAACTTTGTCAATACGACGCCCGAGGGCAAGGATAGTCAGCCGCTGCCATGGAACTTTCAGCTCGCGCATAGGTGGTACACCAAGTTGTGGATGGAGAGCGCGACGAGGAAGTTGTTGAAGGACGCTTAGGGAGGGTGTGTAGATAGTTGACATCCACTGCTCGCGGGGAGTGGTGTAATGCAAGGCACTGCAGATGTCCAGGGACGAGCGGGGTATATCAGAAGTCAGGTATATCAGAAATCAATTCGCTGCCTCCAAATCGCATTAAATTAGACATGCTACATGGATACTTGATAGGAACTGGAGACACAACACAACCGCACCATCGCCGTTTCTCCTTGCTGCATCTTCCAACCCAACCCAACGAATCGATCCAAAACTACCTCGACGCAAGATCCCTCCGTTACCTCACCTCTAACCCCTTCATATTCCCTCCCACCTCACCTTCATTCGTATTCCTCCATCAAAAACACCATAAACACCGGACACACATCCTCCGCTCTACTCCTACTCCCGCCCATCGTACACTCATACCAAAACCTCGCCCCCACCTCATCCTCCGCCCCCCACAAATATCACAGCACCGACAAAGCAGCCTCCTCAGTAGCACCGCATACTCATGCACAGCCTGTACATACTGCCTGACTGAAATAGGCCGACTATCGGTATTTTCAATCTCCAAAGCGGCGGGCCGTAAGTGCTTCGTCCCGCTTTGAAACCAGTGCTCCCATGTATGCAGCGGCTCGATGACGATTTTCACATGTGATAACGGCGGAGATGTTGCTGGCTCTTCTGAGATGGAGGGCGAGAGGGGGACCCATTGGGCGACGTTTCTGGCGTCTAGGGAGATGGTGGATATACTGGAGGGGGCGTCGAGGACAGACTGGATACTCGACTTGAGATGCTGCATAGACGATGCTGCCATCTTGACGAGAAGCTCTGTAACACTGGACATCCAGCAGACGTTGCGTTTATGATCATGGATCGTCTAGCCTCTATTCCTATGTCATGCACCATCTTTTCCCTTCTTGGCCCTTTACATCGCTTCCTCAATCTTGTTCTTCTCCTTCACAAGCCCACTCTCCCCAAGCGGCACACACTTCGGCATCAACCGTTTCACCACCCCTTCCCAACTCTCCACCCCCAATTCCTCCTCGCAGGTCCGACTCGTACACACTCCCGTCAACCCTGGATCCAACCGATGCTACTGCAACGCACGAATCATAAGCGGCAATCCCGCCTTCTTCCGCACCCTCTAATAGTTCTGCGAGGAGCAGGGTCCAGATTTCAAGGCGAATCTCTGCTGGCAAGCGAAGTAGGGGATATCGGATTGCGTCCTAACGAGTTCTGAAAATTCCAATGGCATTGTTTGGTATAGAGCGTCCTTGCAGCTTACATGTCATCGAAAGCAACTTTGGAGATTGCTGGAGGTCGACTGGGTGAGTTTCTGAGGTCAATCGCGAATGAAAGAGAGTCCATAGGAATGACAACATATCCCTACCTATTCATGTGCTCAGTTGAAACATATACGTAAGTCCTGTAGCGAAAGAGTCATCTCTGGGAACATCTTGGCGTGACTTCGCCCCGATATACACTGGACTAAAATTAGCATCATACCATAGGACCTTTTGTCTTGTCCTCAAAAGCTGAAAGCCTTCGAAACCGCGTAGAGTGACATCGAGTCTCCCAATGTGATGGTGATGATGCGAACGACTAAGAAGTGGAGTTGTTGTGCGATGACCTCTCCCCGCTTCCGAAGTCCGTAGATGGCCCTGAAGCCGCCAATCAAAGCCCGAGGAAGTCCGATTGATGCATCATGCTGTGAAAAGGTACAGCATGACGCTCTACTATTTCGATATCAATGTCAGTATAGAAGAGCAAAGCTGCATCGCGTCTACTCTTCTCCGTCGTCGCTGCTGATCAAACCAAACATCGCGCTCTCAACACCATGTCCAACCTCTTTCATCGCCTCCCTCCGCCAGCGGAATGTCTCGCACTCATCATTGGAACACTCGAGCTCCTTCCATTCGGCATCATCGGCTTGCGCAATCCAGCCTTCTTCGCTGATGGCTACGGTCTTCCCATCTCTGACGCGCCTGCTTCAAGCGACACGTCGAAATCATCGAAGCCCAACACGAGCGGCACATTGTCCGAAGCCCAACAACAAACAAAGAAGGCGTTGGTCGCAGCAATTGCAGCGCGCAATGTGCAGAATGGGATCCTTTTGTTGACTTTTGGGGTAGTGCTGCGAGACCGAAGGAGTCTGGGTGTCGCCGTAATGGCAGGGCTGGTAGCGACAGTCGCAGACACAGTCATCGTGCGGGCCTACGGGGTGAAAGACAAGATCGCGGGCCATTATGTTGGAATATTCAACAGCCTCGTTGTTGGCGGCAGTCTGTTATACTGGGGGCGAGACGACCCCTTGTGGTAGATGTGATAAAATGAGATAAGCTTCACTAAGCAATCAGCGCTGTTCCCGATGCGGCCTTAGAGAAAGGTCATTCCCGGCATTCGGGCCTGCACCTTATTGCTCCAGGATCTATTGTCAGCTTTCCATGCCGACGGCAGCTCACCCGAACTCTATGGGGAATATGCGCGAATCAGGAACTTTAGAATGTTAGATGATGCTGTGGTTTCGGCGTCTGTTCCCCGCAAAAGCCCCGGAACCCATGAACCATCATTTCACGGACCAAAACAAAGGGGCTGCGACCGATATATGCAGAGCACTTCGTGTTTGTGGTCATGTCATTGGCGCAGCAGTTGCTCAAAGGCACTGACCTCCAAGAATAGTCCAGCTCTGACTTTCTTGCCATGGGCCTGCTTGCTTTCATACTGCGCGGAATGTGTCCCTGATGCTTGCAGTACTTGGTATAAAGCATATTCGAGGATCTCACAGTTCCACTGCTCACGTCTTACTCATTCGTCGCATTCTCTCGCTCACTGCTGGTAAAGATGACTCGGTTCACGCAGTCAAGTCGCTTGACAAGCCCGCTTTGTACAATATTACTGCTGACGACGACTTCCGCTCTACCCACGATCACGTCACGGGATTCGACTGCTCTTTCTGCAAACAAGGCTCAGTCTACCATCGAATGGAGCACCTGTCCAAAGGAGGTTGGTGCTAGTTTGCAATGCGGCAATCTTTCTGTGCCTATCGACTGGGACCAGCCTGGTGGCGAGCATTTTACTCTTGGAATGGTCAAACTTCCCGCGATATCATCCAACTCGACAAAGAAGATTGGTAGCCTATTCGTCAACCCCGGAGGACCTGGTGGAAGCGCAGCAGAAATCGTACCTTTCTTTGGCCCCGGAGCACCCGGCTTCGATGAAACGTTACGGGCCAGCTTCGACATCATTGGACTGGACCCTAGGGGCGTGGGACTGAGCAATCAGATCCAGTGTGACATGACTATTTATGCGGAGCGTGTGTCACTGTTTCCCCAAACCGAGGAGGAATATGAGAAGTTGGTAGACAAGAACAGGAGACTCGGCGAGTCGTGTCGCAAGCTCACTGGGCCATTGTTTGAGCATCTTGACACGATCAGGTAACTTGCGCCTTCCTCAGTTTGAACTATCATTAACATTCATCAAGCGCCACAAAGGATCACGAAGCTGTGCGAGTAGCTCTAGGCGATGAGCCCATCAACTTCCTCGGTCTCTCTTACGGCTCGCAGCTTGGGTACACATACGCAGATCTGTTCCCGAACAATGTTCGCACCCTCGCTCTGGATGGCATCCTACAACACTCGCAGTCTGAAGCGACCAACTCGCTTATCGAAAGCTCCTCTTACGAGCTTGTGCTCAACAAGTTCTTCGACTGGGCCGGGAAGAACGAATCCTCCAAACTGAAGGGCCAAGACGTGGAAGCCCTCTGGAAGTCGCTGTTAGAAAAGGCCACAACTACTCCGATTCCTGCATCAAAGTGCAATGGAAAGAATTGCTACAAGGATGTGAACGCCGAAGAGATAGCTTTCAATGCACAACAATACCTTACGTTCTACGGCAGGAATCCTAATTTCGGAAGTACCTGGAGCGTTCTCGCAAACGCGTTATACAACGCTAGTCACGGCGATGCAACATCTCTCTCCACGGTCAACTCAGCACAAAACGTCGCATTCTTGGGCATCGCATGTTTAGACTGGACGCACAACGACAACACGCTGGCCGCTATCCGCGCAAAAGAGACACAGGCAACTGAATACTCTCCCTTAACGCGCGGTGCATCTCAAAGCTGGATTCTACAGCATGCTTGTTTGGGTTGGCCAGTACCCATCAAGAACCCACCCAAGAAGTTGGATGTGAAGACTAAAGCCACGATATTGCTTGCAAACAGTGTCGCGGATCCAAGCTGTGGGTTACCGTGGGCATTGGGTATGATGGAGGAGTTGGAGAACAGGGTGCTTGTGACGCGAGATGGCGCAGGACATACGAGTTTCTTGCTCGGCGGAGAGACTCAGAAGGTCATCAGTGACTATTTGGTCACGGGTAAGGCACCGAAGGACGGATTGGTCACGAAGTCGTGAGACCTTGCTATTTATTGTTGCTCCTATATACATCCACCATACTGGCAGCCAAACAGTTCTCCCTTTCCGCTTTCCGGTGTCGCGATACTGCTTACACGTTGACGTTCGCGCTGAATTGGTCCACGGTGAACTTGGCTGGTCCTCCAGTGAATGCTTCGGTGCCGATCTGGTAGACTACAAACAAGACATTAGCCATAATCCCTCTGCGACCATTCGCCTCACTTACCAATCAAGTTCTGTGTGCTTGCGGGGTATCCCTGGTTCTGAGTCAAGTAGTCGAAGAACAACTTAACATCAGCGTTGAAGGTAGTGTATGGGTTCTCTGGTGTCGGTGTAAGGAAGCTGTACACCTTCATCGATCCGTTGTAACCGAAGTACAAGTCGAATTTGTACCCGGCGATAGTAACAGATGCGATTTTGGCACCAGACTGGCTAATGGGCCATACGCCACCGTAACGACCGAGCCTTGAAGTAGTCGTTAGCACCATAATTTTAAGGCAGAAATTAGCTACTGACCAAATCATCAACTCATAATCGCCACTGCTGTTAACGTGATTCGGGTCCGCCGCAGTGAAGACATCGTATGCGACATTGCAACGCATGGTGTTTACATCATACTTCCACTGGATTGTCGTGGGCATGCTCTTCACTTTACTGACAATTTGGCCCTTGGTCAAGATACGTCCAGCATACGCATAACTCTTGACGTTGTCCTGACCACCAGCCCAGGTCCATTGAGTGCTCCATTTAATCCCGGTTCCGGTAGTGCCATCAAAGTAGGTACACTGCGAGCCGTTGGTGGCAGTGTCTTTGCCCCAAAGGTTGTTCAAGATTTCGTAACCGGCTTCTGCGTGGTAGGCATACTGAGTGCAGAGACTGACTTGTGCCTGGACGGCGGAGACTTCTTGACGCACGGTGGGCGTTCCTCCGGATGCGGCTACAGAGCTTGTTAGAGCTAGAGTTGTGAAAACTGAGTCTGTCTGGGCGACTCACGTTGTGCGGCAGGGCTAGCATATGCTGCCGACAGGAAGGTTGCCAAAAGAGCGAATGAGGCTTTCATGTTCAGCAGTGATGTCTTTTCTCAATATGATGCAAGTTGGCAACGGCGCTGACGAGCGGATTTGCATCGCCTTTTGTACTACCTACGCAACTATATTCCTTGCCCTATAGTACTTTCATGGTTTATGATTTAGTCTCCCTTGTCGTTGGCTGCTCCACAAAAGAGAGTGCGTCTCCAAAATTCGGGGTCGATGAGGTATATGTAGATCTTGTTTTTTATATTAAATTCCTTTGGCGATATACAGGGGATTTTAGCCACTTACCACATGTTGTATAATTTCATGCTGCGGCAGCATAAACATTGGTCGAGAAGATGTCGGCAAAATGCAACTAAACGAGGCCACCCTGGCGAAAGTGTGACCGAAGTTGAGCCTCATCACTGTAGGTCGTAAGATTCATGTAAACCCGGTCCGTCTGGATTACAGCAATATAATTTGCGACGAAACAACCTTGGTCTCGTTGTCAGCTGGTGCTGTTCTGGAAGCATCGTGTTGTAGAGCCGCAAATTTAGCGCCTGTTTGGTTAACTGGAGGCACCGGCTCCGTTTTGGCAGAAATTGGGCAGAACGGGAGCAAAATGGCGAACCAACCACCAAGAAACGAAGGTCTTGGCGGCGCATTAAGTTAGACTCCTTCTTTCTTAAGGAAAGCGTAAACGGAGGCCTTGACCGCCTCCCTTCTCGTGATAGCGGGCTTGACGGAGCAGGCTCACGTGAGCACTATATCTCTTTATGCAAAACAGCCAGCGAAACTGGCGCAACCAAACGGGCCCTTATACTCTTTAGCGAAAGCGGAGAAAACTCGCCTTTGGGCGATCTGCGAAGCGCAGCAGATGAACCACTGAGGTACTAAATGAGGCTCACTTCATGTGTAAGTCGATTTCTTATAATATCAACAATGTTACTTCGAATTCACGTTGGTGAGCACGGCCGTCGATCCCCCGAGTTAGTCGATGCGCCTAGAGGGGCCTACAAAATCTCTGGGTCAATCGAGCTTATCAGCCAGGCAACGCTGTTTATAGCGGGAAAATGCTCCTCGAGAAATAAGGCACAGGCAAAACATGTTGCGCATATGATCGAAGAAGAACAGCTATTCGGTGCTGTTTGCAAATTGACATTAGCATCTTCCTGCACAATTGAAGGAACACGAAGCATCGGCCGTGAACCAGTGATATTCTCGGACATGTTGGTAGGCGTTCATCTCTATGATTATAATGACGTACGGCGACGCACCTTCATCATGACCGGAAGCCGCCAACTGCACAACAGGCTCGTTCCCATGAGATGTCCCAGTGACTTAGACCTAGATACAATATAGCGTTGAATCAAGTACTGTGGTTGGAGATCAAAAGGTCCGCCAGGCTGGCCAGTACTTCTAGATGCAAGTCACTCCACATGTGTACTTTGGTAGCGAAGTGGGGTGTCGCGGTCAAGCTGACTGTGCATAGGGCAACGCCCACGAGATAGCGGAAAACAGGAAAAGAGACATTGGAGCAAAGCGATGTGAGGAGTGTCTTTTCAACTGGCAGACGCATTCGTTATACCAACAAGGTGCACTTACTTTCCGCTCCTATCACAGAAAGATGATTACCTGGTACGTGTCTCCTATGAGAGCTTTGAGATTGTTGTCGGGCCCACTTACAGCTTTCTCATGTCAAAGTTGAATCAGGTACTTTATTGCAAGAACGAAAATGTCCGTGCGTGTAAATCGACAATGTGTCGTGTGGGCGATGTGGCGAGCCAGAAGGGGACGAAAGAGTCACCTACGGCATTAATAAGCCGGCCAGTCTCTTATCTCCGCACTAAGTAAGCCCCGCTCATGTGCATCACGACATCGACATTACACCTGCATACTCGCAACACCATATGTCGAGCTGTTTGCTCTGTAAACTGTTGTCGCTAACTACTAATTTATGAGTTAATACGATGACTGAACTCCTCGATCTCTGCTACGACGTCCTCATTCGAATCTTGGAAGAGATCAATGCCGAGGACCTTGCATGTGTAGCACAGACATCATCAGGATTCAACAAATTCATCAAAGAGAACACCAGGCTGCATAAGTCGCATTACTTACGCAACTTTGTGAGACTCTTGTGGGTTTGCAGCAGACAGGATTCAGGCTGATATATGTGTAGGACGATCCACGGCGCAGGCCGACAGATCCGGAACCCGACTGGGTGCCAGAACTTCAGAAACTCGTCCGATGTCAAAAGATCTTGGAGTCTGCTAACAACGATCTGAAGGTATGATCAATGAAAAATCAAGTAACAATGAAGCTGATTGCTCGCCAGCGTGACGAGTTCGAATTCGTTGGCGAGACTGTGAACGAATTGATTGCCACCGCGTCAAAGGACCGGTTCGGCAACTCAGCCAACCAAGACAAGATCGAACAATTATTCCTACACATTTCGCAAAATCATAATGCATTCATGTGTCGATCATCGTTATATTCGCGAGCAGGAAATGAATTGCAGAAGCCTGCGAACAACGAGGAGGGGCGGCAACTAAGTGCCAAATTGCACTGCCTTTACGGCATCCCGGCATCGACGACTGGGAACCGCGTTCTGTCAACACATCCTTTTGCAAGGGCAAAAGTATACGACTTGAGAAACTACACCGATCATACCAAGTGGGGTCCATATCGTGATGATGGGAGTATGAGGGTCGATTGGGAGATGATTGAGAGTCTGATGATCATCTTGAGTTATAATGCCGGTTTGTGCTGTAGGAGATACCTACCGAGATTTTCCCCGCCCTGGAAGAACGTACTCGAAGGCGTGGTGCCGGAACGCGCAAAAGTCATGCCAGAGTACTCAACGAAGCTGTTATACGAGCCAGATGTTCCACTGATGTTAAAGGATCCGTACAATGTATCAGGAATCTGGTCACGAGTATGTCAAACGCAGACTTCGATGGGAAGACCGCTGACACAGTCATAGATTGTGTGTTTCTTAGACTACAATGACCTTTTCGCCTTCAATTTCAGCGAAGACGCGCTGCGACACCCATCCGATCAACCGCGAGATCCTCTAGTCACTGACGAAGCAATCCGGCACATCATGATGGATTTGCAAGTAACAGAAGTCAAACCTGCCGGTCGTTTCGACAACCCGGACCTACCAGTCGTCCATTTCAGCGGCAAGTCAAGATCTGTCGACGCAGCGTGGGATCCAAATGCAAACTCCAAAATCAGAGGATCTGTACGATTGACACCTGAGGGTGAAGTGCGATGGGAAACTATCTCTGTGTTTTACGGGTAAGCAAAGTTCTTCCACAATTATCATGATGGCTGAGTATTACTGACTTGTGACAGCGGAGAGGAGCGATGGCGTAGCGAAGGCATTCAAGTCGGCGGTGTACGGTCACAAAGAGGAGTCATTGGCACGTGGTTCGACAAAGACCTCGATCCGCATGGTCCCGCTGGTCCGACTGCGTTCTGGAAGATATGTGACAGGACTGTTGATGATGAGGATGAGAGTGATTCGGAGGAAGAGCATATGGAGCATTGGCATGGATAATGTATACGCTACCGACGTTCAAGAAGTAGAATTACATTCCAATGTATAACCATTTCAACTCATGCGCTGTACACCCTTTCACCACGACTTCTTTCGACTCGTGTGGCATCAGGTCGAAACCGTTATCGCTCAACTTCATTCCCTTTTTCTCTCGAAACACGAAGCCTTTGATTGGCTTAGCCGCCATGAGTATTACCTTCGAATCGTCATCATGGCACCGTACGTCCAGTTGCCGGTCGTCAAAATTCAGATACTTGATCGGGTCTGGCCAAGCGGTATCGCTGGCCACGCATACTCCGTCGATACAGAGCAGCACCTGGACGACATATGGATCTGTTGTAGCTATATTGAATGACTCGTTCGCTCCCTGTACTTTCTCGGCAACAAGGACATGGTCCTTCAGAAACTCAGTCGTACCGTTCGAGGCGATGAGCATATCCTGCTTCGACAATGTTCGAATCGTTTCACCCGTCCGGACGGAAAAGCATTTGACAGCGATCTCTCCTTTCAGCTCTTCTCTCGTGCCATTAGTGATCCACACATCAAATTCTCCATTCCGCCAGAGGTTCTGCATATCGATATGGCCAGTATCGCGCTGCCACAACTCATCCGCAGGTCGCATTGTCCATGGCCTGAATTTGCGCTGCACGCTAATCGTCACTGGCTTCATAGCTCTTTTGATCGCATAGTACGCTGGCTTCGGTACAAGATCGTAGTCGACGACTGCCCAAGAGATAGTCGGCCAGCAATCATTCAATTGCCATACCAGCACTCCGCCACACTTTCGGTTCTTCGGAGTACCCCATTGTCGACGCCAGCCTTTGTAGGCCCATGACATCGCATCTGCTTGCATCACTTGTGTGAGGTGCGTAAAGCCTTCAAGATCATGGCGCATGCGAAAGTTCTCCGGGACGTAGGACATAAACCTGCGCTCGTGGCCGACAGCTTTGTTCCGAAATTCCATAGTCATGGATCCTGGTGCACGTTCTTGTCTTTGGGTGATGCATTTTTCGAGTGTGGAAACATGCGGGTAAGCTTCGATGCCGAACTCGGATACAAAGCGGCCGCCCATGTCGGGTAGACGTTGGTATGGTTCCGCGGTACCGTTCCATACGTTCCATTGATGAATATCACCAACAGTTGGATCGACGTTGAGTGTCATGGACTCACCGTTGCCAAAGGGCGAGCTAGGATGGTACGGTATGCTTGGGCATTCATCCTGGATGACATTTGGCAGCAAGTGCTCGTAAATATACCGCGCAGGGAAGTCGGTTTGCAGCCACGCCTCTGTGTCCTTGTTCTTGAAGTCGTATTCCAACCCGTAGCGCTCGACAATCTGATAGTCCTCGTTGTTGCCCGCCCAAATGACCAGACTTGGATGATGGCGTAGTCTACGCACATTCTGTCTTGCTTCTTGTTCCACGCTTGCCAGGTATTCTGGGTAAGCTGGATAGCTAGCACAAGCAAACATGAAGTCTTGCCAAATCATAATGCCCAGTTCATCCGCTGCTTCGTAGAGTGCATCAGCTTCGTATATGCCACCGCCCCATACACGAAGCATATTCTGATTGCCCTCAGCCGCAAGCTGTACCCAGGACCTGTAGTTCTCATCACTGATGCGTGTAAGGAAAGAGTCGACTGGGATCCAGCAAGAACCGCCGGTGAAGATGTCGACGTTGTTGATGCGGAAGTAGAAAGACGTTCCATCGGAGTCAGGTTCTTGAACCAGCTTCACCTTCCGAAATCCGAAGGTATGAGAGCAGCCATGGAGGTTGGTTGCGCCTGGGCCTCTCCCGCGTGCTTCGGCGCGTACGCTGTACAGTGCTTGAGAGCCATATCCACGAGGCCACCACAGTGCAATATTGTCCAGCTCGAAGCTTGCGCTGACAGTGACTGACATTTCACTCTCGGGTGAGTTGATGTATTTGCTAGCAATCTCTGTGTTCGTGCCCTTTTCGAGGATAGTGAACATAACACCATTGACAGGCCCAAGGCAAGAGATACTCGCAGTCAAATGTGCTGACTTGAGATCTGCAGACAGCTCGTAGTATAATGAAAGCTCTTTGATTTCGCAAACGAAGGTCTCCAACCAGATCGGCTTCCATGGTCCGTAGCTCATAAGTATTGGACCCCAATCCCAGCCCCACTGATACTGTGCTTTGCGGACAGGCCCCCGCGAGATCTCGGTCTGATGGACGATGAAACGGTGGTTGTTGTGCTCTTTGACAAGCTCGAGACCTTTCTTGCGTGCAGACTCGAAGACGATCTCAAGAGTGTTGCTTTGAAGCCGTAGTTTTTCGGTGACGTCGATATAATGCTCTATGAACATATTGTCGGAAACCAAGATTTGTTCATCGTTGAGATAAACTGAAGCAAAAGTATCTAACCCCTCAAGCTTGAGACGCGTGACCGTGCCAGGCTTTTCGTAACTCGCTGGCGCGGCAAATGTCGAGCGATACGTCCATGTTTGATCGCCGACCCAGCGGACAGATAATTCGTTGAGATCTTGAAATGGATCTGATATCTTTTCATTCTTAAGCAGATCGCGGTATATTTCCGTGGGCAAGTCATTTGCTGGAAGATATTCGTCCGTGGAGTCCCGGCCGCCCTGCTTGAACGTCCAGTTCGAGTCTAGAGACGTCGAAGTGAATGCAAAATTGTCGGGATGTGTCATATTAGTAGAAATTGGTTGTTCTATATTATGATCTCTAGGCCACGTTGAAGGTCGCGCGCTGGGAGTGCTTCGAATGCTTGCGACGTTGCGGTCTGTTCAGGCGGCTATGGGCGTTGACGTTTGCGCGGACTAAGGAGTTGGAACTCGAGTATTAGGTATGGTAATCATTAGGCGTATAGACGACGAATCCGGCGACACGGGGAGGTGGGTTGACCGCGGGCAGAAAGCGGCGTCTGTGGGCCGGGACCGTGGATCTTGTTCTTGGCGGTAACTAGTACGACGAGAACCAATCGCCTTCAGCATCCATGGATTCAATGTTGGCTCGTTTCGTCGCTCGCATGGGTCTATGGGTTGCCCCGCGTCTGGCCCTTGCGCACCCGTCTCGGTCACATACTTGAATATTCTACATATTAATCTCCTTCGCCAATAAATTGGCATTACTCTACGACCGTCGCGCGAAGCAAAACGCCGTTCCACCTATTCGCATATATTAGTACCCTGAGCTGTTCTTCCTTTGTGATATTTTGCTGCAGCGACGATGCCCAACAGTCCATGCTGGGGCTGTCGATGGCGGCGAGTTCGATGTGACTCTCAGCAGCCGGCATGTAACAAGTGCACGCGCAAAGGCCTGCCCTGTCCTGGATATGGCAACACCAAACCTCTGAAATGGCGTCATCGTATCGTCCAACTTGACCAGCAACAAGTCGTCTTGCAGCCGCGGCTACCATCTGCGGATGCAATGGCTAGCAAAGACCTCCCCATACATCTGGCTCATAACGTCATGTCATACTGTCGGTCATTATAGTCTCATCGTTCTATGGCAACACTGATGGTGCGAGGTAGACAACGCAATGATCGTACCGGATCTCTCACCTTGCGGAACCTCTGTCCATCGCATTACTGTAGAAGATTGGGCGTCTGTTGGAGAACTGCCGAAGCATCTATACGTCTGCATGGTATCCTTACACAGGGTCGTCAAGTGCCTTGGAAACGAGGATGAGAACCGAGCGCTTATCCTGAACCATCAAGCGTATGCGGCCCGCAGACTCTACCAAATGATCATAGATGTAGCCCATCCACGTCTGGATACTCGACTCGTAGAAGCAGCGTGTATGTTCCTGTGCCTGGATATTCAGCAAAGCGCTTACGGAGCCTGGCGAACTCATCTAAAAGGCGCAAAAGCGCTCATCGGCTCGTGGGAAGAAGATATGCAAGGGCGTGATGACTTTGTTAGGTTTGTCATTAGTGTGATCGACATCTACGGGGCTACCATGACACCCTCCAAGCTCCTACTAGAGGACACATTGGCTGAGCATCTGCTTTACCTGAGGATCGTGGGAAGTCTCCAAGTCGACGTTTTGAGCACACTCACACCCATCCCGCTGGAAATCCTAAAGGCCACTATTGCAATCAATTCTCACAGGGCAGCAGTAACTGATCAGCATAGAATTTCTGATCAGCAACGCTACCAGCATCTCCCGTCTCTCAATGCGATCCTCGCCTCTCTTCGACAATTCGATTCTTATCGATGGGCATATGGGTTGCCATCACATTATGTGCTTGAGGCCGAAAATTGGGCATTGTTCGCGACTTGTTATCAATCTGCAACCACGCTTTATCTGTTTCAAAGCTGTAGCCCAACCGCCGATTGCAGTACTGGGGACGAACTGCATAACAACACTCGAAGAGGTACATATCACATTTTGGTCAAATCCATAACGGAACTCTTCGGGCGAAGGCTACAAGGCTGCACTCATTACAAGTATGTCTTATGGCCAATGGTCATTTGCGGCATTGAGTCGGCCGCTCGTGGGGAGCGTAACGATCTGAAGTTTCTATGTTCTTCCTTGGAGACGACTACGCTTGATCTCGGCACTCTTAGTATGCGGGAAGCAGCGGAGTTTCTCGAGAATGTTTGGGCTGCTTGTGGACTGAGACGAAGCCATCTTATGGACTGTGTTGCTATTGACTGGGACGAAACCTTCAAACTTGCGCCGATATTTCTAATATAAATTATAAGCCCGCTACGCATAACACAGCACTTCAGTATCTACAATGTTTTTCTCATGAAGTCTCGTGCAAATTGAAAATCTGATTCTATGATTCTGTCCATCCATGTGCAAACCGCTCCATGATCGAGATAAGCTCAGGGCGCTGACTGCGCTACATGAACCAATCTCGACATTGATACGACCTACTCCCACCATATTGCATCCGTCTGGCGGAGGGTGTTCGATCCGCAGTGGATCTCTCCTCCTCCGACGTGATGGCTCAAAAAGTCGTCGACGAATCCTACACTCATTCCAGCCCTTGCGTAAGCCGCTTCCACCGCTCGCTCAAGCACATCCGACCCGTTCACCACAGGACCCCAGGGCTTCGGGCTGAAATATTGGCTCCCGATGACGATCCCGTTGATTGCAGCAGGGGAGAAAGCCACTAGCAGCTTTTCATTCGCCGGAATGGTGGCGAAGCGCGATGGCAGTCCATCCGGGGACCCAAATCCGCTGCCGAAATTACTTTCCTGGAATAGCGTAGGCACGTAAATGATGTCCTCAGCCATTAATGGTATTTCTGCTAACAGCGTCTGTAGATTTGCGTCAATATGGCGTTGCGCGTAGTTGTTCGCCTCAACGAATGTTGCATTAGAAAGAAGTTGGTTGATTGTACCGTTCTTATCTGGCACTGACGCTCCTGTGTCGCCCGGGAAACTGATTGCACGGATTCCGCCGTGTCCGTCAGTCTGAAGCTTCCTCAGCATATTCATTCCCGATACTGTATCCGCTATAGCGATCGTGAAGCCCAATTCATTATCGTATGGCAAAAATTGTACGAATTCGTCAACGTGCCCGATCAGCAGCCAGCCTGTCTCAAGTAGAAGTGGCGACTGTAGCTGCTGATCATGGAGGAAGTCCAAAACTGCAGCTGCGGGTTTCTCTTCAAAGTGCTTGCCCATGATGATGCGTCCAACGGGGTAGCTCTCGCCACTCTTCGAAGTGTAAGGGGGGATTGTCTCCAGATTGCCGAAGCTGTTGATCTCCCTGTGGCCAAACCCAGATCCTGTGCCAGCTGAGGGTTGAAAGCCTCCAACACCTGGCCCGCGAAGTTGCTCGAACACCTGACGGCCTCCTGTACGGGTCGATTGTGCCGAGCGGAGGATAACACGGATTGCGATTGGTCCATTAGGCCCCGGCATACTGGCGTAACCCGGTTCAATGAAGTCTTGCGCCCAAATATCATCAGACTGATTGAAAAGTATCAGCTGATTTGCAATTCCAGCAGTCTGACGAGCAGCCTCTATTTGGCGAACAAAATTCTGTTGGTCAGGATTCGTGGAGTTTGAATCGGTAGCGATAATCGTCTCTACCTTCTGCAGATGGTGGTGGATCAGGACTGGAGCCATCTTCATCGCAACACTGTCGCTGGACTGGTCGAGATCGTTGAAGACATCGAAGCGAATAACCACCGACCCATCCCACACGGACGCATTTGTTACAAGTTCGCGGCCATCGATTCCAAGGGTGATTCCAGCGCGCAATTGGGTAGCATTGAATTGGAATTCTTGGTCGACCAGACGCCATGATGTAGTTGAGTTCTTGTCTTCCGGATTATCTAGAACAAACAGTCGAACTCGTTCGTACGCTGCTTGTGGCGTGGCGTAGATGCGAGCAGCCACATCGTCCGAAACATTCATGGGTACAGTGCGAAGAGGTGCAACGTATTCGGGGGCCAGGAGTAGATGCCCAGAAGCGTCGTTACAGGCAGCTAGCTCATCGTTGCTCAATGGATTGCCAACTTTGTCTGTGTTGGCGCAACGCAGGTACTTGTCACCGATGTTGGGAAGGAAGATAGCTTCAAGCTCAGCGTTCCAAGCAGTCTTATTGCTGCGGTCTGAAGAGCCTACCACGTCGACAATCCCATCACGATTGGTGTCCGCGCGGAGATCCGGTGACCATGTTGCGGCCGAGGCTGCCTGAAAGGCGAAGCCAGAGAATAAGAGACAAGATGCGGGTTTCATGGTGAATAAAGAATCGGTACTCGCAAGATGACCACGAGCTGGATGATATTCTCTGCTCTGGCTGCCATGACCTGTATTTATTCGCATGAGCTTTCGATGTCGGCCCGCTATACGCGCAGCCAAGCAACTGCGCCAGGTAACCTCCTTTCACTCCACGGTTTTCCTATCGCCGGCTTCCTTCTGCAGTAAGAGGCAAAACTACAGCAAGTGGGTCACTAGACAGGGTGTTGAACATGGTTTAGACAAGGAGCAAAATTACACTGCCTGACTCTTTGAACAAATGAGAAGACGGTATTCTACTTACTAAAATGCACAAAAGTCTGGGCTTCAAATTCCCTCACCTCAAATGGCTGTTCTGAGCGCTGAGCTGAGCCACCGCTATGACCACAGTATACGCGCCATGTGCCGCCCCACTGCCATCATCTTGGCCACAAAACTAGCCTGATCGGGATGTGCGCTATCCTGGATAAGCTAGCCACCACACATTCCGGGCCACCCGTAGTTCTCAGCCACCAAAACCACCATATGCTACATCTTAACGCGTAATTGCTTTCCTCTACTACACCTAATATGGCTCATCGCGAGGTAAAAAATAATTGACGGTCCTGATAAGTACAACGCAGGGTTTTCACGAGCCTGCGCGCAGCTGCGCGCGCGTATAGGATCCTGCATTCAACACTTCAGGATCGCGCGTTTGGCATCAGTCCACACGCAGTAGCTTACGCAGCGCAAATGGTGTATGCGAGGCGGTTTGCAGAGATATCGACATTGATATGGAGCTCGCAACACATTCCGCATTTCTATAACTGACCGTTGTCGTACTTCATGTCTTCACGTCGCAAGAAGCTAGCGGTGTTGATTAAAGACACTATGGAATGGCAACTCTTATCTGAGGATTTTTGCTTGAGTTATTTCTCAGCTAGGCATCAGCTCCTTGAAGGATTGTGTCGAGACAGACGCAGTGTATAAAAGTCCAGAGGAAGGAGCATAATGATTGTACCACACTGAACTTCCATCGAATACTCTTTGAGACCTGCAGAGATTTCCGACACCTCTAAAAGTCTCAGCGCCATCGTTCTTGTTGCACCTGTTTGCATGTTCAGTTACCGTGAGCGCCGTCTTTACCGATTTCTTGACACACACCACCAATTCACTTGCTCAAAGGGTCTAAGCGTTGTAGAGGCCAGCGTTGAGAATCTACAAACCGCCCTCAGCAACGGGCGGATCAATTCTGTTCAATTGATTGCCAAGCACATTATCCGCGTGGCGCGTTTTGATCGTCGAGGGCCTTGTTCAAATGCTCTGGTTGTCCTCAACAGCAACGTTTTCGATCATGCCCAATCTTCCGACGACTTCCGCGATATCAAAGGATCAGTCGGATCCGCCTTAGAAGGCTTGCCCGGAACACTGAAGCTCAGATGGCTGGACTGACATGTGCATCTGGATCCCCAGCTTCCAGAACCTGACTGCGAAAGAGGATGCCTTCACTGTTGGACGGCTTCGTTCTTATGGTGGCCTTTTACTCGGCAAGACCAATATTCCTCCTATGGCTAATGGGGCCATGCCGCGCGGCCTATACGGTCGAGCCGAAAATCTCTACAACAAGGCATATTTGACAGCAGCATTCGCGCCAAGGTCTCCCAACTGTGCCGGAAGCTCTACATCTGCGAGCTTTGCCGTATTTGCTATGGCTTAAGAAAATGTTTCTTCGGGTCTTTCCCTGCGTCTAACAATGGTCTTGTTGCATATGCATCATCAAGAGGCGTACTTTCCGTGCGCGGCAACTGGCCTTTGTTCTCAGACGCAGGCATTGTGGATCATTACGCCCGAACGCTCCGGGACTTGCTGCATGTCTTGGATGTTATCGTTGCAGATGATGAAAGTGTTGAGTCTGACTTCCAGAAAGGTCAGCCCTGGGTCCAATTACCAGCCGCTAGCTCCGTTCGACAGCCTTCGACAAGTAATTGTGCTCCGCGGAAAGCGCACTGATGTCCCCAAGATGTTCATTTGCTAGCATGACGCTGCGGCGTAGCCTACATGGGCCAGTTCAGAGGTATGTGCCCTCTGGAACACCACGAGAGCTGCACTAGAGTCCCTTGGCGCCATCGTGAAAGAATTGGGATTCACTCTCGTGACCAGCTATGAAATTCCTGGCGTGCCTGGTTGGAATACCTCGTATCCACTTCCGGGCTCGATCAATGGCACCATCCTGTTTTCAACATTCGACACATGGCCATGTAGCCACGACAACCTGATCAGGATGATCAACGATTCAATTGTATCTGGCATCACGCGATTGAGCAAAGATGACCCCACTCTTAGACCCCCGAAATTACCCAATACTCTACCAGACCGCTATGGCAATTCACTTGATGAAACACCATCTACATACTCGGGCTTGTTTGACCTCATTGCAACCCGCAATGGCACATCCATCTACAATATACCCGGCTTAGAACCAACCTCAAGCAATGCTTAGAAGATTGGATAGGCTCATTTAATCTCGACTTAGTCGTCTGGCCCTCTGCTGGTGACGTGGGCTCCGTGGACGCAGATACGAACAAAACAGCCGTGGAGCTTGCCTAGCGCAACGATATCTTCTTCTCAAACGGCAACTACGCGATTAGGGCTTTTGGCGTGCCCACCGTCAGCGTCAACATAGGTCTTATGAGCAAGAAGCAGGGGCCTGTTGGTCTTACTTTTTCTGGCAGGGTTTACAATGATAATAAGTTGCTGAGCTATGAGTGTGCTTTGGAGCAGGGACATACCCAGTGTGCTGCTTCGGCTTTAACACCCAAGTTACCGATGGACAATGTACCGCAACGATTTAATCACACGCTTGTTGGCACGAAGCCTTCGTGTCTTGGAAATGTTACTTTAGCGAAACTCTGCGGCGATGTGGTGACGATACTATAGGTAGCCCGCAGTCCATGAGAGCTCAACCAGATTCGATATTGAGCTCGTGAAAGGGTGTCACTGACCAACGAATGTTTACATGTCACACTTTGATGTTAGCCGCTCGCAGCTGCATGTTTATACACGTCTTGAATCGCATGGTCACATGAAAGCGGACTTCTATCACCTCTGACCCTCACTGTATCTCCTATGGTCTTCACTCACCTCCCTCTAGTCCAAGCTCTGTTCACACTATGTGAAAAGCGGTCGTCCTACGTGCATAAGCAGACCTCTTCTCTCCCATCACACCAACTCTCAAACCACGCCAATTCTTTAACCACTCCATAAATCATCAGATCAAACTTCTGCATTGCTTCTTCTTCATGATCGTCATGCTCGGCAGCTTGCTCGCCCTGGTCTCTGGCGATTGCAAGCCGAAGCCGGCCCCAGATGAGATATTCGACATCTTCTACAAGCCGAGTGATAAATGGGATTTGGATACTTCTACTGGCACGCATGGTTGCGAGATTGCCGTGCCCTTTGACAAGCCTCGCATCCACCCATGCCCAGGCAACAATGGCTTCAACGTCTGGAACTTTAATGCGTACAACCCAGACAACTTCAACGAAACTATAGCCTGGTCATACCTCCTTGGAGTTGGGAACGCTTATCCATTCCAAGGTGGTACAGCAGGATTCATTTGGGTGAATGTGGAAATTAGCTTTGCTAATGGCTTCTGGCTCCGGGCCAAAATGGAAAACGGCCGGCCTCCGGGCGAGACGGGTCACGCAAACATTTCAACTTCAGGTGCCGGTTCTACAGCTCGTTGGGGCATAATCCCATTGGGGTGGAACATCACCAAAAATGGCGAGATTCACACCCATCGTGAAGAGCATGGGAAGTATCAATTGGGCCTCACTGGAACCATGGACATGAAGGCAGTAAGTACCTGGGGCGAAAGATCTTCGATGCCCAAGCCAAACCCGCGTGAGAGAGTTTACGTGGAGCGCGACGGCAAGTTGCAGGCCAGGGACATGATCTCAGGGAGGAAATGCCTATGCCATCAGTCGAGTACATCACAGTCTGATATCTCGTGAACGGTCGAGTGAAATACCATAGGCTCAGACAAGAGAGCAAAATACAAATGGACCAACTATGGAGTATTTTGAATCACAGACTTCGGGAAATGAGTGCCTTGCAGTATGCTACACGCCATCTGATACTCCGGCTTGGCTGACCATGTCTACTTATTCTGCACACATCTTGATCATACTTGCATCTTCGGTCGCATGAAGCAGGAGCTGCAGACTCGTGCCATGATATTAGAATACACCACAGTCTCCGTCACAGCATCACTATCCCCAGACAGAACCCCGCGCCTGTATTTTCTCGCAGTATACAACATGCCATATCATCATCACTGAATATACATCCCCTCCAACCACACTGCACCACATCATAACCTCGACTTCTATGCCGGTCCTCTCTCCAAGTCCTTTGGCCCCAACATCTGCAGAAAGCTACTAAACGTATTCACTTCCCCCAACACATGCCAAACAAGCCACCAAACGCAATTACTTCCCGCATCCCATTCACCCGCCCCCTCCACCCGCGAACACTCTAGAAAAGCCATGCGCAGCTGCACCCCCCTCTGCACGTGCGGGTGCGGGCATATCCGCACTGCATGTGCGGATAATGTAATTTTCAAAAGAGCCCCCCAAAAAAAAAGAGTTGAACAGCTCCACACACCTTGCACACAATGCCGTGGAGATGAGTAAGTAGTGAAATGATATTACACTTTGCGATACATGCAGGTCCATCACAGGTGCGTTTACAGACAAAAAGCCTGAAAACGTTTCGAACGTCAAGGTACGGGCGCGGACCCTCACGCCCCTGCATTTCTTTTACTCCGCGGATGGCCTTCCTACACATATACCAAGACACTTACATATCCCATCTCGGGGTTAATATCAGAAAAGATGGATTACCCAACCAACCAGATTGCCGGTCGTGGAAAGAAATGCGCGAGGCGCATGATCCGGACCCCAGTGTTAAGACCATGGATGGCGAAGAACATCCACATGTGTGTTCCCTCTCTCGTGCGTCGTGTGGGCGTCGTGGAAGCGGGATGGGATTCCGCGTACCGTCCAAGGCGTAAGTCAGCACATGCATTTGCCTTTCTTAGCCGTGATGCCCGTTTTGAGCTTCGAGCGTGGAAGCGGGACAGGAACCGCATACACATACTTACGCCTTGTCGTCCGCGGGGGTGGATAAAGGAAGCTCGGCGTCTGCAGGGCTGCATACGTGTACGTCGAAACCTCATCACCACCATGTGATGTGATGCGTCGCGAACCGTCATCCCACGTCAGCAACGCGACCCGTGAGGATTTCAGGACGCGCCGCACCGTCCGCATCTCATGTCAGCATTCTATCTGCCGACATCACATGCACACGCCTCGAAACACCGCCCCAGATGCTGCGGACCGGTAAGCTGAGCATCTGGGGTAGGTTGCGCGGAGTGTGGTGCTGATCCCAGAAACCGGTATGGTATGTGGAGGGGCGCAAGGAGTTGGGCGCCCCGGCATACCAAATGCGCCGTCCTTCTGTACTTATGTCGGCCTGATAGGATATACACGGCGCAGGTGGCGCAGAAGTAAGGCGTTCTTATAAATGAACACGTTCGGTCGCACAGCAGATGATGGCATACTTTTCGATCACGCACCTATCCTGCTGTGCCTCGCGTATGCTTTACCCGCGAATAGAAGCGAGGTGAAGCGCCCCAAGCCTGTGTATGCTTTTATCCTGATACTATGCCAGTGCAAATTGCCGTGCTATTGGTGAATACCGGCCCGCGGAAAGAAATGCTAGCCTTGCCGACGAAGTGAGAGTTCTCGGGCCGTGTGATGTGATGAGGCGCAGATACCGTTCGGTTTACTTTCTACTGTGAGTGCGGGCGTAACGCGGGATACCTTGCACAAGCGCGCCAACGCATTACGTTTCGTGGGATGCTACGGTAGTATCGCTATCGACTCTTCGAGCCATGAGGGTAGTGGTGAGACTCGAGGAGTTGACCGTGGGCTCGGGATTGAGGCATCCAGCTGGCGAGCATCTGGAGCGACGAGGCGGTGAACAGCGCGAGACCGCAATATCGACGAGTCCATCCGTACGCCGATGTGTAAGACATCAAGATCCAACTTTGGATTCCGGGGTCAGCGATGGGGTTCCGACACGGTGGTAAAGGGACCTCGCTGGCTGAGCTGTGTCGCACTCAATATGGGAGCGGAAGGATAAGCCTAGGCTGACCACCCATCGAGATTGAGTAATGCAGGAGTTATTTTCAAGGAACCTGCGCGTCTAGGGGTTACGGGGTGGAAAGAGACACAGCTGACAGGTAAGCATGCAGTATTACCAGAACCATAGTTAGTTTGAGTAGCGCGATGGAGGGTCTGAACAAAGACCTCGCCGTCCGCTTACTTCGTGGGGAGCACAAAGGCGTGTATGCATGTATGATAAGATCAATCTTTCATAACGCACAGTAAGCTCGCGACAATGCTAATGAGCCGGTGCATTGGAGGGAGTATTACTGCATGAGGCAGGAGAGTGGTCGTGCCACTTTGTCCAACGGTTATCTTGCTCAACTGGTATCTGTTAGACATTGAAAATACCTTGCGGACTTGCACGATACGCTAGTAAACGAGAGACGTGGAGAAAGAGCGCACGTGTGCGCCTGAAGCAGAAGGTCGGTAGCCGAGGGTGTCTGCATATGGGAGCTCCAGCAATCCTGCGGCATATTCTGCAACTCTGACATAACCTCATTGGCTCAAGCGACACAAATTATGCTTCCGCGTGTCAATTGTTGGTGGAAGCGAATGCGGTTGTGTGCCGTTAACCCCCATCCTCCGATTCCTCGGCACGGTCTCGATGGCATGAAGCTGCTTTGCGAATCCTACGCAGGAATGACGACCCCACCTGCGATCTTCGGATAAGGTGTGATAAGCACGTGGGAGGAAACACCACCACGCGCTTGTGCCAAGTTGGGGGCTTGTCCATGTGAACGTGCCTCGACCAGGGTAGATGAAGCCGCAAGTCTCCAGTTGGTGAATTCGAGTCTGTCCCCCAGGCAGGGGAATGTGGGAACAGAGCGTGACCATGAGAGAACTCAAAAGCATAAACACATATGAAATAACGAACGAAAGTGACAGGTGACCTTGCTGTACCTTGCAGCAAGGAACAGCGGTGCAGCTTTCCCAATAGCTCTTCTCCTCGGTCACCGGCGATACTTTGTAGGTTTCTTCCCTCGGAACTCTATGTGTCGTGCCGCGGTGACAAGCGACGTGACCTTGCGACTCGAAGATTGTCGGCAGGATAACTGCGCACTAGAACCCAACTCCCAAGGCATGGGAGTGAAAAGCTCCTTTGGGGTCCTCCATGTGGCATGAGCCTTGATAGGAAATTGACGATGCCCAACCACGCGAGATTGAGAGTCCCGAGGCGCTGGAAAATGACGCAGATCCGCGAATAGCAGAGCTTCATCCAACGGAAGATGAATCCAGCCAACAGGCGAGTTGTCGCTGGCAACGTGCCGCAATAACAGGGGAAGTATTCGCCCAACTATGATTCGTGCGAAGGTCTGTCGGAAAGCAGCCTGAACTTCCCCCCGTGCGCTAGAGGTGTGATAGCGCGCCTCGCGAAACGCTTAGGGATAGCTCTCCGCCTTTTCGAGGCATGCCAGGAAGCCCCAGCGCTGCTTGGACACAATCTCCGGGGCATCGCGAAGGCCCCCGAAACCTTCGGTAGAATTACTGCGAGATGGTGGCCGATGCCATGAATTGCATGTCTTGGAGCTGAAACGCATTGCTTGCGCAAGGGCACATGTTGTTGCTGGGCATCGGGTACCAATTAAGGAGTGATTAACGGCGCATAGCATAGCCTGTCGCAACGATATTGGACATGGATGAGTTGCGTGTCCAGGTATTGGGATCCAAAGACAAGGCCGAGTCATCGTGCACTGATGACAAGCTAGAATATGCAGCGCCATCATCGAGCTGCTGAGCAAGATGCCGCTGCGACCAACCGACTGCAACAACCGGTGGGTGTAAGACGGGTCATTGGTGAGGGGATGACCAGTTGGAGTGACAGCCACGCGACTCATGCAGATGGGGATGCTTCCGCGAACTTGCCGCGCCCAAAGAGGCTTCAGCTGGACGCCAGAGCCACGCTGTCGGGCCTTTGGCACGCAGCCATGTGCCCGACAGTGTGGCTCTGTCACGCCGCCATCGTGGATGCAACCGTGTCCCATGCTCTCAGCTGCATTGCCCGGTTTGCGGGGGGAAGACACATCTGTCGTACAGACTACGTTGCGCAAGTTGCGAATTCGATACGGTTGTGCTACCAAGGATCAACCAGGCGCATGTTGTGCTTCGAGCGTTTGCAACCATGCACATACTGATTCATCGTATCGTATGCACAGGCGATCGTTGCGCCCAGACGTTGCGAAATTGAGTTGCGGGCCTGCGGGATGGCTGGCTGTTCCCGACGTGATACGAACGCTCATTCTGTTCCTTTCGTCGAGAAGAATTGATCGTCACGTTCTGCTCGATTTGGTGTTACAATACGAGCAAAAGAATGACGACGAAAAAGCAAAGTCGAGTTGATTGTGATACACGGTGAGTCTGTTCCTAGAACGCCAGGAAAATGCAATCTAGGCACGAATGCGTAAGGTCCTCCACAGCCTGGATGTCATAGTGTGGAGGTTGGCGTTGATGTCAACTGCGTACATTCCGTGGGGAGCGCTAAGTTCACCGCATTCCAACCGCTTGTCTGTAAACATAACTTGCACCTTTGCTTGTTGACTTTTCAACGACCGTCTTGGAAGGAGCACATGGATCCGCATCAAGTTTTGACCAAGGTGTGTCTCAATGAGGCACTGCTCGAGTTGCTATATTAACGTCATGCCAAGCTTGCATGGACAATCTGGGGAAGATGGATTGGCACCCCTGCGTCTACACCGGGGTCCTCGTGTATAGTCGTGTGTTGGTTTCAATAATGCAGAAGGCGGTCTACAAGAACTCCCCTACAGTGAAGCGAATCCTGGTCACGAGGCAGAGTAGGATGGTTGATTTAATCAATAGGCGCCTCATACTCGGAGTAACGCGCAGGGCAACACAGAAGATGTGATGTTGCGGAGGCTGAACAGCCGCTGGCTATTCGTGGAGTTGTACCACCAGCGTTTCTCCGGAGCCACGGTCCGTCGGGCAGGACGACCTTCGTAGTCACGAGCGCTCTGGATTTTAACAAATCCTCTTATAGCCTATAAGACTAAACATCCCTTCACCGTACCTACTTGAGGCATGAAGATCGATGAGTCGAGCCAGGGACTATATGGCGATATGTGGGGGACACCTAAAGAGGCTAGAGTAGGGGCTGTGGTTGTGATCAGTAGGTACTGGAACTGGAGATGCATAGGCTCGGAGTCGCAGAGTGCCACGTAAATGATCCAACACGGCTTGGTAAAACTGTGATTGTCGCTGTACAACTCATGAAACATGCAGTCACGCCGCATACGGCGAAATGGTAAGTCGCACATGATCCCCTTGCGGCTCTGTGATTCGGCCTCCGTCTGCATATGACCTCGAGAAATTGCCTTGTAATGGAGTGACGTAGCAAAACCGTGCCTCTTGTACGGGATCGAGCAGACAGAAAGACCGTGGGGTAGATTTGTCTATCCCGGGGTATGGAGCGGAACTATCTAGGGGATCAGTGTCTCAGGAATCGAGAGTGAACCACTCAAAGCCTTCGTGGCCACCGGGCTGGTCCCTCGTGCCTCCCACCCCCATGCGATGGCCAACGCAGAGAGAAACCTGGCGAACAATGGCAGCAAGATGCGATGGGAATGATTTCAGCCATTTGCTGGCAGACGGTTGTCGCAGCAGGTCGAGAATGTGCTCTCGCGGTAGCGTAGCCAGCCAGAAGCGGCATGTCATCAGCGCACGCAGAGACTGCCCAGGTGCCGTATTGACCGCCAGCGGAGCGCCAGCGGAAGAATGCAACATGCTCGTGATGACAATCGCGGAAGCAGATGTTGGCGCAAACGGAGAACGGCTCGCATTTGGAGACAGGGCTGCCCCAGGTTCTTCAGAAACATGGTGAGGCTGTCAAAAGAAAACGATGAGCATATGATGGCTCGATTTTTCAGGGTCCAGGGCCTCGCAGCGCCCTCGAGCAGTTGCCGACGACGGGGCACCCACAACCCACATGCACAGTCACATGTCTGGAGGCCAGACAGGGGTGTGGTCGGATGAAGCGAGAAGGGGAAAAGAAACGCTCGCGGAGGGCTGGACTGCTTCCGCGAAGCGCAAAACAGGCCCTTGCACGACGCATCACATGCAGCGCAAATCTGGTGCGGTAATTGCTGACACAGCGGTATTGTAACGTAACGAATCTCGGGCAGGCTCAGGTGACGAGACGGCGTGCGACCAGCGCGCGAGCGTCAACTGAGCATGTCGCAGCCAGTGGCAGCGCAGTCGCAGAGACAGGCGGCAACGGTTGTCAGCGTCGAGGGCTCGCACTGGGTGTGCGCTGCGTGAATCGACGCGCTGGACATGAGACGAGGGCCGAGAGGCAGCGAGTCAGCCTCTTTCGATGCGGGTTCTGGAAGTGCAACCTTGCTTGTGCACGTCCTCGGAGGAGAGAATCATGTGCCTCCCCACGCCCAGGCCGAGCTGGCACTTGGACGCAGAGCCACGCGGGCGCCGACGCTTTCAGAGATGGAGCTGGTGGCGGCAGAGCCTGTCTGCATGCGTGCTGTGGCCGCGATTAGAGGCAGAGCAGATTCATTCATTCTTCATTCTGGGGGCAGCAGAGGTCCGGACATGCTGTCCGCGCGGAGCCAGACAAGGCAGCCAGAAGAGTCTGCTCGGCGGGCCAGCGGCGTGTTGAGCGTCGCAACGCAACCGTCAAAGAGCGGTAGCGGTCGCGGTAGCGGTAGCAGCAGGCCGTAAGTGTGCAATCTGCCGGGGAGTCTCCGGGCGGCATGTTTAGGGCGAAGATGAAGTGCAGGGGGGCGATGGGATGGCCAGGTGTGGGAGGCTTGTGCGCCAGCAAGTCGGCCCAGGTGCGTCGCGCTTGCCATCCATGTTCGCGGAAACACCCCTGTCGCAGCCAGATGCTAAGTACAGTCTGCCTTTATACAACCCAGCTCCACTCCCACCTCGGTCTACTGCTGGCTACTTCACTGCAACACTCGCAAACACGGCGCCCTTGACCACCACCGCCCCTACCACATCCTCTGTCTCCATGTATCCGACGCCGCTGTAGTAACGCCGGCACTCTTCCTGCTGGCCCTGCTGCTCTCCGTTGACGCAATCCCACGCTCGCCGACGCCCATCACTGACGCAAGCGGAACGCCCACCACAACACCACCACAACAACAAGACCGATCCGATCCCCACGATGCCGCTCCACGCCGAACGACCCATTGTGCGAGTCGAGCACAGCTCCATGCGCACCATCGAGACGCGCAACACGGAGAACCTCTTTGGCCTCTGGTCTGGTGAGTGCGCCTTGATAGGCCCGCCTGGCCACTACTAACACACCCGCGCAGTCTTTGCACGATGCTCTCCGGCCATGGAGGACGGCAAGCGCTACGAGAACATGGCGTGGCGGCTGTGGTCGCGCGAGACGTTCTGCTGCCAGCCCGACAACCTTGTCTCGCCGCAGTGGTCGTTTGAGCAGCAGTTGCCCGCTGAGATGCCCGAACTGTCTACAAGCGTGGCGTCCGACGACTCTAACCTGGACACGGCCATCACCACGGCGTCCCGCTCCGACTCTACCTCGGCACCGCGCCCGGACCTGCGCCGCCACGACTCGGCGAGCAGCCACGCCCGTGGCAAGCACATGACGCCCATCGGCCTGGAGAAGGTCGTCAACTCGATTCAAGAGAAGAAGTTCCTTGAGCCGTTGTCGCCACTCCCACCGCAGCTCGCCGCGCCCATTGCTGAAAAGCAGAAGCCCGCAGAGGCACCCACTCCCCGCCCCGCCTCCCCACCGACCACTGCACGCCGCATTCCAGAGTCGTCGTCGTCCACCGTCGCAACCGTCCAGGACAGCGAGCCCATGAGCCCACCTGTCGGCTCCGAGGCGAGCACCTCCACCGACATGAGCCACCACAGCGTCGTCCGCGGCTTCGAGCGTGGCCATATCTCCACCTCGGTCCGCTCCAGCACCAGCCTCAACCCGACGCCTATCCTCAAGACATCAGCCAGCTTTGTCGCTCGCCAGCCTCCGTCCAGGCTCGAGCTTGGCAAGAAGCGGCAGCCCATGTTCACGCTCGGCGGCTCTTCCGATGAGGATGCTGCCAGCTCCTTCGAGGCTTACTCCTTGAGGCAGCGCAGCTCACTCACCGACAACATCCGCAAGGCTCCTCCCATGAAGAAGACGACCTCATTCAAGCAGGAGGTCAGCACCCGCACCTACCACGACGTGACATCTGACAGCGATGCTGCCATTGAATCTGACAGCGAAGACGATGTCGACGAGAGCGCTATCGAGGAAGAAGACTCTGAGGATGGCGAGTGGGACGACGTTGATGAGGAGGAGAGCGGCCCGGCTAGTCCCAAGCAGAACAACATGTTCGACCGCGTCGAGTCCAAGTCCAACCTCCTTACCTCCCATCGATCCCTCCTCACCACCGCCCTCCACGAGGGTGACCGAGCAAAGCAGCTGCAGAATGAAGCATCGCGCTCTACTTCTGCCATTCGACGATCCCGCACTACCACCCCGAACGGTCCTTCTTGTGGCAACTCGCCTCAGGAGGAGGGTTTGATGATGAGGTCTCAATCTCGTGCCAAACCGATCATACAGACCACCTCGAACAACTACACACCAGCCATGTCGCCGCGTACTACACGAAGGGCTATGCTTCAAAGTGAACTCACGTCCTCATTAAGACAGAACCTGTTGTGGGAGCGCCAGCAGAAGAATGCCACCAGCAATGCTGTGGCCAAGCGCCAACAGAGCGCCATTTCCTTGCCCGCCCTACGTCGAGCAGCCACCACCAGCAACATCACCAATGCAAACGCTGAAGCACAGCCGACCCAGGACAGGGTGAAACCTTTCATGGACGACGCCAAGTTCAACAGCCTCAACCACGACGTCTACTCTGCTGGTATTAACCAATATCACCAGGCGGGCTGGTAAGTCAACCGCCGCCTCTTCATTTGCACTTTTAGCGGCATCTGCGAACAGGCACTGGGCCTGCGGCGTTTCTTTGATCATTTCCTTTCTACTTCTGGCCATCCTGGCGACTACAATGAGCGGTCGACGATGGATTATTTCCCTCAAAACACATTGAACCTAACCAGGTCTCTGTATGCCACGAGGCAACGAATTTCTTTCAAACAGTTTACCACGCCGCAAAAGGCGATATGGTTTGAAGATAGGTCACGGCTCACGCCTGCGTGCTCTGGTCGGACTCTCTGTCGAGCGACCTCGACAGCTCTGTACTATCACTTTGCATTTGTACTACTAGGCTCGAATAGTCGAGCATTATACCCTGGCGGCGGCGTAGTACGGCTCTACGAAGCCGCAGACGAGGATAGCATTACCTCTACATGAGATAGGTGGTGCTTTAGCTAGGCACTTAATGACAAAAGCGGATTCTTCAATATCGACTTCCCACTTGTGGTTCGTGGTGTTTGTGACTGGGGCCGGTGAGCAGATACAGCAGGCCAGCATGACCTCAAGGCCTCATCGACTTGCTCTTCTGGTCGATTGACTACCGGGGTACGACTCTCAACAAGACGCACGCCTGCTACGAGAGCCAGTTGCGTTTAGCAGGCTTCTTTACCGCCATTCTGAATCATCTAGCCCAGCAAGCGCTTATGCACGCTTGTGCTGTGGGCTTCATCATGCAACGCCACAAAGCACCAATCGCGCAAGGCGCAGACGCTGTAGCGAGCACCTTATTTTCGTCGCATCTGCCGCAGGTTGAACGCTTTTACGCACGTTACCACAGTCACGATGGCATGTGGAATTCAGTCCTTATTGTGACAATATGCAAAGTGAGGATCTGCCAATATGCCTCGGGCTGTGACAAGTTGGGCGGAATTTGGCGGCTATGGCCCAAGATCCTCCCTCGGCCCGGTCTCCAACGTGCGTTCCTTTGAAAAGTGTGCCTGGCGTAGGCTGTGGACGCTCGCGCCCTCCGTCACAGGGAGCAACAGCAAGGGCATGCGGAGCTCGAGGGCGGCGACCTCGTGAGACTATCCTTGCGTGCTATTGACCAGCACTTGTCCGACGTGCAGCGTGGCGAGCGCATCTGGGTTCCTCCGTGCGTGCGGCGTGGGGATCGATGTCGAGACTCGAGCGCTGCAGATGCCCTTCAGCCTTATGACTCAGCCCGCGGCCTCAACACCACAGAGACGAACATTGCGCCCCGCACGTGTCCCAGCACGATATGCAATGGTTCGGCGGGGACACGGCGGCGATTACACAGTCCACCTCAAGGCAACCCTGGAGGCACTGCAGTACGTCGCAATGGCAAGGAAGCCCTTCGCAATACGACGCGTCGTCGCTCATCAAGGCTTCTCTCCTGCATCAATATCAATCAATCTCCACGCAAGCCTTCCAGCTGACCTGAAGAGAACAGCGGATTCGCCAATCCCTTCGCACGCTCAGCGATTCTTACCCCAGATCGCACGGGCGCCGGACTCCGCCCAGCAGCCCCAGACGCCCCTTCAGAACCTTCATCATCGTCTCACTCATTGCGGTCCTATCTATATCCTTCTTTGAACATCTCCTGGTCACAAGGTGCTAAAAACAACAGTCACCCTTGCGACACGGCGAACAGCGATGGTTCCGCGATGCTCTATCAGGCACCCGCAGCGCTACCCCGCGGCCACTGTCGGTCTGGAGGTTGATGCGTTGGCATCTTAGCGCCTGCATCAAGGTCATCTGAAGTTTCTCTTGCACCTGAGTGGGGGACGCTTCAGCCTCATGTACAAGGACTCCGCCACCGCGGGAGGCGGATTGACGATTGAAGGTTAAACGTCCGGTAATACGCTTGAACCCCCTCGTCCTGTGACTGTGACATCGCATCCTCTGGGGCTGTCCGTCACCAAACCTCCGAACTCGCGTCTTCATTTGTCGTGCCCGTGGGGGTGCTCGTCACTTGTACTGGGTGCTGTCACACCTTTCACGACGCGAGCTGGCATTTCGGTGTCATGTCTCTCTCTCCGCCAAACGCTGCTCGATGTCGATCTGGCGCCCTGGCTGCACGTCTCAGGATATCGGTATATGCAGACTCGACACAGACCCGGCTCGTCGACTGCCGCCGTGCAGTTACGCTACGATCAACCCATCGAGACCGTCTCCAGTATGTCGTGCTCCTGAGTCGTGGCTGCGGAGAGACATCCTATTGCTTCGATGGACTTCACCGCACGACGCCACGGTATCGTCAATACTTCCTGCATTCCCGCCCGCTTATTTGGCATCGCGTCGACGTACCAGACACGACGACCAAGAATGGGCTTAGACAATGCGTACACACGGTAATTGTTACATATTTTTTGTTTATCTAGTCATTTCATCCGTCTCACACTGTTATCCTATCCCAGTATCGACGGCTTGCATACGGCTGTTATCACTAGCGGTGAGTACTTGCAGCTTCGTTTGCCATATCAGGAAGTCCCTGATAGCAGGTGAGTGATGTCTCGTTGCTCAAGCGTTGCACAAGACGGCACCCCACGGCCACAGGCCCCTTTGCCGTAGCCGGGTTCTGGGAAACCAATTGACTGCTCGAATTGTCGTTGCACAACGGATTTTGCGTACTCGAGAAAATGAAATAACTGGCACGGCATCATCTGTTGAGCACCACGTTTCTCTCCTGACTTTGCGCGACGTCAGGAGCAATACACACCACAGGCGGCAGGTTTGTCGGCAACATGTGTCCGCCCACACACACTCGGAGAATTAGCTTTGCGCCAACAATACCATCCCAGCTGAACGTCGTGTACGTCACTTTACCCCAGACAACGCATGCGTTTTGTCTCAGGTCCCTGGCTGGGCACTCAGGCACGAGATCGCTGCCCATCTCCCACGCGCCAACATGGTCAAGGTTTTTGACAACGCACTACCACACTGAACTTCATTGAATCGCGCTGGCATGTCATCAGACTCACAACTTCCCGTTGTCCAGCACGATAGGGCCGAAGAACCATGCTCACGATCCTCAGATCCGATCCGTCGGTCATAAGAAGGTGCATCGCAGATCGCCACACGCAGCCACAAGATCCTGCTCGGTTGGCATTTTCACATCTTCATAACAACAACAACAATAAAAACATACCGAGGCACTTCGCGCTGTCACGTTACGGCCGCAAGTTGTTTGGGACCGGCGTCATTTGCTACCAAACAATCGATACACTCAACGGCCAGGGAATCTCCCCGCAAAAGCTTGTCTGCACGGAGGGGACTCCGGCAATTACGAGGCAGCAAAGCAAACAAACCGCGATGCACCTGGCAACTTGCGATCGCAACAGTTCGCCGCTGTGAGTCAACTGCCTGGTCGCCGGGAGAGCTAGCGGTGCTTCAATGTTGTTTCGTGATGCGTGACATCACAACCTCAGGTTCTAGAGCCGCGCACTGAATCCCAAACGTCCATCACCAGCCTCCCCATGAAACAAGGATGATGTAAAGTGTTCATGTGCGACCATCGTCGTGGCGCTACGCCCATGGCGTTCCCTTGTTCCCCTGCGTAGCGGCTCCCTATCCGCATAGCATTTCTTCTCTGAGCATCGCGCCGGGGTTTTTTTATTTTATGTTTTATTTCTTTTACAAACGCGCGCGCTGAAGCCTGGATGTCGGATCGCGACGATGCTACCGTTGACATTCAGGCGACCCGACTAGGCCAGGATCCGCCTCGTGGAGACAAGGCTCTAACTCTGAATGCGGGGAAAACCTTAGAGACGAGAAATCTCAATGCTCACAGCTGACCCAGACTATTTGCTCTCGACAGCGACTACTCACAGCCACGCAAGGATGTTTCATCGCGTCCTGTCAGCCTACGATTCAGCATCACAGCGTGAGGGTGCTGGCGTTGGCGAGCATGAATCAATACACTCACCGTCGGCACGACGTTTAGCTTCCCCGGGAGCTATTCCCCCAGGTTCTTCCTGAAGCGGCACCCCTGCACCAAGACCGGAATGTCCAAATCAGAATTCCAAGACGTTCGTTCCCTGGGGCCAGGTACGCGGTGACCGCTTCATTGTTGCATGGCCGCATGAAGAGACTCGTCTCGACAACACGCTCGCCACGACCCTCATCACATTAGTGGAGTGCCTTTATTCCATTCCAGGTCAATGATCACCTTTCCTTTCCCTGCATCGAGAATATTGACCCGCATCGTGGACCCCAGATGATCAAATCCGGGGTTTTGCAAGGTCACACGGGGAAGCAAAAATGACGTCGGTTTTTTCCGTTTGGCGAGTGTGAGATGCAGGTACGGGGAGTGTGTCGATCACATGGAAAGGGTAAGCCGAGGTGGGGAAGAGACGCGCAATACTTGGTCTGGACAGGCAAAATCATTGTTTCTTGCATGCCAACCTCTGGAAATAGGAGTGTGCATTTTGGTACATGTAACGCACTTATTCAACAATGACGATCATACAGTAGTAGGTACGATGCGGAAGGTTGATCGGCAAGTCAGTCAGCGTCGAGTCGAGATGGATGCACACACTCGCTAAACCAGAAACCCTCCATGGAAACGAACAGCGACGGCGCCCGCAGCGGATCCGCATATCCCTTTTTTCCTCCCCTCGCACAGCACAAGATCAATTCAACGCCACGCTATTCGCAGCCACACTCACACCATCTAGCTCCCGATAGTATGCGACTCCACATGTCCCGGTCAAGGTTGCAGCGCGACACGAAGAGAAGTTTTCTAGAAGCCTGCAATAAGTGGAGCACGTTCCGGTTTCGTCTGTATTGAAAACGGAAACGGCCAACAGACGTCACAATGCCATGTGTTTTCATTGTCATGCTATGAATAGGTGGGTCGGTGCACACAAAGGACGTGGAGGAGGGTGTAATTGTGATGTGAACCTGCACTGATGTTGATTTTGACATCTCATGATTTTCTGTTGAGATGCAGCAAGCATGTAGGAGAAAGCATTGAGTCCCTTTTTGCACATGACCATTTTCACATGCAAACATTCGCACACTTGGCCGAATCCTGCCCGATCCCCATGCTTCACCAATTCACTAGGTGTATTATCTCAATTTGTTTTACCATTCTCTTCCCTGCTTTCTCTAGTCCGCCGTTGCTAATCACATGTCGTCTTTTCCTCTTGAGGAGTCGGTCTAGCGGAATTCTCACGCCCTTGTCCACCGTCAGCACTTGAAGTTTCGAGCCATCCGCGCCCGAGAAAATCCCTCCCCCATCTCCACTGTAAACCACGCACATCCGACACTTTCCGACTCCCGCCTCTCCAGCCACGCATCTAGACCTTTTGACAAGTCCACCGCTGAGCCACTTTTCTTTGGTAGCTTGACCCGCCGCCACCCTGCGGCTCTGCGGGACGTGCTAGTGTTTCCCCCGAATAGGCAATTCACGAGCGCCCGCTTCCGCTGCATGAGAAGGTTTTTGTGCGTGTTTCGAGAAGCTTGCTGCGATGCATGACTACACGGATGTGGCTGCATAGCTGGTAGGAAGGAAGGGGGGTTTGTGCGCCCAAGGGTCCACCTGGGCTTGCGTGGTTCACCCCTGGATAAGTGTCGAGGTGGTGGGTCTCACATGTGAACGTGAACGGGACGTGAACATGTTGAATTGTCTGTGCTGGGGGTAGGTAGGGAAGAGGAAGGAAGGGACTTGTGTGTGTATTGTGCGCGTGACTGTGGAAGTGGATATGGGTATTGATACACGAATGTGTCAATGCACATGTGGGAGCAGAGTGGAGATATGTGAAGCTTCATTTCACGAGATGATGCATAAATGGGGATGCCAGGTATATGTAGATCAGTTACCAGCGTGTTGTGCATAAGAAGCCACTTTACTTAGTTGAAGTAGTCAAGTCATTGTGCGATGCTTACCTCTTCCAGTTACGATATAGTTTCCTCGTCGTCCTGCCTGGAATGAGGAATTGTGTATGTGAATCGTAAGGAGTAAGCATCAAGTACGTACACAAGTCGAAGGTAGGAATCTAGGTATGAAGCATGCACTCCTGCCCTCATGCAGAGCAAGATCTATTTCCGTGATCTGATTCAACAGTATAAGGGCAGTTCCTAGAGGTAAAAAAAAGCTCACTGCATGTACACATTCGTGAGAGAGTGGCAAAGCTTTCACGAGCTCAACATCGGATCAGTTCAAATGTTTATGGGGTGTGTGGTAAAGTAGATAGGCATGTGAAAGAAGCTTAGGTAATCGGAGCTGGAACTTAATACACGTGCTGGGCAAAAGGTCTTACACTTCACTCATTCTCATCGCTAGCATTTATACTCGTTGAGATTTTGCTCCTCTACCATTGGATGTGTCTCGAAGACTCCTCTCTTTGTATACACATGCAAAAATTGCAGACTACCGCCTAAGTAGATTGGACTCTCCGCACAGTAGATTAGATGACGTTCAGGCTAAGTCATGTAGGGTGAGAAAGTCGTGGCTCTTCGTCACCGATTTGAGTGGTACGAAAGGATGCCTGACGCTGACCGACTAGCCCACACCGCCGCAAGCAAAATATACAGGGTATAAAATAATAGAGAGGAATGTGCGGTCAGTGTTCTGTTGCTCGATGTCTCTGGTGCGTTTGACGACGTCTTGCACATATGACTGCTACACTACCTCAGAAAAGGAAGATCGATGCGAGAATGATTAAGTGGGTTGCAAGCTTTCATAGCGATAGGAACAGCAGCATCAGTGTAGACGGATTCAGGTCACAGAAGTACGCTATTGGCACAGGCATACTGCACGGCTTGCCGCTCTGGCCTGCCATCTACCTTGTTTTTACAACGCTGACGTTATAGATAAATGAGTGCGAGTGAGGTACAAATATGAGGTCAACAATGCTCAAGATCCCGCAGAGAATACAAGCGAGAGTGACATGGAGTATCTGTAGAACACTCAAAGCTATCTCCTGGGCGGAATTCGGTATAGAAGCATACCTCTTACCTATAGAGCAGCAGATCTGGGGACACGATGCTGAATTCATCCCCTGTCTTCTCTCTTGCAAATACATTGCAGATATCTCTGGCTTCCATAGGCGCACACCACAGCTCACTATCGCATGCAGACCCAGCGTTAGACACTTTGAACCCTAGCAAAAGATGAACAACAATGTGTTCAGCCAGAGCAAACAGGATTTTGATACGCAAGGGCCATCGCACTCTACATAAGTCCGTCGTAGCGAAAAGGCGTTAAAAACACACATAGAAAAGGCCGCTGACAAAGCGCGCAATCAACACCGCAGAGAGCGCGACAAAGGCCGGAGCCTTAACATCTGTCGAGACGGCAGTTACATAGACGGCGAGGTCTGGTCAATGCTGCCAACTGCACGGTATAAGCTTAGCCATGAAGATGACACGAGAATACGTAGCACGAAGAGGTAGGAGGCAGGAGGGCGCTATCTACACCGACAACCAGGCGAATCCGTAGCCAAGACCGAGAGTTATTCAGGGGCCGCACAACAGGTACTGGGACTCCAGGACTTAGGATCGCCACGTACAGTAAGATGTATCCCTACCTACCTGGGAAATCCTGGAAATGAGACCGTAGATAGAGTCGCCAAGGAAGCAGCATGGAGGGAGAACGGCCGCACGGCCTACTCAGACTTCACCCCCTTCAAGTCGGCGGTTCAACGATAGTGCATGATACATACAGGGCGAGCGTTGAGAACCAACATGCAAGCAGGGACCAAGGGCCAAGAGAGGCGACGGACCGTCGCTCATATGCTTCTCCAGTGCAAGACGCACAAGAACTCTCGGAACCAGACACTCGGCAATCTCTCTAGACGACACAACCCCGAGGCTGCCGTGAGCAAGTCACAGTAAGCCAACAAAGCCATCTAGGACCGCAGAGTAAGCGCAGATCCCCCGAAATCCTGGGGGTAAGTGGGATCGCAGACGCGTAAAACACAGCCCGAGCGCCGGGTCGGAGACTGTAGCTAGGTAGGTAGGTACATACAGCAACCACACAATCACGATGTAACATACCTCTACGAGCCCAGTAGCATGGTACGCTGTTGGTAGAAGCAGTCTCTAGATGGGGCCGGCAAGCATATCCAGATAGTTATCTACAGGCGTGACGTAGCGCAGCGCGAAACCAACAACGGATCGGCAGTAAGCTGAGCGGGCCGAACCACCTGGGGTAATTTAAGCTACCGAGTAGGACTCCATCGATCAATCGATCAATCGATCAACCCAGAGTTCTGCCGCGCACTGTCCGAGCGTTTTGCGACGTTGAAACAACTTCGGTCCTTTGCGGGCAGCCGAAGCGGATTACCCCTGATATGTTGCATCGGCCATACTCATGTCTGGGCAGGTAGTACGTATGTGTACTCGATGCAAATTGGCCCGATGTAGGATCGAGGCGGTGCTGGGCATAGGAAACAAGTCGGATTGTAAGTTTCCCATGATTTTTTGATCTCGTAAGCTAGTGCTGAGTAGATTACTGACTCTCAACTATAGTTTGATGTGAGTAGTCTAGCTCTCTCCGCTGATAAATAAGCCATAGGTAGGTAGTAAGACATGTGTCTGACCTGTTACCGTAAACATTCTTGCGGGATCTCGAAGGTCTGCACCCTACGTTTTGTTATAGATGTACCACAACAGCAAGTTTCAGCCTGGCCAAATCTGAGCCGTGCAGATGGAACTACAGGATGCGAACTGGGACTTTTAGCAGTAAAATCACATTCTGACTCCAACATTATCTCATCACTTCCTCGATTCAATGTTCAATGCAAGAGTAACAGGGATCTCATGATGACCTACCTGCAAAGCACAGTATCAGTGGGGCTAGGGAACTCCAGAACGCATACCACCAATGACCACAATCAAAGCCATCAGCATTTATGTTTTTGCACAGTATGCTTCAGCACACGCATTATCTCATCCTACCTTCTCCGCCAACCGCATATTTCGCGATCCTACTTGCCGCTTGGCCCTTTATTGCACTCGATCACAGCACGCGAACTGGTCACGCAAGCCAAAGGTACGCCTTGAAGCTCAGAATCAACACAAGACGCGACACTTGGTTTGTATCAACCAATGAGAAATCATTTCCAAGCTTCAACAGCGACATGTGTGGCAGACTCTCACAGCTTTTCAGATGTATCGAGCAAGTGCTGTAAGCCCTGCGAGTGCAGACGATCCTGAATTTGCCATGCTGATTATTGAGTTTATATTCAAGTCGAGGCAGCGAGACCTCGCCAAGACATTTTGGCACCTCGAAGCTTGTAGAATGGTTAGGCTAAAGATTACTGCCTCCAGCCTGCAGAGACTCGACGAGGACGTCGAATATTCCAAGACACATCGACCTGACAATTACTTCAGATCGAAAAGAATTCTAGCAAGGGCGATCCTGTGGAAGACGTATCTAAATCGAGGTCATGTTGAAGGACAGGGTATTTGAGCAATGCATTTTGCTTTTGATTCCTTTGTCTATGTGGTATACAGCTCTCGTAGCATTGACCATGTCGCTTCAATCATGCAATGACCACGTCCAGGACCCAGATCTTGTGCAACGATGCGTCGCGCTTATCAGCCCCTTGACTGCGGCAGTGGCGTCTAGAAATCCTGCTCGTCGCTTCCAGCAATGATAACATTGTTGACCTGGAGAATGTCATTAGCATGTGGGTAAAGTGGCAAACAATGATGCAAGGCGTGAAGAAAGGAACGCAAGGTTGTTGTTTGTAAACAGGTCGGGGAAACGGTGTGTCTGTATCACAAACACGACAGGCAAAGGGGTGCTTGCCGCGTGTAACATGCGACGCAGATTTGCGCGTGTGCGACCCGTGGATCACTTCCCCGCTTCCCCGTGATTGCGAGGAAGCGGAGCGAGAAAACAGAACAGCAAGGGATTGGGAGGCGGAAGGGGGTGACACAGACGGAAGGGACAGCAAGGGGACCAGTTGTAACAAACGACAAGCGACAATACAAAACGGAAATATGATACATACCTTGAGTACCATTCTGCACAACTGTGTTGCAAGTAACAGCTGTTGCCTCTTCGAGATCAAGGGGTCGATAACAAAGTGCTCCTTCATGTCTGCAATAGCGCCACGTTAGCACGAATCCGAGTAGTTTCAGCCACGAATGCGTCAAGCGACGCAGGTGATGTGGGTGACAGCAAAGCAATGTTGCTCTTGTGATCCGACCAATTTCCGCTCGTGGTTGCAACGTTGGATATCGCGGTGCGTTGGTGTTGCGTGGGGGTAGCGCGCTATGTCCCGTGGAGGCGTTGGACACGGGTGGGTAAACGCACCACGGGACCGCGCTACCATGCGTTTCCGTGCGTGTGCCGTGTTGCGTTACAGTGGTAAACAATAGCGGTGAGAATAAGAGGAAATCCATAGTGCAGCCGAGGATCGAGTGTATGGGATGAAACACGAAGAGCGGAAAATTGGACGAAGGATTGGGGAGAAAAGAGATAGTGCACTTACCATTGCTGCCAGTTTGCATGCAGTCAACACCTAACCTTGTGTTCTTCTCCTTGGCTTGTCGGGACTTGATGTTGGCAAGAGTCTCGATAGGACTAAGACCGGAGTTCTCGGCCAACGCCATGGGAACGGCGTCGAGCGCGTCGGCGAAGGCGCGCATCGCATACTGCTCTAGACCGGGGCTCTGTAGAGGATGTTAGATATGCGCGGATCTGGAGAAATGACATCTGCTCACCTTGACAGCGGCGTCTTCCACTGCCAGCGAGCATGCAATCTCAGCGGCTCCGCCACCGTAGACGATGCGACTGTCGCGAACCAGATTTCGGACAACACAGAGGGCGTCGTGTAATGATCGCTTCGCTTCATCGATGATCTGGCACAGTCAGCAATCAATGTCCCCTAACCATGAGTTCGCAAGAGCATACCATCTTGTTGCTTCCGCGTACAAAGACTGTGACGGCGCGTGTGTTTGCGCACTCCTCGATGACCAGCATCTTGTCCCTCGTCGTTCCGAATGTGAGCTCGCGGACGATGCCTGCCTTTCCAAGCTTCTCAGCGCTGAGATCCTCGAAGCGTGGCACGATACGACCATTTGTGGCAATGGCGATCAACTCGATTTCTGGGCCGCCGACCCATCGTACAGCCGGCAGCTTGTTTGTGAGGAGGAGATGGTTGGCCTCGTCGTCGAAGCCCCACTGGCAGATGACCACATTTGCGCCAGTGTTCTTGATTTGCTCAATCATCTCGGTGAACTTGTTGCTCTCGTAGTTTTGCAGCTTTTTGAACTCCTCCACTGAGGTGATGTCCAACTTGTGCTTGGTCTTGGGTTTCGGGGGCTCGAATGCGCATGTGAGGATGGCGAGTTTGGCGTCTTTGACCTCCGAGGGCATCTGGGGATGCGAGAAGTCCTTGTCTATTATGACACCCTTCACGAGCAGTGTGTCCTCGAGTGCACCTCCGACCTTGCCGTCCACCTTGATGAGTTCGAAGTCGACGTCCTTGCGGTCGAAATCCGCAACAGAAAGTACAGCGTCGACGGCGATTTGGGCAAACTGGTCGTGTGCCTTGGATACGATCTTGCTACCCAGCGACGTCTTCGCGACCTTGAACAGCTGCTCGGTGTCCTCCTTGGAAAACTGAATCTCGTCGGAGATCTCGTCTAGCCTCGCAACAGCGACTTCGCAAGCCTGGTCGTATCCGTCCGCAATCCTGATGGGGTGGATGCCCTTGTCAATCAGGTCCGCCGCTTGCTCCAGAAGTGCGCCCGCCAGAACTACGACACCAGTTGTTCCGTCACCGATCTCGTCGTCTTGTGATTTGGAGAGTTCGACTAGCAGTTTTGCGACGTGGTTGGAGATTTCCATTTGTGAGAGAATGGTGGCGCCGTCGTTGGTCACGGTGATATCTCCATCGGGCGAGATCAAAATCTTGTCGAGTCCGCGGGGGCCCTAAAGTTCCATAAGCCCCTGTTTGTCCTCGTTGAGCTGTGTATGCATACCAGAGAGGTCTTGACAATGTTTGCTACCGTCTTCGCGGCGAGGATGTGCGACTTGACGGCATCGTTGCCATGTTGCCTCTTCTTCTTGCCTTGGCTACCCAATCGTCAGCACCCGTTATCCTTACACGATACCAGCAGTAACTTGTAGAGGTCCAACGTACTCTCTGACAATAATGAACGGCCTGCCCGCCTCATCCTTCATCACCTGCGCTGTATCCCGAAATGTCAGTGCCTCGTTCGATTCGCGGAAGGCAGCTCGGCCGGGGAGCGGTGAGGGTGCATACCATTCGACATATCAAGATCTAAAGCAAGCAAAGTCAGTAATGATTCAGCGGTAAAGGTCCCATCAACCATATCCAAAGTTTTGGGTACTGCTGCCGCCTGAACTTACTCATCGCCATGTTGGCTTTTTGACTCGCTCAACAGTAATAGAAAACAAGTCAGAGCTCCAACAAGCCCTGGGAACCTATGAGCAGTAATTACTGCGTGTTTGTTGTAGTGAGGGGTGGTGGGGTACTTTGTAAATAGCTCTGACCTTCATCGAAAATTCCCCAGAATGCCAAGATCTTGAAGTGCACGGCCCTCCCGAGCGCGCGACGCGCCTTCTCCCATAGCTCCAATCTACGAATTACCCACCAAGCCGAGGAACAGACACCCCTCTCACGTGTCGCTTCGACTGCAATCGCGCCTGACTCGTCGCCCTTGAGCTTGCCGAAGCTCTTACATTCACTCAAAATCCATCGCCGTCGTTGGCGACAGCTCTCCATAATGCCTCGTACGTGCGCCGAATAAGCCATAGAACCGCGTGCAATGTTCGCCCGCTAATTATGCCTTAGCTGCGCTCAGCGACCACGATTCCTCCGGCGAGGAGGAGATCCCACCAGTCAAGAAAGGGAAGATGACCAAGCAGGCCAAACCAGTGGAAGAAGTGGAAGAGAATGAGGACCAGGAGGAAGCGGATGACGAGTGGGCGCATTGCATCGCATCGGACCGGAATGGCGCGCTGACTTGCGCAGATATATCGTCGAGAGGATTATGGGTCACAAGTTCGTTAAGGTGGGTGCTTGTCCCTCCCGCATGCTGCAGGCGCAGTACTGACAACACCAGGGCGAGCTGGTGTTCAACGTAAAGTGGCAGGGCTATGACGACCCCAAGGATCAAACATGGGAGCCCGAAGCCAACATGTACGTTGAATACATTACGAACGCATAGTCGCAGAGAGCTGACAAGAGTAGGGCAGGTGCCATCGACGTCATGAACGAATACTTTGACGAACTCGGCGGTCGACCAGAACCCAAGGGCCCCGGAAAGCGCAAGGGGCGACCCTCCGGCGCAAACAAATCCGGGTCTGGAACACCGGCATCGACGGCGAAGCGCGTGAAACAAGACCGAGAATGGAGTCCACCCCATGGCTCGTGGGAAGATGATGTCGATTACATTGACACTGTCGAGGAGAAAGTAGACCCTAGGACGGGCGAGCTGTCGAAATTCGCATATCTGGTGTGGAAAAACGACAAGAAAACACAACACCCCCTCAAGCACATCTACCAGAAGTGCCCACAAAAGGTGAGCGGCTCCCAGATGACAGATAGAAATACACTGACGCGCTGTAGATGCTGCTCTACTACGAGAGCCACCTCGTCTTCACACAGACCCACGAGAGCCTAAACGGCGACGACGATTCCATGAAGGATGTGTATTGACGGCAACAATCCCCGTATCTCAAGGCACTCCGCCTCCCCGAATCAGCAGAACCCGTCGCGCTCTCGAGCCTGATCATCCCTGAAGCAGTCATGATGAATTCCACTGCACTTTTGGAATCCGACCGGCCCACTCCAACACTCGTACCATGATACCATACTTCTTCCACCATTGACCATTTTTCTCTTGCGCCAATGTACGCCATGAGGTCAGGCGTGCACAACTGGCTGTACAGTTGAACCATGTCGCGCATTTTGGATAAAGGCGGACTTTTTGCAGAACTGCGTTAGCCATGGAGTTGGGGATTGCGAAAATGGGGTTCACGTATTGTATAGTATTATCGATATCCACTATATTCCATAACTGAGACACGCAACATCCAGTGCAGATTGTTTGCAATCAAGTCCATGACACAAACGATGTATCCGCCTGGCGGTCTGTTCACGGCGAATTTTGCAGGAAACTCCATCTTTGGAAAAGTAGGGACCATGAAGTTTGAAAAAGCATGAAGAACTCGAACGAAACAATTGGCAAACATCGAACACTTAGTTTTTCAGATCATGAGGGAAATGTGTATGCTTGAAGTGCGAACTCGTCCATTGTCATTCACTTAATCTATATACACCCTCACCCTCACACCCAACAATATCTTCGCTCGAACGCGGGTATTCCGCCATCCATCTCGTCTCATTACACATCCCAACCCCCGATAATCCCAAATCCAAATGCCAAACGCCATCCCAATGCTTTCGTGTGTCTCGTAAGTGTTTCTTTTCCCGCCATTGCATCCCTCAATCCTCGCTCGTTCCTCGTTCCTCGCAGTCGTTTATGGCTCCGTCATATCGCTCACGCTGCTCGCCGTGCCGCCGACTGCCATGCGCGTTTGCAGGTAGTAGATCAGGTATGCGATGGCCGCGATGAGGATGAAGAGGATGAGGATGATCAGGAAGATGACGACGTTGCGCTTCATGATTGCGGTTTGTGGTGGTGGTAGTGTAGAGTTGTTTGGAGAAGTGGTGTGTGTGAAGATTCTGGGAAAAGTCAGTATACCAATTTCACACTCAGTTCAGGTAGATGGGTGTGTGAGTGGAAAAAACGTACCTGAAGCTCGTGTGGTAGTTGTAGTCGTGGATGTCCAAGCTCTATCGTCCAAGCAACCTTGATGAATCCTTGCAGGTGCTTCCTTTCCAACTTCAAAAGCGACAAATAACTTCAACGGATTTGGTGAAGGTAATAATATTCCCGTGTAACTGTCGCAGTGCTCAAGTGAGGCCAAGATGCATGATCGGAATGCGACGTGCAGCTACTTTTGTACAGACGAGGCGGGGTCGTGCGTTGGCGTTGGGGTGGTTGGCGACCAGCCTCGCGCCAGCCACGCACGAGGCTGGCGAAGGAGCAAGCGAGTCGCGGGTGTGAAACGCGCGGAACACAATTACTGGGAAGCAAGATTGAGTAGGGGATATTCAGGAAAACGCGAATGGGTATGGGATGGGGCTGGATGATGGGTGACGCGTAGAGTGGTGATGGAGACGCGGTGTCATGTGCGTGGGCTTGGCGGGGCTTCGTGGATTTTGGCGGTTGCTTCGTTCAACGCCATTACATGCTATACACACGCGATATTTTCGTCGTCAGATTTCAATCGATTTCTGTTGATTCCAGATTTCAGAGTCAATGCCAAAAATAAAGAAGCGCGCATGTCCTTCCAAACTAGTCTCTTCTTCAAACTTCTTCCCCCAGACGTCTCTCCAAAAGCATCGCTCCATCTTGTCTCCACTGCAGCGACAAGCACATAGCTTTCGCAAACTTCGTGCGGAATCTCTCGCCCGTCCCAGCTCATGATGAACCACCGCATCACTTCCCCATTTAAGTATGACGCAATCTTCGAGAAACACTCGAAGCCTAGGGCCCTCCCATTCGACTGCCTGAAATCAACAAAAGCGTGAGTAAAAGCATCATTCCTGCATTTGTAGAGTTGCGAGCTGTTATTCCTCGAAGCTCGCTCACATAGCAAGCAGTAAACATTGAAATTCGCATCCAGCTAAAGGCAGTTCAAAGTCTGCATAAAGATAATACGCAGCGGGTATGTCTCACCCCATGCATGTCATCAGTGCCACCTTGGGGCGAAGGAAAAGATCTTGGAAAATTGATGTTCGACCTCGACACTGTCGTTCAAAGCTGCTCAGCTGCTCACAAGATGGTACTGGTATCGAGTTGCTCGATGAGGATGCACGTGAAGATTCAATCCCGTATATCAAGCGAGATGAAAATGAGAGGAGCTGAACAAGTTGTATTGAGTGGCCCGTTGAATTTTCCACTGTACATCTGACCACCTTCAACCGCTTCCAACCGTCCACTGACAAAAGACTCGACATACACACCGCAGATAGATATTTCCGAAAAACCTGGCTATATATGGCAGCCGGAATAGTCCACAGTCGTCCCATTCCCTCATCGTGTATCTTCCGACGTGGCAAGATGGCGCATAGCAAGTTCGCAGCACAGAGCGCAGAGCATACCTTACCTGAGCACGAAAAGAGCAAACTGCATATCGAAAGGCCACTTACCTTCGGCGGCTCATCAGTAGTTGGCTCCTCTGCAGGCGCCTCTTCAGCACTGTAAACGTTGACCAAGTTACGACCCTTTGGCGCGCTCCTGCCTGGACTAGATCCCGGGGCATTTCCACCGCACCGCTGCAAAGGGTTGTTCGGACAGGGGATGTTGCACCTACAAGAGGGTTAATTACTCGTTGGGCAATTGATGGAGAGTTACACTGACGTAAGCTGGCTGACAGCCTGCAAGTCCTTTGACGGCGCCTTGTCGTTGCAGAAACACAGACCTCCAACTACCATGGCATACGAGTAGGACTCGTCCGCCGCAATACATCTGGCGATGCACGTGTCTCCATCTACGCTGGACAACGGGTCGAGTAGCGACGAGGCTTGAAAGCCAGTGAGCATGGTTTCCAGCAGGTAGGCAGCTCCATAGTAACAGCCCCAGGAATACCAGCTCATTGGCATGATAGCGCCCGGCAACGTAGGTGCTGTCGAAGGTGCAGCGGGTTGCCGAACGTAAGAGATACCGAGTTTGGCGCCCAGCTTGCTGGTGCCACCGCAGCTTTGGCTTGCGTCGTCGTTGCATGGCGTCGAGCATTCGCCAATGCCTGCCCATAGCGAGACGTCTGGGGTGATGGTCGAGCAATAGCATGCATCATCGGAAACAATCGCGACTGTATAGAGAATGTCCTGGACAATACTTTCGGCATAGCAAAGCGCAGAACACTCAACACCATCTGTACCCCCAGACGGTATTGCACTGTAATAATTCTGCGACGTGAGCGAGTCCAGCCAGTCGCCCAGATACGAGCAACTGTTGTATGTCCAGTTCGCTGGGGATGCGGGTTCAGGGAACTGCACCAGGGAAACGACACGCTTGAAGGTTGAGAATACTGCATCGCTGCCGGTACTGTTGCCTCCACAGTATTCTTTCAAGCTACCCGGACAAAGCGATTCGCACTGATTTATCCCAATACCGTTATTCGACCCGGAGTTGATCCCAGGTGCGGTGTTGGAACAGTAGCATTTGCTTCCTGTGGCAGTCGAAAAGTCCATCCCCTTCTGGATACATAAATCGATGCAGATACTTGCGTTCATCAAAGCACTCGGATTCGTGGCTTGTAGAGTAGCTTGCGTGGTCAGATAGATACTGGAGCTGAAGCACCCAAAGTACTGCCAGCCAAGGATGTCCGGATCTCGAGGGTGTGGATGCAAGAGAGCTCCGAGTAGCTCGTCTGACAGTTGCGCGGGAGCCGACTAGACACAGTCAATAATGATCTACATGAGATTTATTGAACTTACACTCAGCATGGGTAGTGTGGCGTTGGTAAGGACGGGCTTGACGGTGTTCAAGGTTATGTTCGAAAGGCCAACGACCATTTCAGTCACATTAGCTTTGATAACATTTGTGTTATTTCCCAAATTAGTAGCGATGATACCTACTCCAGGTATAGCTGATTGAGTGATGACAGCTGTGGGAACTGTAGATTGACCGACAGAATTGACCACCTGGGTGACGCTGGAAGCGAGAAGTTGCACTTCGGAAAGGATGTTGGAAGCAACAGCAGAAGCGTTTTGGCCAACACCTTCGATGACTTGCGCGACTTTGGAGGCGATGACTTGCACTTCAGTTGCAATTGGTGTAGCTATGACTGCGACAATGCTGTCAACGTTCGACACGAGGTCTCCGATAATGGTCTTAACAGGTTCGATGACGTTGGGCATGCTAGAGGCGGTTGGCGTGGCTATCACTGAGACAATGCTGTTGACATTGGACACAAGCCCCCCGAGAAACATGCCAACGGGGTTAGCAGTATTCGAAACACCAGAAGCAGCCGGCGTGACCATTACTGCGATGGTGCTGTTCATGTCCGACATGACACCTCCGACGAGCGTGCCAACTGAGTTTACGGCGTTGTTAACATTGGAAGGTACTGGAGTGACAATGACTTCGACCACGCTATTGATATTGGAAGCAGCACCGGCACCAGCCATAATGCTAGCAGCATTAGACGCTAGCGGAGTGATAAGGGCGTCAACCAGGCTTTCGATGTTGGAAACAATGCCTCCAACAACGGTGCCAACAGCATTGACGGAATTGGTGATAGTAGGAGCTGCCGGAGTGGTAACGGCGTTTACTACGCTGTCAACGTTGGACACAATATTCCCGACAACAGAGCCAATACTGGACGCTATCGGGGTGACCGTAGAGCCAACACCGGACGCTATCGGGGTGACAATGGCGCCGACCGCACTGTCTAGTCCAGAAGCAACGTTCCCGATGGCGCCTCCTGCTCCAACGAGGACACCATCTAATCCAGCAAGTCCAGAGGGTTCACTAGATCCGGCAGTTGGGCTAGTATTAGCATTACTGGTTGTGCTGCTCTTACCTGATGTAAGACCAAGGACGCCATCGAGAATGCCACTCATGGTGGGAACAACAGTCGCACGTGTGCTCGGAAGTATGGACACGCTGCTAGTACTGATACCAAGGAGACCGCCGAGAAGACCGCCAACGAGGCCGTTCGTAGATAGCGCGATAGTTGCGCTTGTGCTGTATATCATGGAGCTGCTGCCAGTGTTGAGACTAGCAAAGTAGGAACCGGTGCAGCGTTTGAGCTGGTACTGGGAACTGTGGACCGGCTAATGCTGAGACCAGGAAGACCGTTGAATATGCTAGTAGTAGATGGAGTGGTAATTGCGGTCGCGCTAGGAAGCACAGATGAGCTGCCGATGATGATATCGAGAATACCGTTGAGGATGCTAGTAGTGGCTGGGGTAGCGATTGTGCTCGTCCTAGGAAGTATGGATGAGCTGCCGATGTTGACACCGAGAAGACTGTTGACGATGCCACCAGTGGTTGCGCTCATACTGGGCACTGCAGAGGAGCTAGCGATGTGAAGACTGGCAGTAGCAACAACAGAAAAGGTTGCCTTGATGCTAGACTTGGTTGTGAGAAGCCCTCCAAGAAGGCCATTACCTTGTCCAGTTGTGGCGCCTAGCAAAGCATTCGCTAAGAAGAAATGACCGAAGGGTCGTCTCATAGTGGGCTAGCGAGGTGTAATGAACGGATGTTAGCAGGAAAGCAGTCACTTAGTATGATACTTATCGTAGAGTGGAATTTTTGTGTCGAAAGACGAAGGATGAAAGAAGGTGAGCTGTGATGCGGTATAATCGGTGCGGCGAACAAAAGAGCGTGACTGGCAAAAAGAGAAAGAGCAATAGGAAGTTTTTCAACCTCATGAGAACATCAGGGAATGCATGTGGCTGACTGCCCGCCTCCACAAAACCCTGCTTTTGATCATTGCGATTCCATAGGCAAAAAGGATTGGCTGACATGTGCATCGAATGTACCGTTCGAGAATGCTAACAAGTTTTTTTCATGCCTTGATCCGGGTGTTGGAATCGACCGTCGAGGTAGCAAGGGGTCCTTGGCTCCATCAATGACTTTCAAGGAGCTGCTCTGTGGAAGTAGTTACTGGTGCAGTGACGGATGGTGCCTCGTTCTCTTCCGATCAATATGCATATTGCGCTCGTTATATGACGTTCACCTTCCACCATTATCTCCGAGGACTCTGCGAATGTCTATTGTATGTTTGTATGGTGGCTGAAGAATGTCATTGCCGCACATCTCTCTGCCGATGAATAGACGCCTGCTTATAATAGACGACGGGATGCCTTGTTGGAGAATGTAGGAATGAAGAAAGTGTCGTTCGGTTTGACGATTAAGCGCGCAAACTAGCGCCGCTGGAAACTCCGATCGCTGCCTCGAACGGGCACGGTTCGGCTTCTTTCTCAACGTTACTCGGAACGCGCCATGAATGACTACGCGTCGCCCATGAGCTATATGGAGGGCAATAGGTCTTCATCACCCAAGAGGAAGAAGATTCGGCAGAAATATGCCCCCAAAGCTTGTAAGTCGCGCGTCTCTGAGCCTGAAAGAAGCCAGAATGTCATCAAGGCCTCACGCGAGGCATTCCGATCGTTCCGCAAGAGTGCTGCGAGTTGATAACCGCGAGAAAAGAGACAAGGGCGTTGCCGTCGCATTAGAAGCTTACTGATGCTGTTGCGTAGCGGGTAGCTACAGGCGCTTGGAAGCGCAAGCTGCTGTTGCATCCTGGCACAGTTTTCTCGTATTAGACAACACGCATTAGCATTGCACGCGACATCAATCAGGTATCAAAGTACAATCTTGCTGACTTGTTGGTGCAGGTGTGTCGTGTCGGCGATCCAAGCTGAAGGTATGTATATTGCATATGTCCATCCTTTCCCACCCTTTACGAGCATTGCCTCTACCTTCCAGCCGGTGTGAGACAGAATGGCTGACCACTAAGCAGTGCACTGGCGAGAATCCCTGCCAACGTTGTGTCGATAATGGCAAACGATGCTTCTACTCCGAAGATCAGACAGCTGCCGAAGTGCTACAGAACCTCTCCCGACCCGCACCAGCTCCAGCATCTCTACCAACCACCAATAATCGCAACGCCAATGGCATGTCGAATCAGACCCTGATGCCCCCGAACAATCGCCCCGATCGGCGAGCGAGTGACACCAGCAACGCCGTGCCGACAATGGAGGAACGTATGACGAGAGTCGAGAAAATGCTGGAAGCTTTGATGCAAGAGCGCGGCTTGGGCTTCACGCCCTGTGGTAGCATCGAGCGTGAGCCGAGTGTCGGCTTCCGGAGCGACACTGCTTTCTCAATGCCGCTGCTTGACCCTGCTCTTGATCAGATGGCACAGCAAGCGCCTGGACAAACGCAAGATGCGTTGTTACCGGACGCTCCAGCCATGCCTTTGGACGCATCGGTCTACGTCCGCGCAGGCAACCAGAGCGTACCATTCCCTGATCCAACCAGGTACCAACAGTATGTCGCACAGTTCTTTGGCGATGTCCATCTTCATTACCCATGTGTTGACGAGAACAATTTCAACACACGAGTTCAGCAATTAGTGACCCATGGTGCAACAGAACCGACTGATATACACTTTCTGGCCCTTGCCTATGTCATATTCGCGTGTTGTGACGTGATGTTGGCAAAATCGCTGGTCACAGCCAATGGCGTTGATAAGGCGCTTGGTTGGCAGTGGTATGAACTTGCAGATAGTATCGTCGACAAGACGTTGCTATTCAGCGGCTCTGATGACACAACCTTGATACGATATCTATTATTCCAGGTATTTTGCGCAGCAATGTTATACGACTCGGCACGACTGATATTTCTAGGCTTTGTATCTCGCCTATGCTGATATTCCGGCTCTCGCCTATGCCGCAATCCGAACGACCTGTACTGTCGCACTACAACAGAACCTACATCAACAGTCAGCATGGGGGGCGGAGCTTGACGTCGAACAGATGCAGTGGCGCTTGTATCTTTTCTGGAACATTCGTTTGTCCGATCATGCCATATCACTGTCTTGTGGGCGGCCTCCATCATTGCATATGGATGATATCAACGTTGAGACGCCTGAAGCGTTTTGGAATCGGGTAAGCACCGCGGCAAGTTTGCTACTTTCGTGCCAGACCCTGGAGCTGGGCGTCGCTGACATGTACCAGACACAGCTCAACATACTCTTACCCGATAGCGGCCGGAGACATTACGCCATCTTCTATCTGGAGTACGAAGTACTGTCGGCTCAATTAGCCACTAAGATCTTCCACAAAAACGGCGATGGAGGCGAGGTCACGCCTATTTCATCAGAGATCCTGCAATATTGCAAAACCGATATTTCGCCCACATTTGCCTCGTCTGCTCGAGGGCAGCACATGTCATACTCGATACCGCAGGCTTGTTCGCGACTAAAGCGTCTTTCCAATACGCTGTATCTGAGCCGAAGAATAATGACCGCCTCTAATCTCGATATCAGCAGCACGAAGCACCTCGTGCAACTCGCTTCCAACGCGCTGAAGGATGCACAGGACATTTGGGCCGACGTGGTTGCCTCAACCAGCTATCGACATCAAATCACCTCGGCAGTAGCAAGTGTCCTACTGGTCTTTGGGCCGCTTCTGCTAAGAGACGACATTGCTGCAGACGACCGAGAACGGCTTGAATTTAGCTACAGTGACTTCATCGAAAATTTCAGAACAGCCGCAGATATCCTCTCAGCTCTCGCACAGGAGCTTCCATACGCGAAGAGGGTGCATGGGGACTTCCTCCACATCATGCCCCTCTTCGAAAGTATGGCTAACAAATGGTTCTCACTATCTCCAACTTCAAACGCGTCTGCAGACTGGATGTCCTCTGCAACAGATATGCTGAAAATCGATCCGCTCACAAGTTTTCCTTATCGAGAAGTGAGCCCGCCTCTCAAAGGGCGTGAGGTTTGGGAGACGATTGGTGGCAAACATGGTGTTTTGTGGTTGTTCTGAGCACTCTTTCGTGCGTCTGTTATCTGTTGATATCGCTTAGATACCCCTTCCGATCAAAATGAAGTTTCCCTGCGGGTGCGTTAGCCTATACTGGTACTTGCCCTGCTTTTGATTCCGTCCACTAGGTGAGACAACTGCATCACGTGATTTTCGGTGAACTGAAATTCTAATTTCGCTCTGAAGATGTAACGTATTCACTCCTGATGAATGTCTTGTCATTGAATTTGCCTTCTACTACTTTTGAATAGCACCCGTGGACTGCTTGACAAGTCGGCGTCACGAGGCTTCAATCTCGGAGAATCAGAATAGCACTTGCCGACCGACTTCACGACACCTATGGTCGCCAGTAATGCAAGACTTGTTTTCGCAACATAATCGTCTACCGCCTAGTCCAGCACCACGGCGAATGAAAACATGCAATAGATCTAAGTTTAGTGGGCGCTTCAGCAGTGCCGCCGCACGGGCGCGATCTCCGTACAATAACGCCGCCGTGCCACATTGACTACTTGCTCTCAGGCTGTCTCTCCGGCCCCATCATCTTTTCAACCCAAATTTCATTCGCAGCTCATCATTTGGCAAAGTTCGACATAATGAATAAACTTCCTCCTGAGATATTGGCGCACATCATTGCCAACGGCCTGGACGATGACGGGAATCTTGCGCAATACAGCACGATATCGCGAGCATGGAAGGCCTCGATCGAGCGACTTACTTTTCGGAAACTCACTATTACGACAGATGAGCTGGATGAATTTGTCGCGCTGTTTGACGGCGATAATGTCGCGCGTCGGACACATTTGACCAATCTGGACTTTCAATTTATCCTACCATTTCCACCCAACGCGGATGGGTGTTGTATTGTGACGCAACCTCCCGACAGGTACGCTGATAGTATTGAATTTTCTGCATCCCTGGCGAAACTCTTTACCGCTCTGAGCGACATAGCTGCTCGTTCGAATCAGTGTTCACCCTTGAATCTGAGCTTCTGGGACTTTTACTGGCGCGATAAAGTCTACGGGATGGCAGGAAAGGCGAAACGGTGTCGCGGAGTCGATGGGAGTGATGAAGATCCCCACACGAATAGACAAGTTCGTGAGGCCTATGCGTCATCTGGTCAATTTGAACTTGTTCGTCAAGACTTGATCCCGGCCTTACATGGCATTACTTCAGTGGGTTTTGGGGGATACGACGCTTTTGAAGATCTGAAACCCACGTGGGTGCCTGAGATCATGTCACGACTACCTGATCTCGAGAAAGTGGCCATCACGAGCATGTGCGACCTTTATAGTCACGGGCGGCGCAAACGATACCGGCGACGAGAATGCAAGTCACTCGAGTCTTTTACGCATCACCCACGTATTCTGACAAATACAGCTTTCTTAAGATCAATACTTCGTTTTGAGAGCGACCATCTACGAGAGATTCGTCTGTATATTTACCGTTGTCCATTACGGAATGAGGGCGTTGCAGTCCATAATTTCGTTAAAAACGGCAACGGGAGGCAAGAATCGTGGTTCAGGATGCTCAAGCACTTTGCATCTTTCCAAAACCTAGCCATTCTTCAGCTACAAGGCGGACTTGTAGTTTGCCCTGATTTTTTTCGCAGCATCATGGACTATTCTGGCACCCCATTTCCTTCGCTGACTGAATTTGAGCTTCAGTTTGCGCCCGAGACAGCTGATGGAAGATGGTTTTATGAACGTGATGAGGCCTTGGAAAGATCTCGAACAGACCCAAAATGGGAAAAGTACTGGGAAGATCATGCCAGGGAGGAAGAAATTTGCAGAAACGGATTCGACCCAAGATCTTTGCACGATACTGATTCTGATAATTTCGTACGGATCTATGGAAATGGACCCTTTCGGAAAGGTCTTACTAAACGAGATCGGTTCCGGTCGAAGCCCAGCGCAGATACATTCTTGCCATTCCTTCTGAATGCATCGAAAGCTATCAAGCGAATGCCTGGACTTTCGAAATTCATTCTGCAGCTTGGCTGTCCACCCGCAGAACGCACGGACATGGACCACTGGCGCATTGTATCTCGTATTTTTGAGCTTTGGTACCTCAAAAGTGGGATGCGTCGAGCTATATCGACCACACCGATCGGGCCCAACCCGCGCATTCCTGGGGATGCAAAATATCTCAATTGTAACAGACTCTATTGGCGGCTTGACGGGACCGTTATCTGGGACGATGTCCACGAGGCATGGGGAGCAATCGCAGGGCCGGATGCCAAAGTCGTGTATCTGGATGAAGACCAGTGGGAGATCTTGCGTGGGGGAAACCCATTCTACATCTACAACGGGGATATATGAGAATGTAAAGGGCTTGCGATGAATATGAGTCTTGGTATGAGCACGCAACGCGCAGGAGAAGCTGAGTACTACGATGATTGCTTCATAGTCTATACGCAGCTTTTACTAAAAGTACGGAGAAATACAATAGGAGTGTATTGAACTATGCAGGAGACCAAGAGAAGAGAATCTTAAGGAGGTCCCGTTCCGTCAGCGCTGATTTCCGTCTACGAAAGACTACCCGGACTGACCTAGGGTCTCTCTCGACCCCACCTCAACCCTAGTTCAGTTTGAGATCTTCCACTGCCTTGGGCATGTTCTTGTATGCGTCTATCATCATAGCAACTCTATCCTGCATCTTCTGAGGATCTGGCTCAAAGCCACAGTTTGGTGGGCCATCTTTTGCGCGCCGGAAAACCCCCAAGTAGTCCCATCTCTTCACCTTGGTTGGGAAGACAATGGAGCCAGGTGGATCTGTAAATACCTTGATCTTCTCATCCATCATATCGTTCATTTTTTTCATGTACTTCTTGTGTCTTGCTGTCATGAAATCAAGCCATTCCGTCTTCAGATCTCGCTTTTTGTACAACTCCTGAGTACTTGCATGCTTCGTGCCTGCGAGTATGTTCCTTTCGATGTGATCCCATGCCTCCCCAATACGATTGACTTGGGCACGCAGGACTTCCCGGACATATCTAACGAAGACGGAGTTAGCAGTTTCACTTCGAGCGCGTAAAGCTCATCATGGGACACCATAAACATGCAGAGGTGCGAAGCAATCCTTTAACCATAGGGTGGTGACAGTAGAAACGAGGGTGTTTGTTTATGAAGACTTACAGGTCATTGTGGTATTGTGCAATAGACATTACCGTCATGAATCGGTAAACGGCCTTGCATTTACCCTTGTTGTCAGGCCAATCGAGTAGCTTTTTTTTCTCGTAGTAACGGTTCTCGAACAGCATTTCGAGGGTTTGTGAGTTTTGTTTATTCTTCAACATGGTCTTTTTCGTGGCTTTGTCGTTATATTGAGGTACCACAAAGATGTTCTTATCACTCCACACCTGCGGAAGTTAACAAGTATCGCATATGAAGCTCGCTCTTAACGTACATTCTCCTTCTTGATATTGGCATCTGAATTCAGGATGACCAGCTCGTACTGCCAGGGGTTGGGCGTTTTTGAATCAGATTTCCCAGGCCATTGATGGGCTAGATACGGGAGCTGTGTTAGCTTGGCCTCGAGGGTTTTTGTGAGATGTTCTGATCAACATATCCAAGGTCGAAGGTTTACGTACTAATCCATTCGATCAACCTTGGTACAGGTGTTTCAGCAAATTCCCACTTGTCCAAAGTATAGTCCTTCTCCTCGTACGTGAAACGATCTTTTGTCTCGAGCTTCTCGTTGTTTTTGGAACGATCTTTCTTCCCGAGCTCCCCGTCATTTTTGGCAACCTTGACCTTGATATTGCCCTTAGGCATACTCTTCAAGAACCATTTGTATAAGTGTGCGCAGCGACTTTTTTCATTCAATTCCTTGTCTTCTTCAATGAAATCCTTCAGCAAGTGCCATTCAAGCACATGTTCAGCTGCATATATGCGTTCACCTGCTCGCCCATTGAGGTCGACCTTCCATTTTTTATCCCGCTTTCGTAGCTGGAACCATTCTTTTTCGTCTGGTTTCTGAGGATCTCCAATGTCGTAAACCCTTGAGTAAGTCTGTACAGAGTAGTCAGCAGTGCACAAAAGCGTTGCGAGGGGTAGTGCAACATCTATGAGTATGTCAACAGTTTCCCACGTAGGTGAGTGTAAGTGAATCCCTGCTGCTGCGGGCGAATTCTTTTCTATCCTTACACCTTTGCAGACATCCCTGCGCAGAGTCAGTTGTGCGAAACTACGCACACCTCAAGCTTTGGACCCTTGGCTCAAACTGACCGAGTATTCTTTCTGGCATTTCTCTTGCTCAAAGAGCCTTCGGCGGCCTGATCTTCATGACTAGGCTTCATGAGCTCATCCTCTTCCCATCCGGAGTAGCTTAAGCAATCGCTTTGACAGCCATCTTTATCGGCGCGCTTCCGCAGATGAACAACATCCTCATCGCCGTCTTCGTGAACACTCAACACTTCGTAAGCATTGATCGAAAAGAGCTCATCTCTGAGGATGTCAGGGCTCGATATGGCCCCGGAGGTGACTTCGTGGAAAGCACCGCAGAACATGAAAAGGTGAATAAAAGCAAGACAATGGTTGATATGCATGTTGTGAGTAGCTATGTAAGCTGCCAGGTTCGATTAAATCGGACACGGCCTCGAGCTTTTAATGAGGACATGTGCTACTAGTTGCTAGAAGCGTAATTCATACGGCCTTGCCGCCTGATAACCTCGCCGCCCTCGAATTTTTACATAGATCACCGAAGCCCGAGACATCTCTCTGAAAGTAAGAAGATAGCGCACAGGTCAGCGTTGGTCGATCGTCGACGAGGCTTAGAGAACAGTGGATCGGTGCTGTACCACAATGACACTCGTATTCTCACGCGCGCGGCTCTAGACTGTTGGTGACCCCGAGTTAGGCTGAATTGGCGGGGTCTAGTATAGAACCCTGAAACAGGTCGAAGGCCCGTCTGATGGCGGTGTCGGATAATTAAGATACGGCGCACGCTATGTGGCACGGCTTTAATGGAGACTGCATTTCGTGCTGGTACTCAGCATATTCAACCAATGAGCTGTGCCAAGGTAGCCACACCTTACTGCTCCATAAATTACCGCTCTCGATAGCTAGAAGTGCATGATCATGATTCAGTCCAATGAGGCAATTCTGGCAGTCGTGTGTAGCCCACGTTCTCTCGCGCTATCTGAGAGAATTTATTCAGTCGAAGCTGAAAAATAGCGTCACAACTAGAGGATGGAAACGATGTTATTCAATTCTTGTGCTTCGATGCTTGACAGTGATCCATCCTGACAGCTACAACATTGCATTGTAATCTACACTAGCAATGGTCGCTCTACTCCAGTGAGCATTCTGGCTCCGAATTTGCACACATGTCCCACACAGACCAACTCTTGTACTCAGTAGGAGCATTTGGTAGCTTTGAAGAACAACCTTTGTCCAACCAGGCGTTATCAATAACGCTGTCTGGATTGCAATCATCCGTCGTGAAGAAAACGACATACTGAGATGCATCTTTCGAGTCGGTGATTGCCGCAGCAAGTGCAAGTTCCTTAATGCCTCCAATGCCGTCGATCTGGAGCTGGACTTCGAATTCGCCTCGCTTGTAACATTCCATAGGTTTTGCGTACCACCGCCGGATCGCTGAATATATGGATCTTGTCAGTAGACAGACATGTTGTATGGTGTTTGAATATTGAATTCATGGATTACGCACAGTTGAACCCATGACAGTCCTTATTTGCCCAAACTGTGACATCCATCCCGTAGACTGACGAAATCATAAGGACAGCGGAGGAAGTTGCGAGCAAATGCATTGCTGAGCCTAGATTGCGTTAGTGATGAATGCATAACATGATAATGATTCGTACCTTTGGTATTGTTGGCCTGCGATGTAGTTTTAGCCTTGCTAATAAATTCTTGAAAGCGGCAGAAGAATGTACTGAGCAGTTGTGTCTAATGGAATCGCAAGATAGGACGAAGTATGTTGGCTGAGATTTGCGCGGAAACGGCGCCCAAGAACTCTGGAATCGCCTCCTCTGCTTGGCCAATTTGCTATGCATGTGTCCACACAACTCTGATGTTACACAAGCGCCAGGGCTGTCTCGATCTCAGTGCATGCTGATCAGCGAGGCTTACTTGCGGCGCTGCATTTCGAAGTCACCCGGCTGTGGCCCCAACGTCGCATGCCCACTTCTAAGGTTACTTGTCCGACTAGGTGCTATGCCACTTTGCCGCCAACAAATTGGCCCCAAGAAGCTCTTGAGGCACAACTAGATGCTGACCTCTTGCATGCATAGAGGGCGGCCAATCAAGCTGTGTCTTTTAGTCTGCATTGCTAGTTGCTGAATTAATTGCGAAGCCTGGTGTGGATCGGTGTGAGACACACCGAAACTGCCTTGCCTTTACAATTTGCGGCAAAGTCACTTAGGTTTGATGTTCGGACAGCGAAACTAAGTTTATGACCACGCCGCCGAAAATTCACTGCGGCGAGGTCAGGAAAACATCCAGGCTTTTCAGTCGGGCCGAAAAGGTGCACTCCTCGCGGCGCGGGTACCACGCACAAAACCCCACGATAGCCGCCTATCAAGGGGGCGGTGCAGCATTGTTTCATCTTTCTTCTGGGTTCATGCATGCAACCCAAATCAACAAATTGTTCTTGTTACCACATGTGGGAGAGGGGCAAGTGTCGACAGCACTCGCGGAGTCGTGACCTGCCCAGGTGGTTGTGACTCTCAACTCACAACTTGCGGCGTAGCTTCTGCGCCCCGAAGGCAGATTATTTCCAGCAAATGCAACGTCGACAGCGCCGCAATTTCATAGTTTCTGCGCTTATAGACGGGTTTGCATGTTTCAGCCATCGGTGGTGTGATGCTGATTGCAACAAATGTGGCCCAGTGTCTTCGACTCAGGCTGAGGCTCAGGTTCGGAATGAGGCATACAATGCGATCTGTCCGGTTGGATCATGGAGGCGAAGGAACTGCAATTGCTATATAAGTTTCGAAGTGTACCTACATAGGCAGCAAGATTTAAAGATCCAGCCATTTCACCGGTGGACTTTGAACTCAATCGTTGACTTCTTCTGCATCCAGCATGCCAGACAAAATTTCTTCTACATCGCTTCGATTACTGGCTCCCCTCTTATTGCTGACTTACGTCTGCCATGCTATGCCCTCTTTTGACCATGGCTCGCTCTCGCCACTCGGCAGTGTCTTGAACCCGAGATCTTTCCCGATAGAAATTCGTGGCGTGTATGGTGGTCGGAAGAAACGTTACATTGTGGAGAGGGACGCGCCAGCCTGTTTCCAAGGAATGCAAGGAAAAGCCAATTTGTATTCCGACACTTGGTGAGATCATCAAAGACTGCAAATGCCAGAAGTGTCCGACGGGCGTGCCCACGCTTGACGGCAACAATTGTGAAGAGAACTGTCCAAAAGGTAATTTACATGTCTAAGACTCAGTACAGATTTTACTGACAGATCGCACCAGGTCAGGAGAAGAACGGCAAAGGCGGATGCTGCCCCATAGGTCAAGTGCCCACCGCAAAGGGTGATGGTTGTGAAGCTAAGCAAGATGGAAACGACAAGAAGGGTCCGTGTCCGGATGGTCAAATTCTCGATCCCAAGCATGGCTGGGACCCCAAGCCAGGAGACGCGAAATGTCAAATAGATGACGAAAAGGGCTGCGCCAAACCAAAGATTTCGGAAACGCGACCGGAAGGGATGGAAGTAAGTGGCCCGTGTAAGAAGTGCCGCGAGTTCATAGGCTAACTGCAATTTTCACTGTCGCAGGACGACCCGAATTTCAAGCCACTCTGCGGTGAGCCGGACAAGGACGATAGCAAAAGGCCTAAATGTGACCCCAAGTCGCAATATGTTTACGTCTCGGTAGACACGGCAGGTAAAGCGACAGAGACATGCAAACAAACAAGGAAATATCAGGATCGGAAGCAAGGCAAGCCGACCAACAAAGACGTCAGAGCAAAGATCAAGGAACAGTTCACACAACGGAAGCCTGAATATGATGCGAGAAATAAGGAGCGGGAAGAGTCGCTCAAGAAGCTGAAGGAGATACAGGCTAAGAGAGACCAAGAGATCAAGGATAGAGATGACAAGATCAAGGACGCCAACGAAAAGAAGAAGAAACGCCAGGCCGAATGTTCGACGCCCATCGCACTACTGATGGGTCTTGCTGCCAACGCAGCAGCGAACTCGAAGCGTGATGGTGAGCACCCTTACGACTGGACAACCGATTACTTTGACGAGGAATATACCACCTCCGATGATCGCCTGAAAGAGTGGCCTGACGAGGTGGATGTGGACAAAATCTCCGCTGATGTTGACGAGAAAGCTTTTTTGAAGCAATGGGATGACGACCTTGAGGCTCGTAGGAGACCACCTCGACCTGGATGCTCATGGAACGGGAAGCGATCACTAGACCGACGATGCACGCGGAGGAGATCGCTGGATGACTGGACGGACGATCTCGAACCCGTCGCTTTTCCCGACGAAGACATTGACGACAACGACTTTTTCTCCGACGAAGACGATATCGACAACAACTTTTCTCTCGACGAAGGCAATAACAACAACAACTCCTCCTTGATCGAGCGAGACTTTGAAACTTACTCGACCGATGTCATTGTGATCGAGAAACGCAACCCGTTTGTGGCGTTGATGAGCCTCATTGCTCAGTTCGCATCCAGACTGGCCGTGAACTTCATAGCTCGCCCAGTAGCATCCATTGCGGCGCATTCGACCCGCCTTGCTTCGCTCAGGGCAAGGCCGGAGAGACTATTCCAGATCGCAACGAGAGGGCAAGGTACAAAATCAGGCTTCAAGGGTATGGACAATGCCAAAGCTGCGATCAGGAAAGATAAGCGGTGGATTAAATGTCTTCGAGAGGGCATTCCCTGAACGTATTTTTGCGTCCAGTTTTCGATGCTGTTTTTCGTTCAATTGTATTTATGCACTGAGAATTTCCTTGATCGAAGCCATGCTTGGTATACCTGGACATGAGTGGAGGGGATAAAAGTTTCCTAGCTAGCACTGTGATGTAAAGTGAGCTTTATGTCTTTCAAAGGTACGCGCTGGGTTATTTGGACTCAACTTCAATAGTCTACCAACTGCCAAGACTCCTCGAATACCGACGTGACAGGAGACCAAGTACGCATATATTAGAGCGCTCATCATACTCTGACAAAGACATTTGAGAAGTTAGCTGCGCCGCATGCCTAGTTCGGCGCAGGGTTGGACCAGACTGTCGGTTCTTAAAGATGCTTCGCCGCCACGAGTGGATATCGGGTCAAGAAAGAAGACATATGGGTAGTACCGGCATGGGCTTTTTACATCTTGGCTGTTTGTGCTGAATGGGGCGTACGGGAGTCTCGGTTGAACGGATAGATGGTCAAGTATTTGGGGTTGAATGGGACTTCTCATACTAGGCAGTTGGGCCATTTTTCGCAGGGTGGTGTGAATGAGAGGATTAAGAGGGCGGTGGAGTCTTTCTTATATGGCGAAGCATTCGGATAGTGCAAAGAAAGATCGCTAATGTTGTGATTACAAGGGCGATTTCTATCTCTTTTGAGATGGAAGACGGACAACCAACATTGTCGCTCTGCTAGTCTAACTTACCTGAAGTGTCATGTTGCGCATTAATTGTAGAAATGCGGAAGGAATGCAGTGACGTTCAAACAAGAGTGGGGTGGAACGAGGCTAAGCCCCGCAGATAGCTAGACACAGTCCAATCACCGATAAGACGCAGCCAACCCTCAACCCAAGAGCTTAGATTTCCACATCACTCGTCTCGCGAGGAGACAGGTGCAACAGAAGAAGGAATCTGTACAAAATCTCCAAAGATTGAAATCGACGCGGATTAATCGTTCCACCACGATCTCGTCCTAAAACCCGGCACTGCCATCTCATCCTCCCAAACCCACACCCCATCTCCATCTATCTCTCCACACCCATAAAAAACATCGTTAAGAATGCCTCCTCCCGCACCCTCCAAACCCGGCCCTATAACCCCCCGCATAATAATCCACGGCGGCGCCGGCAACATCACCAAAACCTCCCTCCCCCGTGATCTCTACGACACCTACCGCGCCTCCCTGCTCTCCATCCTCACCACCTCCAACACCCTCCTTTCCCAGCCCGGCGCCACCGCCCTCGACATCGCCTCCCACGCCGTCACGCAGCTCGAAAACTCTCCACTCTACAACTCCGCCCACGGCGCCGTCTTCACGCGCGCGGGCACCACCGAGCTCGAATGCAGCATCATGGTGAGCAGCGGGTGGCGAAAGCGCGGCGTCGGATGCATGTTGCTATCGCGGGTGAAGAACCCGATTCTCCTCGCGCGCGAACTGCTGATGCGCGGCGAGGAAATCGGGGGCCAGGGGAGCGGCGAACACGCACACTACAGCGGGGCGTTTGCGGAGTCGCTGGCGGAAAAATGGGGGCTGGACATTGTGGACCCGGGGTATTTCTGGACGCGTAGGAGGTGGGAGGAGCATCTGCGGGGGCTGGTGGAAGGGGAAGGAGAAAAGTGTGAGGTCAGTGAGTGGGAAAAGAATAATTATATTCCCATGGGTACGTGTGGTGCGGTTGTTGTTGATTCCCACGGCACGATTTGTGTGGCGACGAGTACGGGGGGGTTGACGAATAAAGCCCCTGGGAGAATTGGGGACACGCCGTGTATGGGCACGGGGTATTGGGCGGAGCAGTGGTATGAGGATGCGAGGGCCATGGTGTATCAGCAGCAGGCTGTTGCGGCGCCGATTGAGCGGATTAGTAGGGGAGATTTCGGCGGGATGTTGGGGGAGTGCTTGGGTGGGTCGACGCCAGTGCTACAGCAAGTGGAGAAGCAAAGGGATGTGCGACATGCGGTTGGCTTGTCGGGGACGGGCAATGGGGATAGTTTTATTCGCATGGCGGCGACAAGGACGGCGGCGGCATATTCGCGCTTCTCGAATAAGTCGCTGGCGAAGGCGACGACGTGGATGGTGGGACGGGGTGGTGAGCTGCAAAAGTCTGCGGGTGAGCGTTGGGGCAAGACAGGAGAAGGGCAAGGCGGAATGATTGGCATCGAAGTGGTAGGCGAGAAAGTAGAGGTGGTGTTCGATTACAACTGTGGTGGCTTATTCAGAGCTTGGACAGAAGAAGACGGAAGTAAGAAGTGTTTGATTTTCAGGGAGGACAGCTGGGAAAGTGGACCAGAGGGGTGGAATAGCGTTTGCAACTAGCTATGAATACTAACAACAGTGTCTGGTAGGGATGTTGAAAGCGACGCTAAAATAAGCATTTTACGCCTCCTGGCAAGTGATCGATTCTTCGCTAGTCTAACAAATACGCAGAACTTGTGGTATCTTTCCATGAACAGCGCGACTAGTCAAACATGCGGCCCAAGGAAAATCGTAAAGGGTATTGATGGATCATGTACTCGGACGCTGCAATATTCATACAGTCTCGACATAGTTGCTGCGGATGGTTAGTCACGTGCTCATCGTGGCATGGGTCGTGGGTATAACATACCTCGGGAAAATGCCTTCCCTCGAGCCTATTCTTCCAGTCCACCAATCAGTCTCACTGTCCGTCTTCTTCAAGATGGTGATGACTTCGCCCTTCTTGAAACCCAGGTCGCCGGGCTGGTCCGCGTCGAATGTGAATTTCGCGATCGCCTGATCGTTCCCTAGACCAGCCTTCTTGGCGCCGAATACTGGCTTCGGCGCTGTTGGTCGGCCAGGTTTTGAGTCGCTGTAAGAGTAGTCGTCGCCAAACGTCGATGCACGGGTCCTTCCATCCAAGCGATCGAAAGTCTCGTTGGGATTTGCGCGTGTGGAGAAGGAACGGCTGACGCCTGCAGACTGCGGCTGGCGGTCGTATACATCGTCTGCCCATGTTGAAGAGCGCTGGGGACGGTCGCGGTACTGGTAGTCGTCGTGTGCTGTACCCACGGAGCCTGTGCGGTCTCGTCGCACACCCTCGCCCATTGCATCTCCCTGACGGCCTTGCCACACTACATTGTCGTGCGAGTCATCGTAGACGGGGATGTCGTTGTACATGGCGCTGTCATTTGCTGCAGCAGCGCCTCCTATGCCGGAGAAGACTCTCGAGTTTAGGACACGAAGGAGGGGTTCGGCGGCTGGTGGTGGGGGGACCTGTCCGCTGAGCAGCTCGCGCGCTGTCCATCGGCGACCGTACAGCTTTTCGTTGGCGTCTCTTCGCTCAATGATGCCGCTGCCCTCCAAACTGACACCGGCAAACAGTCCCTTTGTCTTGCTGTAGCTGAATATGCCCGCCACGCCCTTCAAACTCGCCGCGCCGGCTGCTTCCGCATTTCGGCCGACGGGGCCTGCTGCAATCGAGACATTGCCGCCCAATGTCAACGACCCGGCCTGTGCAAACGTCCTCACGGCCGACGCATCGTTGAGAATGAAGACAAAGTCGGTGAGCTCGAAGCCAATCTGTCCGCCGAAACCGCCGCCGACTGTTCCGATCGCTGAGGGCGCCGACCACGATCCGTCGGCGAGACGGGCGACTACAACACCGGATCCGAATCGCGCAGTGCCGAGGAAGCCGGCTTTGAATACTGTGAGGATTGCGAGGCCCTGCAAACATATCCGTTAGCAACTGCCATCGCCATGTGCCTGAGATGAAGCTGGGCCAAACCGGGCGCAACATGACGGGTAGCCGGAAGCAAGAAAAGACTGTCCTTACCTTTGCATTGGCAAGAACCTGCGGAGGAATAATCTTGTCGGGCCCAAAAGCCTGTCGCGGATCGACAAACGAGGCCAGAATCTTGCCCGTCTTTCTGCACTCGCCTGTTTGGTTTCAGCTGTCAGTCGACGTCATTGGCGTTTGCGGCGGAATGAGAGACACTTACTCCTCATAGAAGAGGGCAGCGGGTTGTTGAGACCAAGCGGCATCTTGCAGGAATGGTGGGAAAGTTGCTACCAGGAAAGTTCGGGAACAATGTAGGTTTATGCGCAAGGAAAAGCGCCGGGTGGTGTGCTTATGCAGCGAGTAGGCGGGGGGGTTTGGGTACGGCTTCGGGCGTGACGAGCGCCCGCGTCCTGTGGCTCAGCCGACACGACGCGTGCTTGGCTCGCCTCCGACGCGCAAGTCCGCAGCCACCACCACTCGAGCTGTCAACTGTCAAACGCCCAGCCATGATCTCTCTCATTGTTGTACCATTTTGTCTGGTACACTGGCATCATTTTGCTGGACAGGTTCCATCTGACGTCATCCTTGACGCCTCAGCACAGCCGCGCATTATCGTAACATTCGTAGATTAAGTGTCCGTGCTCTAGATGCCTCCAAGCTCATCATTCACTAGTCTACCTTCCATTCATCCTCCAAGGTCTTTGTCTCCGTCTCGCCAGCCAATACCGAATGTTGAACACTCAACAATGCCACAGACACATCGGTCCACACCACTTCCCATCCACAACAGCCTTGCAGATCAGTGGCTTGCAGTCGTTCCAGCACTGGTCACTAGTGCAGTTCTATTGCTCCTGTCAGTTTGTGCTGGGTGAAGTCCGACATGTTTCACTCACCTCGTGGCACTTGCGAAGGAGCGCAGAGCAATCTCTGCAGTTGTACTTGTTGGCGTCCTAGGGTCGAGTTAGCAACGAGCGGAAGCGATCATGTGAAGAAAGCGTACCAAGACGGAGATGGGGGAAGCAGAGGTTGAGTCGTCGACCTGCGGGATGGTGGTGCTCATGGCGACGGTGAAGAGCGCGAAGAGACTGAGGAGGAAGGTCAAGGCCTTCATGTTGGAAAAGTTAGGGATTTGATTTCGTGGTTTGGTAAGGTTGAGAAGGTTGATCTTGAGCTTGTTGACGGTGTGGCAGTCTCCTGGAGAGCACGCTTGGTAAAGTATATATATACTACGAGGGAGACCATAGTCGAGTCACGTGTCTGGCATCGTTTGCACTAACCGTTGGTAAACGCGCTTTCACTACAAGGTGCTTTGATTGCAGGTCAAGTCCTATGATTTGATTCGTTTGCCTGGCTTCGATGCCACGCGAAGGATGCGCTTATAAGTCCTCGTTCAATTGTCTCCGGCTCCATCCCTTCCATCTCATCATCTCCTTCACCAATCCCGAGTGTTGAATACTCAGCAATGCGACCAACATAGTCCGCAGAACTTCCCATTCAAGAGAGTTGAGCAGGTCCTCGTCAGGCAATCGCCCCTGCACTGATTGACAGTGCATCCCTATCCTTCCAGTCAATTCTTGATGTATCAAGGCTGGAGCATTCCACTTACGTCGTTGCACTTCCGAAGGATGTCTTTGCAAGCTCCGCAGTTGGGGAGTGGAGGTGGAGGCGGTTGGGAGCGGTCGCGTGGAGGGAGGCGTAGGAAGTCAGCGGCGGAGCAGGGAAACGTGGCATCGCTAGCCTGTGTGATGGCGGTACTCATGGCGAGGGCGAATAGGCCGAGGAGGAAGGTGAGGGTCTTCATGTTAGACGGTTCGAGGACTCGGTTGGGTTACTTGATAAGGTTGAGAGTAGCCTTGATTTTTAACTGACAGTCGTGGTAGTTGATTCAAGTCTGCACTCGGTACAGTATTTATGCTCTGCATGTCGAGGTCGAACTCGATTTCCAGTTGCTACTGAGCATTTGCGCACCTGCGCCCACTACGAGGTAACGTAAATTACAGGCTGAGTGGTGCGACTTAGGTCGTTCGCATTGCCACAACATACAGACAACTACCGCCGTTTGTCTGTCCCGCCAAATCCCATCACAAATTAGTTCATGGAATCATTGTGCCCCGGCTGCTCGCCACGCTCGACGCGCTTGTTTGAACCGTGGAGTATGGGCTTGCTGCATAGTTACATGCAGGGAAATAACTGACGTAGGTACGGAGAAATCCCCTCGTTCGAGACGTCGGGTGAAACATTGCAGAAGTCAAGGACGACATTGCCTTGTCCGATCATTGTAAAACCGTTGCACTAGATGTAGTGTCGCGTAGGCGTCTCTAGCGTGAACGCTTGTTCCTGCATGACGTATTTCTGGTCCCGAAGACGCTCCGATGCATGTAAGCTGTTCCAATGTGGAAGGTCCATCTACCCGAGCTACGAAGAGCTACCCCTCTTCAACATCGTTATCGATGAATAAACTACATGACGCGAAGTCAAATCCTAGATACTTTTGATATCGATCTTACTCCAACATCTCCAACGCCTCCACTTGCTGACCGATAGATAAAGTTTGATACATTCGCTCTTCCACTCGATTTGCTTACGACACTACAACCATGGCGACATCAAATTGGGAATCCATCGCCAAGCAAAAGCGCGACTCCATCCTCGCAGCCATACCCCAAGAATGGCGCATCTCAAACCCGCCCTCAGTGGAAGACCAACCAGATGTAACAACATACGTCGAGCAATTCCTCTCTAAAGAAGAGCTAGAAATCACAGCCTGCAGCGCCGAACAAATCGCACAGAAATGCGGCTCCGGAGAATGGTCCGCGGAAGCAGTAACACGCGCCTTCTGCCACCGTGCAGCACTCGCCCACCAACTGCTAAACTGCCTGCATGAGATCTTCTTCGACGCGGCGATTGAAGATGCAAAGGCTTTGGATGCATATTATGCGGAACACAAACGCACAAAGGGCCCTCTTCATGGCGTTCCTGTATCTCTCAAGGATCAGTTTCATGTCAAGGGCGTGGAGACGAGTATGGGGTATGTGGGCTGGATTGGGACGTTTGAAGGGCAGAAGGGCACGGGGAAAGAGAAGGTGTATGAGAGTGAGATGGTGACGATGTTAAGAAATGCCGGGGCCGTGTTGTATGTTAAGACGAGTGTGCCGCATACGTTGATGAGTGGAGAGACGGTGAATAACATCATTGGATACACGCTCAATCCAAAGAACAGGCGGTTGACGGCGGGTGGGAGCTCTGGTGGTGAGGGTGCACTTATTGGAATTCGGGGGTGTAAGTTCAACTTCCTTCCGCCAAAGACGTCTTCCAGTGTGTAAGTATTGACACACTACAGCACCCCTCGGTCTAGGCACCGACATAGGCGGCAGCATCCGCATCCCCGCCGCCTTCAACGGCCTCTACGGCCTGCGCCCCTCCACCGGCCGTCTCCCCTACCACGGCATGGCCAACTCCATGGACGGCCAAAACAGCATCCTCTCTGTCGTCGGCCCCCTCGGCACCACCGCCTCCTCCCTGCGCCTAATCACACAGACTTTCCTCGACCAGAAGCCCTGGGAAGTCGACCCCATGGTGCACGAGATTCCCTGGCGCTACACCGAGGAAAACAGCATCAACGAGAACATCCACGACGGCCGGGGTATGGTCAAGAAGGGCGGAAAGCTGTGTTTCGGGGTGATGAAGAGCGATGGCGTTGTCCAGCCCACCCCGCCCGTCAGGCGCGCGGTGGACATCTTGGTGCAGAAATTAGAAGCCGCGGGGCATGAAGTCATTCCCTGGACGCCGCCCTCGCACAAAACCCTCACCGATACGGGATTCAAAACATGGGTCTTCGACGGCGGCAAGGATGTCAAAGCCGCTTTCGCACTCTCGGGCGAGCCGATGAGCGACCAGGTCAAGTTCTTCTCTTCGCTGGAGAAGGAAGCGTCGGCGAGTGAGGTCGCGGCGACGAATGTCGAGTTGCGGACGCTGAAGAAGGAGTATTTGGATTACTGGACATCCACGGTTGCGCAGACGAGTACGGGGCGCTCCGTCGATGCGGTAATATCCCCGCTAGCTCCTTTCCCAGCTGCGAGGCCGAAGAGGTACGCGTACTATGGATACTCCACGTGGGTGAATCTGCTTGATTATACGAGTGTTGTGGTGCCGGTTACGAATGTGGATAAGGCGATGGATGTAAAGGATGCAGGGTTCAAGGCGGTGAGCGAGCTAGATCAGCAGATTCAGGATGACTGTAAGTCTTCGAAGTTGATGAGGGAGTTGGATGGTGCTAATGAGGCGACAGATGATCCGGAGATCTATGAAGGCGCGCACGTGAGCTTGCAGATTGTGGGGAAGCGGTTGCAGGAGGAGAAAATGTTGGCGATTGCGGCACATGTTGAAAGCCTTCTCGGATCGAGCCAGTGATGTCTTACGGCTGAGCCCTAATGGTGAAGATGGCTATTCCACAGGACAAAGCCTGATCAAAATGCTGTCTCTACTCGGTCCCGTGAGTTCTTCTCGTGTGCGATGACTGTCACTCTCATCCTCTTCATCCTTTTTCGGCACCACCTGGTACTCCTGAGCCGCCGTCCACTTGTGTCGCAGGAACGGCATCCAAAGGCATCCAATCACTTATGTCTCTTTCTTCAGATACAGTTTTCAGCCAATCTGCTATCTCGTGTTCCAAATCGACCCCTGCATCCGTCATGCCAACCCCCAAAACTTCTTGCCGCAATGACTCTACGTCTCCGAAACTTTCAAGACCGAATTTGTCGCGCCTCCGCGCCCTCATATCGCGATGGATTTCATCAAGTCTTGCTCTGATATCCGACAAGGATAGAAGATGTGCCTCTGTATTGCGCTCGATCCTAGAGAAAGTGGCGACGTTGATGCCTGCGAGGAACTGCTGTATTCGTGCCGAATGTGTGCTCAGTCTCTCCCGTAACGCTGCCTGTTTCCCACTTGTGAATGCCAGTCGGTCACGATATCGTGGATCTTTTGAGTCCAACGATCGGAACTGATGCAAGACCTTTTTCACTTCAGAGAGGTCTGTCTTGCACTCTTCTAAGCGGGCCGCTAGCTCGCCTTGTTGGGCGTGGGAAAGGTGTCGAAGAGATGATTTTGGGTCGCCTGTTTCATTATTCAAAGTTACCAGAAGCGATCCAAAGGAGCTCACGAAACACCATGTTTCAGCAGCATCATCTTTTATATTCTTAGTGCGTCCTGTATCCTACCATCTGCTGTGATTACTGCAAAAGACTCGCCCGCATTCTGACACGACTTGTAAATTTTGTAGGCATAGGTGCTCAATAGTGCAATGTCGCCGATAGAAAACCCAAACTTCGCCATTATGATGAAAGAAAGCCAGAACGAAGGGGAGGAGTCGAGAGGGTTTAATGCGCAGAGGGTGCGTTAGCCTAATTATGGATGGAAGCAGCTAAAGAGGCGTTGCGGGGGCTCATGCATGGAGGCGCATCTTGGCAATTTGCCTACGTCGTTGTTTGCAAGAACTACCGAGTCTAGCGCAAGGCAACTCGTAGAAGATCCTTAGTGATGGTCTTGTTCTTGACCATCGCGGATATTGTTGTCGCTCAAACACAAGGCTTTGACTTCTTTGCGATCATACGAGAAGCGCAAGCAATGGACGGAAACGCAACGGAACAGAAGGCATTGTTGCATCTTCAACTCGGCAGCCAAGCTCATGATCGGTAAGATCTCATGCTGGGGAGTGAGCCTTGCGCCTCCGCAGCCTCCGCAGCCTCGGTACTAAACTGCTGTCTTCTGGAAGTAGTGGGTCCGTGACTTCGGTGAACCAAACAGGCAGAGTAGTTTGCTTTGCTTTGTTCTCGGAGTGAAAGAGACGGAGTAGAGATGTGTCGGAAGAGATAGGCTGGTCAGGCGCTTGGTTCCTTCCCAACGCGTTACCGTGCCTCACAGGAGTGCACGGACCTGTGCTTAACTGAACAACAACCTTTGAAGGCAATCACGTATTTGACACGGTACAAACATCTTGCATCTATTTTACTTTGCGTTGAAAATTGTATATTGGAAAATTGAGAATGTCAGAAAGACACTTCTTCGCATGCACTCCACCCACCATATTTTACCTTGTGGCACCAGGCAGGAGCGCCCAGAGCTTGTCTCAACGTCAATGTTGTGAGGGCTACAAAAAATGAGATCCGCGAGGTCGTCTCAAAGAAGACAAAGTGGTTGAAGTCTCGCCCAACTCATTTACCGAGCAACAATACGCACGTCACTCGAATGCCCAAGTCAAGTCACAGGCATACATCCGGGGAGTTCAATAAGAGATACATATACGGCTATGCATTCTGTATCAATCTATCTCGTATCCTTCAGACCCAATCCACTCCCACTGAGTCTATTTGCCAAAGATCAATATCCCACGGGTGACCCTCTATATACGTCGTCCCTCCCCTCCCCCTAATCCTATGCCTGTTCTTCTGGAACTCCTTATCTTCACGTTCCCTTTTCTCCCGCTCTTCTGGCGTCTCACGCGTTCGAGCCTCAATCCTTTCCTCCGTTCTACGCGCTCGAGCCTCAACCTCCTTTCCTTTTTCTCGAGCTCTTGAGCCCGGTGAGCCCGGTATCGCTCCGATGGTGTCGGCGAAGGAGCCGGTGAAAGCACGTACGGCGAAGATAGTACTTGTTGTGTTGGTGACGGCGGGGGCGAGCCTGTTCTAGAAACTCCCGCGTCCTTCGCATCCGACTGATCCTCCTCTGCTGTTGTATGATGACTCGATGCTTGAGTTCGTGGAGTGCGCGCCTGGTTGTGACTGGCTGTGGCGACGTTTGTCTGGCGCCCATCATCTTCTGGAGTACCTTGCAAGACACCACTGTGTGATGTCCGTTGCATCTCGTGCGCTGATTCCATATGGTGTCTGGGCCTGCCCAAAGGTGTTGCGTTGGAACTTGATAGATGCTTGGGCTTCTTGGGAAATCGAGGCCACTGTGCCCACGGATTGTTGTTGTTGCTCATCTAGGAACTTCTGTGGTAAGCCTGTAATCAATGTTGCAATGGTAGTCACAGCGACATGATATGTGGGAATACATGTTTGCTATCAGGACACAAAGAATCCGCGGGGAATGTTCCGTCACAGTTCTAGAACATCTAGAACACCGTAGTTCAGCAAAATGGAAAAGAAATGCAACGAAGTAGGAAAGCAAGAACTGACAGAAGCAAAATGAATGCGCATTAATTAGATAAATGTGTATGTATCTCCGTAATGCCTGGAGCGAACAAAGAAGATGGTCCAGAATGCGAGACCGGGTATATGGAAACCACAATGTAACGACCGCCGGGTATATAAACACAGGAGAAGAAAAAGGAAAAGTGATTGACAGGGTATCATCTGGGTTTTTGAAGTTTCCTTGCCGTGAGGCTTCCCTCCTCTTTCTAATTATTAGGTACTATTTTTTTTGGTGTGATGGTTTAGTGGCCCATACCGACACCTCCGTCGTTCGATCCGACGAAGCCGGCTGTGAGGCCCATGTCCATGTTCAGGAACTGGTCTTGGTGGCTGGAAATTCCGTCCATGCCAGTGGACATACTCATCGCACCTTGCATGTTTTGGTTCATAGCGTGCTGGTCCATCATCTGGAGACTAGGTCGGCGGCTACTGGCGGCCGAGCCCATTTGTGACACGTGCTGGACATGAGGCGAGAGTTGCTGATGTTGGTGGGGAGAATAGTTCTGGTTGCGCGACTGGTTCATGTGTTGTCGTGCCGCAGCCCATGCCTGGGCCTGAGCATGAGCCTGTGCCTGAGCGTTCGCCTGGGCTTGCATATGTGCTTGAGCTTGAGCCTGTGACGCATGCATTTGTGCTTGCATGTGTTGCTGGACCTGCTGGCTGTGATGGAGGGATGTCGGCTGAAGAGACATATGGTGTTGCTGCTGTTGGTGGGGCCGCATTGGCTGCGGCTGGTGCTCGATCATGGGCTGATCTTCGTGGCCGGCGTGGTGATCGAGGTCAAGATCTTCGTCGTCATCGCCTTCCGCGTCGAGCTGATCATTGCTAGGCTCATCGGAAATCGTTGGGGGTGCGGTGAATGGCAGTCCCTCCACCTTTACTGGGCTGCCTTGCCTGGTCTGGTTGATAGGAACAAATGCGTGGGGTGTCACGCTAACCATGGAACAGCTTCTCGTGCTCGCGGGATCACCGGGCAGCGGCCTCTGCGCTGCCATACCGGAAGTCGAGGCTTTGCCTTCCCGTATGACGCCTCTGCACTTCTCGATCAAGCGATCGTAATCCCAGTTGCGAAAGTCCATGCCGAACTTGCCAAGCTCCTTCGTAGTGTCCGTGCTCAGGTTGATAGTGATGGGAGAAATGTCTGTTGCCCCCGTCGTCCAGCGGTTTGCCTTCAGGTATTCAATCTCTCGGCGGGCATTTTCTAGCTGAACCTCAGCTTCTCGCCGCCTTTCGTCGGCGCGTGCATAGCACCGAAGTATCTCAATCTGCCAATACTCTAGTCGTGTCCGCTCGCTCTGTTGCATCCAGTGAGTGAATGCATCCGCGATGTGGCAGAACAGCTTCTGCGGGTCGGGATCAAAGAGGGGCGGGGTGGGTAATGGCGAGTTGTTGGCGGAGGCGGGGTTCGAGTTGGCGCCAGCCGGATAGACCTGGTTGATCTGCCGTTGCCTCTGCTGGGCCAGCAGTCTCTCGCGGACCTGCTTGTTCAGCGCATCGAGCTGTTTCTGCCCTGGCGGGGTTATGGACCAGGACTCGGCGGTGGGGAAAGGGGTCGGCGAGAAGAGGGTCGATGGCGGGGGCAGAATCTGAAGGCAGAGTGACGGGAAGTTGAGCGTATACGGGTCGAAGTCGAACAGTGTCGAGCCAGACGATTTGGTGCTGTATGATGTGAGCTTAGTCATATCAAGACGGGTTGGGAAGGAGCGACTCACCTGGCATCCCGCACGCTCTTCAACAGCTCCCTCAGCGCCATCTCGGTTGCACTCGCAATCTCAACCTCCTCGATCGACTTGAAGCGCTGGTCCAGATCGGCCTTTTGCATCAGCCGCGATGCATCCCGCCGCATGTCTGGTGTTTTGACGCCCATGGCCCGCGATGGCTGGCGCTTTCCATGGCTCCAGCTCACATCCTTGAAGTGCGACCGCGTCTTTTCCACATGGAGCTCGTCATCGTCATCCTCTTCGGGACTGTGTGCTAGCGTGGAAGAGCCCTCGCTCGTTATGCTCTGCTTCTTGTTCGCGGGCGTGCTGGTCCCTCTGTCATCTCTCCTGGAAAGCGAGACGCTTCCCTTGGCCTGCCGCCGGGTGATGCCGCCGCGCAGCTTCCGAATTTCGTCGACAAGGTGGATGCCATCAGCTGTCTTCGGGTTCTTTGGTCGTATGTACAGATCGAGATGTCGTCCCAGGCTCGACGAGGTGAAGGCCTGGCCGCAGAACGGGCAGTTCTTGTCCTTTGCAGCCTTCAATTGTGGCGTTTCCGTGGTAGAGCGGGGCGTCGAGCTCTCAGGTTCTCCCATGATGCAGGTACCCGTCGTGTTACGCTCGTGCTTCGTTTCGAAACGTCGGATCTGTCAGCAAATTCATGCACTCCGCAGGCGTCAGTTGCTCACGGCTACCACATGATCAATGCGGACGGTGAAGGGACGCAAAAAGAGAGTGGCATGTCATGCAACCAACATTCAACACTGCACATGAAAGACCAACAGTTGGAGTCTGCGGTCTAAAGGAGCGACGGGTTAAACAATATTGCTCGAGGGCAGCTTGGCACGCCAAAAGCTGCCCCTAACAAGTCGGCCTGGAGCAGCTCAGGAGGGAGCGCTCCATGATCCGCCGCACGGGTACAAAAGGCGGAAGCGGGCGTCAGCACGTGCCCCCCTGTCAGATGCGAACTGTTTGCCCGAGCACACCGCGAAAAATCATCCACTCACGCCGCGCATCTCACTGTTAAATTACTCGTCTCATATCGCCCGCGTCCTATCATGCTTTGGCTTTTCCCAGTCTCGCTGCAGATCTGGCTGCAATCTCTTCGTACTGGTCCATACCCCCGTCGAGTTTTCTCAGCTGCCCCTTGACTAAGCGAAAAACGGTTCCTGATGCTACCCCTGTCTGCTCGTCCTCCGACTCGCTGCCCTCACCAGCCTCGTCCTCATCGCCGCGGACCCCTGGCGCTAGCTTGTGCGGTGATTCTCCTTCAATCACCGTTCTGTCTGCCAGTCAGCATTTTCCCGGCGTGGCGAGCGTTCCGCCATCGTGGACATACCTCATGAAGAACCTGTCGTGAGTGACTACGAGAATAGCGCCGTCGTACTCCCGCAGCGCCAGCACCATGCTCATAATAGTATCAAAGTCCAGGTGCGTGGTAACTTCGTCGAGGATTAGCAGCTGCGGCGGCGGCCAGAGTAGCTTCGCGAGCGCCACCCTGACCTTCTGACCGCCAGACAATAATAGCAGAGGTACGTCAGACACTGTTTGGCCATGTAGTCCCAGACCACCCAGGAGTCCCCGCGCGTCTTTTTCTTGCATCTCAGGCCCCGCGACCTCCATCAGGTGACGCAACGCTGTCAGTCGCGGATTGGAGGCTGCAGTGCCCGATATCTCTTCCACCGATTGCTGCGAGAAGCGACCGATTCGCGCTCTTGCATGACGCGTTATTGTGCCCGACGATGGCACAAGTCCTTCGCTGTCACCGCTACCCATTATCAGAGACACCAGCGTCGTTTTTCCGGAGCCATTCAGCCCCGCGAGTCCGATTCGAGCTCCAGGATGTATGGTCAGATCGATGTCAGTCAATACTGGAATCTTTTTCCTGCCAAGATACGCAAAAGACACTTTCTCCAGATTCACTAGTGCTCCTGGAAACCTGAGATCTGGAGGCTGCTGTGGCAGAGACAGCTGAGCTGGTGGATCGAAGTCGGGCACCTCAATCTCCGCGCGATTTGAGAGATGGTACCCACCAAGATCACGGTTGAGCTTGAAACGACCGCCCTTAAGACCGACTTGTAAGCCCATGCGCTCGTCTAGCTTCTTCTTTCGTGACGCAGGCTTGCTTGAGCTTTTTGTCGTCGCCCTTATCTTTCGCTGCTTTTATGTTGCCGGCAATCGATTTCTCCATGTGCTTTTTCTGCTTTTCCTGCGCGTCCTTCATCTTGGTCATCCACCTTGCTTTCTTCCACCGCTCTCGCTCATATAGGCTGAGATTGCCTCTGAACACCTCGAGTGTCTGATTACGTAGGACGATGAGCTCTTCCGCCACTGCATCGCCAAAGTCGCGATACATGGGTAGTAATCAGCACAGTGGGTGCCTTTGAGATTTCGAATGTAGTCTTGCAACCAGATGATAGACGGTAGGTCGAGGAAGTTGGTCGGCTCGTCAAGCAAAAGAACGTCAGCATATTGTGTAAGTGCACATGCAAGATCACAGCGAGTCTTCCAGCCTCCGGACAGTTCTGACATGGGCTTGTCGATGCGATCTTCTTTGAATCCCAGACCGAGCAACACGATTCGGGCTTTTGCTTCAGCGCCTGCAGCGTCCATGAGCTCCAGTAAGGCCTGAACGTGTGAGAGCATGTCTGCGACCGCTTGCGTCTCTTCACTCAGCTTGGTCGCATCAACGTCACTCTCCGTCTCTTCAACTTGCTTCTGCGACTCCTCCACACGCTCTTCAAGCTTCACGAGCTCTTTCCTCGCTTGCTTGCCCCTAGCACCGCTCCTTCGCTCGGCGATGCGATGACCTTCTTTCAGTTGCAGCAGCAGTCGCTCGTGTCGGATCCGTCGGTATGCTCGCACAGGGGCCATCGAATCAGTCGAATTGTCAATAGCCTCACTCAAGATCTTCGCTTCGCGCGTATACTGCTCTCGAATGCGGTCACTCCGTATGACATGCTGGAGTACCGTCTCGTCCTTTAGGTCCAGCTTCTCCATGCCATCTTCAACCGCAACCTCTCTTGTCTGTCCCAATAATAAAATGCGCGTACTCCACGGGATGCCCGGCACCAGCCCATCGCCCATTGCCTTCAACAACGTCGACTTGCCAGTGCCATTGCGCCCAACTAAAACGTAGTGTCGAGCTTCGACCAAGTGAAGTGTAGTACGCGAGAGTAATTCCCGATTAGACACTGAGATCGACAAGTCTTTGACCATGATCTTTTTCCGTCAGTATGTGAAGTCGATCAGCTGTACATCCAACTCACCTCTTTCGAAGCCGGCGCGTCAACGGCGTCAAGCGCATATCGGGATTGCTGCGCCGTGACTGTAATGTGACCTCCGCCTGGATGTTCTTCGACTGCCGCAGCAGCGTCTTTGATTTTGCGGACCATAGTGGTGAATCGCTTTGGTGTGGCAAAGTGATTGTATGCACCCAGCGGTTGTTCAAATTTCAGCTGAACAAAACGGGAGGAAATCACAATCTAATATACAGGTGCGATACTGACTAACTTGATGTAATGCGCAGGAAGCGAGTTACCATGCCAAGGAGAAGTCACGATGAGTCGAATGGAGCTAATCCGATTCGTCGGGCGAGCGTAGACTAGCTTTTCGTACTGCGGAGGATGGTTTGCCACCCGTGGATTTTAGTCTATGCGAACATACTTGAGATGCATTCGCATCGACGTGTGTGATTTCGATGGATCTGGCAAGCATACGGCGAGGGTTTGGTGGAGCGCCACGTGCGTCACTGTACGAAGGATACGTCTTCTAGAATTACCCGCTAATAGCATAGCAGTAGCAAATGCTACATACGCCGAATTTTCCTACGCTTCTCTTGATCTCTGATGTCGCATCGAGTTTGGTCACAGCGCGCACGATCTCGAGTATCACTATAACAGCTATTGATGTTGCGAAAACACGTTTGCCAAATCACCTCATACTGAGGTGATAGCGATCATCATTTAACACAGGGAAATTAATACAAGTTACGATGATGATTTGCTGGCACATCGACAGAGTGTTGAGGCGTGCCTTCCCGTTGCTACCAAACACCAAAACAACAACTTGCGGGCAGACCCAGCAATACCAGGACATTATGCGCAACCACACCAATCGCGAGCGTCGATTGCGCTTCTAGCTAATGCGTGTTACTATTGGTGAAGTAGGGGACAATGTTATCTGCTTCACCTCAATTGTGCATTCCCAACTCGACGTGACTGCCAGTCTCGGTGCCCCAAATCACAATGACCTCACCTCGTCAGACCACAACAATAGCACGTCAAAAGCACTTGACAAAAACAACACGAAGAAAGGCGTCGATATGCGTCTCACCCTTCTCCTCCTCTTTCTTCACTCCACCAGCATCACCATTATCGCAGTGCATCCATCAGTGTCGGATATCCTCGCCAACAGCTCCTTCAGCGACATTGAACATGACAACACCGAATACCTATAACAAATTTTCTGCATCCAGCAAGCGTGGAATGGCAAAGCAGTGGCTGCAGCACCGCCTACAAAAGCTGCCGTCCATCCAGCCAAGCGGTGATGAAGGAGATGGCGGACTCCGCACCACTGCATCGCTGGAGCGACCAAGGACTGCTCCCTCGTCTGGCATTGCAACTGCATTAGGATCGGACGAGATACCTGCTGTACCGCCAATCCCGATCAACATCCCGCGCGGTAAGCAGAGCTCTTCTATCCAGCCTCCTGGTCGACCATCAAGACCCGACTCTGATGTCGCCCGAGATATCAACGCATGGCTCGATGCTAGCAAAACACCGTCGCCACCACTCATGGGTGGTGTATCATACTGGAGAATGGCTACGGATGCCAATGTCAGCAACACTGTTGGAATTCAACATGCGAGGCCAATTGTGCAAGAGCCGCAGCCTGTGTGCGACAGATCTTCGACATCACACAGCCAGCAAGCGAGTTCGTTTCGGAGGAGGGCCAAGAAGATCCAAGCGCAAATACCTCTGGTAAATAACAAGTCGCTGAGGCAAGCAGATGGGATGCAGGTCAATACACGATCGAACTCCACCCCGGTGCTCGGTATTCCTTACGAGGCGGTAGAGGAAGGCACTCCGCCCGTGATCATGACACGACGGCGCAGTCCCACCATACGTTTGCTTTCTTCCGTGTCTTCAACAAGTCCTGGTTCAAGACCAGTCAGCGGTGAGCCAATTTTGGAGCAGCCAAAGTTCCTTTACGGCGGCTCTTCCAGTACCAGGACAAGTGAGTGTAGAGAGCAGCATCGACAGACGCACGCAGACTCTCCTCAGGCGAATAACCAGAAGCGATGACAGCACTCGCCCATCGACAGCGGCGCACATGCAACGGGAAGGCTCTATGGGCGACCTTTCCGATGCACCCACATACTTGACTGGACCGAGCCCGCCGTCGTACCATTCGCGGCCCGCTTCGATACTCTCTACATCATCCTTCGGGTGCATCGACGGCATGAATCCAGCGCAGCGGCAGGTCAGTCAGCAGAGAGCGGCACAGCGGCGTGGTGTGAAAGGGAGGTGGAAGAGGTTCGCGCAGAACTTCACCAATTCGACGTAAGGATGCGAGCGCCTTCGAGGGTCGGACAGGATGGACGACCAAAACAAGATGACGACTGGAACGAAACCACGAATGAAGATGATGGCATTTGGAATAAGCATGGGGAAATCGGGAGTACTAGGGTACATGGTGATTATCGGAACATAATTACACAAGCTGTTTGGGCGATCAGCCCGGTGTGGTGCATTCACGTGGAGTATACGAAGGACAGTGGGTAGTACGCCATAAGCAGTGTTGAATCAAGAAAGAAAACACAAGACCGAGTGCAGTGAGACCAAGCCGCCATGTGACTGTCTCCTTCTGGGTATGAAGCTGAATTAAGGTACGGGTCGCTGGCGGGTCTGACGGACGTTGTGACGTTGAGGCGGACCGCGGTGAACCGAAAGCGTCGCAGCTCGGGGTGCACTTCATGTCATTGGGCCCAAACACTGTACCACGGCCCATCGCTCCAACGCACCTCCATTGAGTCCCATGGCCGCCCGCTGAAGCTGCTGCCAGCGCAACGACACTGCACGCGCAGCTCGACCCGACCAAATCACGACCCGCCGACCCCCCGTGCTTCTTGCAGCGCCGACGGCCACACGTCTGCGAGACGCTTCACGAGCAAGCTGCAGGACGCAACGCACCCGCACCCCGAACAAGTAAGCATGGCTTCCGCTGATGATGCTCATTCGCGGCCCAAACGACCCGCCGCCATGACGAGACAGTCGTCCTCGCAGTCGCACCTGTCCGAGGGCGAACCGCAGAGAGCACCGCACAAGGCCCAGCGCCATCATGTCGTTGGCCACCAGCGCGTGCAGAGGAACCTATCGACCGGCAAGAACCTGAACAAGCTCAACAAAGCCGCCCAGCAGATGCAGCAGGCGGAAAAGGCCGCGGAAAAGGAGGCGCGACACCACCGCCGTACCAAGTCTGGCGACTCGGTTTCTGCGCCCAGCAGCCCCCGCCCGAGCTTCAAGCGCAATGCTTCATCGGGCGCTGTAGTGAGAGTCGCCCACCAGGCACACACACAGGCCAACCTGCGCCGGAACCACTCGAGCGGCCAGCTGCCACGCCCGGGACAGGGCAAACACGCCCTCAAGGCGGCAAAGAACGAGCTCGCATCGGGAAAGAAGTCGCTCACGCCTGCACGCTCCCGACAGGCCTCACCTGAGCCCCACGCCGCCGTTCACTTCGACATGGGCGACGACGACGACGAGGAAGGCGGTGACGAAGGCTGGACAGAAGAGAGCGCCTCGCAATCACCCACCACCACCCGATCCAACACGCGCTCCAACTCGGTCATACTCGATGCGCAACACAAGCTCGCCGAGAGGAACATGGAGAACAACCGCGGAGACCCAGCACAGGCTGGCGCAAGTCGCCAGCCTCCAGCACAGTCGCCGCAGACGCTGCCGGATCGATCGCGCGCCACGGCTTCGACCAACACGAACAGCAGCAATTCCCACCACGCACGTTTGCCAGACGCCGACATGATAACCTCACGCCTGCTCCAGCGCAGCGCCTCTCACACCGTGCCGCCCCAGACCACGTCGGTCGCAGCGACAGTCGGGACTGCCACCGAACGGCACAATACCATAATGGCCCACAGCGCGGGCTCTACGCTCGTCGATACCCCAGGAAAAGACCTGGTCTCGCGCTTCATGGACGGGGATGGCTCGGCGGGCACGCCTCACGATGGTGGCTACATGCCCGCGAGCAAGTCTGCCAAGCCTGACGACGGTGAGCTTGATCAGAGCAAGCGAAACAAGTCGATGCCGAACGTGAACGCACAAGACACGCCGAACCGGACCCCCTCGCGCTCCGGTACTACCACGCCGACGACGAACCTACCGCCGTCGCGGACACAGCAGAAGCTCATGCTCCAGCGCGCGTCGTCCAACATTGAGCCCCAGAAGCTGGTGCCAGTGACACTTCCCCGAACCGGCGGACCTACCTTTCTCCAATCGGGCATAAACTACAACGCGAACGGCGAGGGTCGCCTTGACCCTCGTCTGCAGCAGCAGTTCAACCACGTTGCTGTCGAGTACAACGTGGTGCGAAGATATCGCAACCCTGTTGCAGACTCGATTCTGCGCATACAGCAGATCCCAGGCGTGTCGCGCAAGACTCGCATTCCACGAACGGGAAGTGCAAATGGATCCGCGAGCGCGCACAGCTCCGCTAGCCTGAGCGCAAGTTTCAGCGAAGCGGGCGTGGAAACAGATGGGGCAAGCTCGCGGAGGTCTGCGCGAGTCAGCTTCGACAACGAGCACGGGCGCCCCAAGAGCAGGCGCGACGATGGTGATGTCGAGGGCCATCAGAGTTTCGAGAGCGCGCGCAGCCACGCGCGACCAGCCAGCGAGGCCGAGGAAATTTGTCGACGCCTGTGGGAGAGCGCCGAAATTATGGAGGCGGATTGAGAGTTGCTATGCGACATTAGACGAGGTTCACATGACTCTTTGAAGCTATGCGCCGCCCGGTGGTTGGTCTCAATTAACTTGCTTGGACACTGTTCAGAGGTATGTGCTCTCCACGTCCTATGCGCCAGTTCGGCCGCTATGGGCGATATTTGAAAAGTGTCTGTTCGCCGTACGCCTCGCTACATCTGTTTGGGGCGCGAGGCACGGCTTCTGACTCCGCAAAGGGGGCCTTAGCCTGGTGGTGGCCTCAAGCCTTGCACGGGGTAACAGGCGTGAAGCGCTTCGGGCCTACTTCACGATAGGCTCGAACAGCGACTGACTTTGCGCCTCGTAGGACGCGGAGAAACTGTTTTGTACCATTAGGAGCTGGCGCGACGGTTGATAGGGGAATGTTTGGCGCGTTCAGCACGATCCGTCGCGCCTCGTTTGGCGAGGCGAAATCAAGCACAATTTACAACGACTGCGGTCACGACCACACATTTTGCGCAAGTTTGCCAGCGCAAGGCTTGGAGCGGGTGATAGCCAGCAAATGAGCAGCATCCATTAGTGTACGCTGGGGGCGGACATGGCCAATCATAGCGACTACGCCTGGCCGGGAGTAATGGTAATTTTATTTTTCATCGACTGCCTGACCAACACGCTGCCGTTTCCATGTGTCATTGTGGAGGTGAGGGCAAAGACTTGTACAAAGCCAAGACCCCATGCGTGGTGCTGTTCCTGCATGCTCGCGTGCTACTGCGTGTGAATCAGCAAGGCGCACATGTCACTGGACACCCTTTTCTTGTTGGCATGCGAGTTGCAGTTCTGGAAGGGAAAAGTCTTTACAAACTCTGTTCAGCATCACACCGCGCAAACAACGAGCCTTCACCGTCGCGGTCGGCACTTGTCGCAAACAGGCCTTTTTCATCACCATTGACGCTCAGTGGCTGAGACGTCGCTCGTCAGACGCCAGCACAACCACGTTGCAGGCGCTTCGTGGGCCCAAGACAGAATCTGCAGAACGAGTGGCTGCTGGTCGAGTGGCACGGATCCAACGTGTACAACTGGTACGTTGGCTCCAGTCACGTTTTGCGCACCCAGAGGTTACCAGGCCGTCGGCGACCGAAAGTGCGACAATTCGCCGCGCAATGTTTCAGTGGTTGTGATGGTGCAACAGATCACTATGTATGGTCGGAGTCGGGGCTGGGGAAACATGCCTGGTTGCCAGAGTTGCGAGAATAAGGTACCATGGTAACCTTGCCGACCTTCATTCTTGTGTGGGAGGATGACCTCACGCACTCGTGCAGCAGCCGTTAGTTTGCAAAGTAGCCGCAGAGTGGATCCCAAACGAGAGAGATGCGCCCGCGGCCGCAGCGATTTGCAGAAAGCTTGGCAGGTACGGCGGCCAGGCGCTATCGCACAGACCACTCCATAGCTTCTTCGAGGTGGTTAGCGCCAGCCGGTTGCCGAAATTGCGCCAGGATGGGAAATTGCGCCTCATAAGACAGGAAAGAGCCCCCCCGGACCCACCCCGTTGTTTCCCTTCAAAACGCTCGCACGTCCACTCTCTTACACCGTCCGTCCCTCCAAGCAGATATACAAACACGCCCTCAGGCAGAGCTTTGCTCATCACACTCCTTCATCTGTTCGCTATAAACATTCACTTGGCCAACGCCCTTCCAACCACTCCTCGTCTACTTTCGCATAACATCACCGCGCTCGCGCATACTACTCATCACCCACACGAAACACGTCTCAGACACTCATTCTTCTGTCGCAAGATCAAATCACATCCATTCGGACCTTTGATATCGATACTTGAATTGATATCCCGCTGTCACCGTCGCATCACAACAAACAACCTCTTCACCCCAACAACAACACCATCATCACCATGCGCTCCTTCCAGCAAATCATCGTCGCGCTCTTTGCGCTCCTCGTCTGCGCCTTCGCCCAGGACAACGAGCAGTACGATGCCACCGTCTACGTCACCTCGACTGTCTACCGCATCAACACCATTACCATGTCCGGCGCATCGCCCACCGCGTCTGTCGCAAACATGACCTCTACCATCTCCGCCGCGCAAGCCCCCGCCTACCCCACCAACGGCACTTCCATCGTCCAGCCTTCTGGCACTGGTGTTCAGCCTAGCCAGAGCCAGTTCACTGGCGCTGCATCGGCCTTGACTGCTCAGGCGTACGTCGCCGCGCTCGTCGCTGGTGTTGGATACCTCGTTCTTTGAGATGCGCAAGCTTTGAGTCGCCGCCTGGAGCTTTCAAGTATCATGGACTGGTGCTTATGTCCGCTTTGATTCTCGAGCGCCTGGCCTTTGTCGCGCTCTTAGCCTTTTCACATCTTTCAACGTTTCACGAGGATACCGCCTTTCACGTCTTGCATACTTGTGCATCTACCAATACCCCCCTTCTTCTTCTTCCTTCGACATCAACCACGTTTGTTTAATCACAATATTCCGCCCTTCTAATTGTTTGACACGATCTGAAACGAAATTTGTGCGGATGCATAGCTGGGATCTACTTTTTACTACCATCATACCTTTTCTTGTCGTTCCTTTTATACCCTTTTTTGTCGACACGAAGCGCAGACGGACGCTGCTTTGCTCCTCGCGAGCTCAATAGCTTTACGTGGGAGCAAGACTCGAGGGCACGGATAACAGATGCCTGTGGCATACCCTCTTGTTTTCGAAACTCGCCTTACCTTTCGCAACGACTGCATCTTTCAACGGTGGAGCTGGAGTTTGGAGATACCCCCTTTTTGGTGTTGGAATGGGAACCTTTTTATGTAGCTGAGCAGAGGAGAATCAATCAATCAATCAATCATCGACATCTATCCCCATCTTCCCTTCTGTGACGATTGATCATTGAAGCAAGCTGCGATACTTTGAATTTCCACGCAACTGACGATCCCCGCTCATCACTTCTTCCAGACCGTTCCCCCACGCCCGCACACTATTGGCATCGCTGATCGTAATCTCCTCAATAAGTGCGGGCGCTCCCTTCGAGTCACTTCCCCCACCCGACGCAGAAAATTTCGCCAAACTCCGGCTTCTTTTGCCGGATTGATGGGATGCTGGGATTATTTTGCCGGCGCGCCGAGGGGTGGAGTGGGAGTGGTTCACCGGTACAAGTTGCTGGACTACAGCTGTCGGGACAATGGCATTGTTCTAGACGGCGTAGTGGTAGTGGACCGGACATGCACGCGCGTGGAAAGGGAAGTTGGGTACGCATGTGAGACGAGGCGTCGGATGGGGGGATGGGTGGTAGGCTAGATGTGAGAGTGTGTTCTGGAAGGAGTGATTTTGCGCGGGCAAAGCTGTGGTTGTGATGATGCTTTTGGTGGTATTGGCGTACCGGGGATTTGTTGGACTACCATGGCGCGTGGACGATGCATGCATGATGGCCACATGAGCGTTAGTCTGAGTCATGTGTGGATGTGGATTAGATGGTAGAGGGTGGTCTTGAAGATGGGGTTGCTTTGGGTGAGATTAGTTGGTTGTGCGTGTTGTTTGGGGTGCCGGTGGGAACGTGTGGACGAGGTGATAATCGTGGGCTTGGGACACGTGAGTGTTGGGTAGTTGCAGTGCGCGGATCACTGGACTAGAGGGCATTCTGGAAGACCAGTTGTAATGGATTGGTGTACTAGGGTCTACTGTGTTGCTACGAGGTGAACGGGCACGTGAGCGCTGCTAAAAGTATATGCATGTTTGGGCAGGATGGTATCCTGGAAGTTCGGTGACGCGGTTGGAACTAATGAAATCTTGACCACGTTTTCTTCCTGAAGGTTTGGTCGTGGTGGTGATGCAAGTTTGGGGTGCTGGAAGTTTGCGTTGTTAAGGGTCGCCCCTGAATGTTCCCGACAAAGTTTTGCTGAACATTTCTGCGTCACTTTTCTTGAAACTCCAGGGATGTCGCTGGTGAGCTTGCAACCTTGACATGTTCACGATGTCTTCAGCGTCCTATCACGTGGCTGCTGAATGGGGATCGGCAACCCGCAGATGAGAGCTGGCCGAACATCGCTGTGAGCCTGAGAGCACGCGACTGAGTATCCGGCCCGGGGCGCAAAGCTTCGTTCCGAACCCTGGTCGTATTTGCTTCTGCAGGTAGGTGACGGACTGCAGTGATATTCGGCCTTTATAGTCGGAACATTTACTACTAATCTTCAAACGTAGTAATCATGCGACGGACACAAAAGCAATTGTCATGTTGCAACTGGCGCACCCAATCTGTTGGTTCCGGTAGGCAGCTGTGCCGCCCGGGCACCTTCGCTAGACCGAACTGTCAAGAGCCCCGCGACATCTTCAGGAGCAATTTTTCAAATCAGCTTTTGTCAAATACACGGATTTTTAAATCAGCTGAATCTACCAAGATAAGACCTTTTCATCCCGATATACTATTCGCGCATGCATGTGACGAGACGGCCTATTTCCTGACAACCACGCGCAGCACTTAGTTATCCATAAGCGGCACAACATCTTCTAAACTTCCGTATCAGGCCTTCATACTCTTTGAGACGCTGTCAAACCATAAGATTAACTCCGTCACTTCGTTTATCGCAATGTCGGTCAAGCCTCCATATGATACCGCGGACGCGGATCCACAACTGCAATCCATCTTCTTCACTCTGCCTCGCGAACTTCGGGACCAGATTTATCACTTCCTACTGCTCTCGACACGACGCACCTTTCAGTCATTCCCATTGAACTCCACATCCGGCACACAACTAAGCAAATGGGACGTCTTGCAGCTGCAATACCGCCTTCCTGCCGACTTCGCAAACACCAATCCACGCAATCTGCCCTTCAGCCAGTCGAACTCTGCCCCAGACTGGCTATTCAGCTGCAAAGCCATGATGCATGAAGGAGTCATCCAATTTTCCCGCAACGCGGAATGGTTGTTCGATGGGCACAGGTCGATCAGCGACTGGACCCTGCAGCTGCCCATCGACACAAGCAGAACGACACGCATCGAGTTCAAGGTGCAGAACCTAGCCAACTACGAAGAACCGAGATGGGGCCAAGGTACAGACACGTACGCAGAGCTAGCACAGTATGCGCAGCGCATGCGCAAGGTCGATATAAAATGGACGACGATCAGATTCGTCGGACACAGCTATCGCTTCGGACCCACGAATGTGTACTGCAATAACCAGGCGAACAACATGATGCGCAATCTCGTCACCATCTTCGACGGCATCGATGCGCAGCGCTGGGAATTTGGGATTCAGGATCCCGAGCCGTTTCGCTATTGGGTCCTGTTTGAATGGGTCGTTGAGGAAGCGCAAAAACCAGGCGTGGGTAAATTAGAAATTTTAGTCAAGGAACGCACGAGAAAGCCGGTCAAGATTATCAAGCCTGAAGAAGATTTGGCCAATTTGTTGCCGCCGGGTTGGGTGTGTAAGAGGCCGCCGTGCGAGTGTAATGAGTGTGTGCAAGAGAGAGCGGAGGGCCATGAAGGGGGTTATGGACCTCGACCCGATGTGGTAAGAGTGACAAATGCTGGGTGATGCTGGATACATGGCTAAACAGCATTAACAGGAACCGCGTTGGAGTCATTATTGTGGGAACAAATGGTCGCGTATTCTTCGGACGTTTAGAGGCCGGGATTACGACTGGTGACATGATTTCTTGTGTTGTCAGTGTATTGGTACCCACTCAGAGGATTGAAACCGAGATCAGAACGACAGTACACGAGTGATGTTTGCCCAGGGGAGTTCTTTGAACATGGAATTTGACCAGTAGGGTGGAGATGGTGGTCAGCCAATCGGAGAAAAGATGGTTGGACCCTTCTGTGCTCTAGACTTTTCGACTTCACGCCCTGTTGTCAATTTAGCTCGACACCAGAATGTGAAAGAATCGAAATGTAGCAACGCTTCCAAGAAGGTCTCTCGGCATTGGATAACAATGCGATGTATAAAGGTGGTATCTGCTCTATCTCGTGAAACTTCGTTCAACTCAAAACTCCTTCGCGTTTCTACATTTCCAGCCATGTCATCCCTCCGGAATCCCGAACAGTATATTGAAAACGCGCGCATTGCGCCCGAAGTCTTCGAACTCCGTCCAGACTATCGTGCCCTCCTCATGGTCGTCACAAACATCCCAGCCAGCCCCAGCGACGCTACGAGCGAGGCATTCCTCTCCTCAGCGGAAACCTCAGCCAAAGCCGCTCTCTCACAAACTCCTATCATCGACATCTCGCACGTCAATGCATGGCGCGAAACATACAAAGCATTCGGCGCCAAACCCAAGAAGACGATGAATAGCCTGGAAGCCCTGTTACGCCGTGTCGACAACGGGCTACCACGTGTCAATCGTCTTACAGACATCTACAACGCCATATCGATCAAGCACCAAATCCCACTCGGCGGCGAAGATCTAGATAAATACCAAGGCGCACCGTTCCTGATACGTGCAAAAGGCGACGAGAAATTCATCACGAAGTCAGGTGGAGAAGAAGTCACCGACCACCCAAAGCCGGGAGAGGTGGTTTGGTGCGATGACGGTGGTGTCACGTGTCGGCTGTGGAATTGGCGGCAGTGCGCGAGGACGGCGTTGAGTGATGCGACTACGAATGGGCTGTTCATTATGGATGCGCTGGAGCCGATGGACGATGAGAAACTGGGTGCTGCGGCGGATGAGCTGGGTAATGAGTTGAGTAAGCTGTCGTCGAATGTGAAGGTTTATCGCCGGATAGTTCGGTCTTCCTGAACAGCCGT